CTCGTTGCTACAGCCATTCAGGGACTTGATTGGCCACCTACTAGTTGAGGATGAGAAGCCACGATGGTGTTGTCACGCTGTTTGGATGGGACCGCATAGGTGCGAATCGATAATCCTCGGATCGCTTACATGGTGTCTCTGTAAATCAAAACTCTGGCCGCTACCAGAGGCACCTGATATCTATGAGAGTATTGCAGCAATTTATACACGCTTGTCAGGCCTCATAATCCACGATTTGGGGCAATTTGATAAGAAAGAAGATCATAGTATCTGCAATCCGTCAGGAATGATCAATTCGCACATGAAAACAGCCCTTACTTGTCTTACCCTCCCATTGACTCGAAGGCATATAGAGTACATAAAAAAACAAGAACACATACTTGACATGAAGATTGGTTGTTTCAAGCCACTCCTGAGTGATAAGTCTGCAGCATAAATCCCCTGCACAAGTTAGTTATAGAAATCAAATCCAATCAAGAGCATATTATCACAAAGAGATTTTCACCTTTTTTCTTTTTGCTCGCTTGAATCTACCTGAAAACCCTAGGCTACGCCGTTACATTAATTGGCCTGATCTACTTCTCTTACTAGCCAGTTACCAAGGCTTTAAAACATAACTTGCGCTTTTCCCAAACCACTTAACTTTTCGTATCTGTCAAAATAGAGGCTATACATTTCCCCTGACTCCACACACTTTTCTTAGTCCAGCTAAACTTGCGGCAGCTCCACTTAGTCCACATAGCACCACTATGCGACGTAGTAATAATATTGAGGTAGGCTCTAACTAGGACCCATTGCTTACGTATCTTGTAACTGCCGCATCTACTAGAAAGCTTTAAAAATGCTCATGAATGGGTCTTCTTAAGAAGCCTTTAATATGCCGAAGCGATCTAAGCCTCGATGCCTTCATGAATTGTCTTAAACACAAGCTGTTGCGATACGAGTGAATGTGCATACGTGAGTGCGCTAGTGCACGAGCGTATTGCATATACCTATCGTAGCTCTGAACCTCGAATAAACACACACAGTATCAATCAACGCACCAAACATATTATGAAGACGTCATAATCACCACCGAGGTGATACCAACACAAACGCATCCTAAAGGGGTCAACTTGACTATTTAGCTGTCGAGACTTGCACAGGACATTCGTGGCAGCATCTGGCTAGGCATTCTTCAAAGACATACATTCACATGACGATACTGTTTTTGTGCATTCAGAACCGGAAATCTCTTCTCAACTATCTTCCGCATTATCTTGACTGTCTTTTCTTCATTCTTTCCTTTTCTATCCTTCATTCTCTCATTTAAGAGACCAAATGAGTATGGATACACCAAGGAGCTGGAACAATTCGGCTGAAGACTATCCTATGAATGATCTTATTCAACATCCAAACAATGTACGCCCGCGACTCAAAGAGTTGACCAAAGTACATTTGCTAACAAACTTTTGAACAGTCTGTTACTGATCCTGCTACACAGTTAACTAATACTGATCACATAAGTGATGTACATCAATCAAATGATGCTCATGATGTTGGTGAAAGTTTGCTGTCAGATCCTAGTGGCTACCATTCAACAATACCTTATGTGACTGGCACTGGCCAGATGCGGTATCAACGTCCAGCAACTAGCCCAGCGAACGGCGAGGATTTTTTCGGGGATCAACACGATCTTCCAAACGACGACCAGAACTCCTACACAACCCCCAACGACTCCGTTGATGCGCAAGAAATGTCGTCCGCTATGGGTGCCCATGGAGCTATTCGGCGCCGCGCCACTCGAAAGATTAAACTGATTCAAGGCGGCCAGGGATCAGTCTTGAGCGCAAACTATCCCGTACCAAGCGCAATCAAGAACGCATTGCAGCCCCAGTACAGAGATGTGGAGAATGGCACCAGCGAGTTCTCGGAGATGCGGTACACCGCGGTGACTTGTGATCCTAACGAATTTACCTTGATGAACGGTTATACACTGCGCCAGCACATGTACAACCGACACACTGAGCTTTTGATTGCGATCACCTACTATAACGAGGACAAGATACTATTCGCTAGAACCTTGCATGGCGTGATGGAGAATATTCGTGATATTGTGAATCTGAAGAAGTCCCGGTTTTGGACGCAGGGTTCAGCAGCATGGGAGAAAATTGTAGTGTGCCTAGTGTTCGATGGTTTCGAAAAGGCGGATCGAGGTGTACTCGATCTTCTTACAACGGTTGGAGTGTATCAAGACGGCGTGCGAAAGCAGGATGTGAATGGAAAGGAAACAACAGCCCATGTCTTCGAGTTCACGACACAGTTATCCATCACTCCCGACCTACAGCTTGCTCGTCCCAGTTCGAACGCGGATGATTCTGATAACTTGCCCCCAGTGCAGCTCATCTTCTGTCTCAAACAAAAGAATACCAAAAAGATCAACTCGCATCGTTGGTTATTCAATGCTTTTGGACGGATTCTCAATCCGGAAGTCTCTATTTTGATCGATGCAGGAACGAAACCTGGACCTCGCTCTCTATTAGCCTTATGGGAGGCATTCTATAATGACAAGAACCTTGGTGGCGCATGCGGTGAGATCCACGCTATGCTTGGGAATCGAAACTCCAAGTTACTAAATCCGCTTGTGGCAGTACAGAATTTCGAATACAAGATTTCGAATGTTCTTGATAAACCTCTGGAGAGCTCTTTCGGCTACGTCACTGTTCTCCCCGGTGCATTTTCAGCATATCGCTTTCGAGCGATCATGGGCCGTCCCTTAGAGCAATATTTTCATGGCGACCATACATTATTATCTGGCAAGAAAAGTATCAACAACATGAATATATTTAAAAAGAACATGTTTCTTGCAGAAGACCGTATCCTTTGTTTCGAGTTAGTGGTGAAAGAAGGACAGAATTGGCACCTGTCTTATGTCAAAGCTGCCAAGGGTGAGACAGACGTACCAGAAGGTCCTGCTGAGTTTCTCAGCCAACGCCGCCGCTGGCTGAATGGATCATTCGCTGCCTCGTTATACTCTCTTATTCATTTCGGTCGCATGTACAAATCTGGGCATAGTCTGATCCGGATGATAATGTTTCACTTCCAGCTGCTATACAACATTGCTAATGTTGTGTTTAGCTGGTTCTCCTTATCATCCTATTGGCTCACTACCACTGTTATCATGGATCTTGTCGGTACACCCGTAGTTGCATCAGACTATCACGGCTGGCCGTTTGGCGATACCGCGTCCCCCCTATTCAACCACATTATTCAATATATTTACCTTGCGTTTGTGATCATACAATTCATTCTGGCCCTTGGAAATCGGCCAAAGGGATCGCAAGTGACCTATCTTGTATCGTTTGTAGTATTTGGATTTATTCAGCTTTACGTCATCATTCTGTCATTCTATCTGGTTTACCGGGCATTACGGACACCCATTGGAGACCAGATTGACACCTCTTCGGGCGTGGCATTCTTTGAGAGCATGTTTGGAGGAACGGGAGTGGCCGGCGTGATTCTACTAGCCCTGATCACCATTTACGGCTTGAACTATCTTGCCTCATTCCTCTACTTAGACCCCTGGCATATGTTTCACTCCTTCCCGCAGTATATCGTCCTCGCTTCGACATATATTAATATTTTGATGGTTTATGCCTTCAACAACTGGCACGACGTTTCTTGGGGCACGAAGGGCTCAGATTCAAGTGAAAAGCTCCCCTCGGCTAACGTGATCAAAGACTTGAAGTCCGGTCACGAGATGGTCGAGGAAGAGGAGATGCAACAAACAGATATCGACCAGAAGTTTCAAGAGACTGTGCTAAGAACTCTGTCTCCTGTTGCAGTGGAAGTTACCGTAGAAACGAAGGAAGTCGACGATACGTACAAGTCGTTTAGGACCCGTTTGGTCGTCTCCTGGATCTTGTCGAATATGCTGCTGGTTTGGATTGTTACCTCTGATGATTTCGCATTTCTTGGCGTCGGTGTAAGTAACGAGACCTTCTGATGACGTCTATAACAAAGTCCTAATTCTTTCTTGCAGGAAGCCTCTACGACCCGGACACCAGGATACTTCCGATTTCTTCTATATGCCACCGCTTTTTTGTCGATTGTCAGATTCGTAGGGTTTCTTTGGTTTCTGGGACGGACAAACATTATGTACTGCTTTGCGAAGAGGTAGTCGCATATATTCGACATGGCATTTGAAGCTAGCTTGAACTAGCCCAAGCCAGCAGCCATTCATCCCTTTTAGGTTCTAGAGACAAACAACATTTGAAAATACTTTGCGCAGGCTGCGCAACGGGTACCCGCGGGGCGGGGAATAGCCTCGACAGATAATCCGCAGGCTGTCTATCAGTGGGGTAGGTAATTGGAAAATCTATATAAGTAAATCGCAAATAATCCGTAGAAGATATCATTTGTTTTAATTTATCTTCGCTAATTTTGAAACTATTCCCAAATTATTTTTGAAGCTCAAAAGTAAACCAAATTTGAATTTATATCAATCTTTATATTAATCTTCGCAGCAGAAACTATAATGAAAAGCTCTGTACTAGGAGATGGAGAAGGAACTAGATAATCCTCACTTCATGAACTCAAAGAAACCTTATAAATCATATTTCCCTTGGGAAATTCGATTAGCTGCAGATCAACGTACAAACGCGTACAAGGCAACTGTTGCGATTAAACAAAAATAAACTAACGTCCTAGTTTCAGTGAAAACTGCTCGTCCCATAAAGGAAAAAGAGAATGTATACATCCCTAGTTAAGACGAAATTGCCTTGACAGGTAATCAATTAACTCGCGCGATTGAGGCCCATAATTAAAAACCAAATGTTGGATTGATGATTCACTGCGGCGCAGACCGTACGCATTGCGGCGCAGAATACGCGTGACTCCCTGGAGACCAAAGCTTGTCAGCACCTCAAACTTTCTAAACATCCGTTTCAGTCATCCTTCGTTTTAAAGGAACTATACACCAGTCTCCAAATCTCCCAGATACCCAACTCCATAGCGTAATCATGACCCAACTCACTTGGCTTATCACGGGCTGCTCATCCGGCTTCGGAGAGGAGCTTATTCTTAGTGTTTTAGCCCGAGGCGATCGAGCTATAGCTACCACCCGAGGATCTACAGATCGTATCAAGCATCTGAAGGATGCCGGTGCCGCTACCATGTCGCTTGATGTGACTGATTCACAAGCCAAACTCGATGCAAAAGTCCAAGAAGCTCTCAAAATTTACGATGTCATCGATGTCCTGATCAACAACGCTGGCTACATTGAGGCTACATTGAGGCTGGATTAGTCGAGGACGTTACGTTAGTTTCCCCAAGGTTCACATGAAACTGTTAACTGATGATTTTCCTTCTAGTCATGAAAGACTCGTCGCAAGCTGCAACACCAACCTATTGGGGCCTATCAATTTGACTCGTTCAATTCTTCCCCACTTTCGGCAACGAAAAGCTGGAACCATTATATTCATGGGTTCCGTTGGTGGCTGGCAAGGTGAGGTTGGTGCAGGCCCATATTGTGTGGGAAAATTTGGACTGGAAGGTAAGGAGTTTCGTAATTTCGCTCTCGATCGGCTTCGCTAACATGACACTATTAGGTATCGTGGAGTGTCTTCAAAAGGAGACATCTCAGTTTGGTATTCGGACCGTGGTCATTGAGCCAGGCTACTACCGTACAAAAGTATACTCTGAAGCCAATGTCAAGTGGGAACCATTTTCGATCCCAGAGTACGAACCCACGCAAACTGCTTTGAAAGGCATGGTGAAAGCTGTTGATGGCAATCAACCCGGTGATCCCAAGAAGGCTGCAGAGCGCATCGTCGATATTGTCAGACGAGAAGGCTTGGCGGCTGGAAAAGAAACCCCACCAAGACTTCCTCTAGGCCCAGACTGCCTCCAGCAGCTTAAAGATAAATGTTTGTCCACGTTAAAGATCTTGGAGGATTGGGAAGAACTCATTGTCAGCACAAACCTTGATGGCAAGTAGTAAAGTGCATTTCTTCCATGGTATGAATATTAAAATTTGACAATCATGAAGGGCCAAGACAAAGATGAGTACCGTAACATGTCAAGAAGTTGCTACTCCTCTCTCATGTTTTCATTCTGTGCTTTTGCCGTGTAAAATATCTACCTTTACAATACCTCTGATGGTGCCCGCGCCCAGAGTGCGTACATTAACATTAACAGGTCACTTGGTTCCGTGAACTTTCTTGTCGTTTGTTGTCATGAAGGTGGAACTTACCATGGCTCTGTCGATATCATGTGATTAGATATCCTAGGTTGGATAAAAGACCATAGACCACATGATCGTGTTAACATAATACCTCTCTCGTCATCACACTATGAAGGCAACAAAGATTTAGACCTCACATTTCGAATCAAGTCACAGTGCAAATTCATGTAGCCGGGCATGATACATAAGTAATTTCTGAATTCCTTTTAAATCGCCGTTTAAGTCTATGCAGTACAAAAAACCACCTGCCCAATCCAAAAATTTACCCATGATATCCGCCCGCTATTTGCTTCGAATGTTTTCATCATTTCGTGAAGCGTGAAGGTCATTACTTAATCATGTCGAAGTCATATAGCTGCAAAAAGTTAGCTTGATTATCGACGTTGTACGCAGGTGGTCATACCTCAAGCACTTTCGCTCATACTACTGTTGCTGCCGCTGCTGCTGCCGCTGCTCGTTGGTCGATTTCGTAGTTTTCCAAAGTTGACCTTAGCAGGAAAATACTTATCCAACATTTTCTTGTAAATTGGCTATCAAAAATTAGCTTAGATATTGATGCGCAATTGAAGTGAGTCTTACAATAAGCTTTTCAACATCAGGAGGGCTATCACTCTTGCTGTAAAGATCATACTGGTTGAAATCCTGTACCCATGGCTTCATCGCTCGATCATGATCGTTCTCAAAATGTGAGTATTCATTCTCACGATGCCATGGGTAGAACGAATGATACCGGATCATTGCCAAAGCCTCAGGTGGGAGTGTAGATTGGTCTTTGAGAATCTGGTAAAGAACTTCATCATGACCCCATGACATCATGACGTTGTCTAATCCACACCCTGGAGAATAAATGCCGTATTTGGTGTTGTAGCGAGGATCATTGAAGTCCGGGTTGTCTTTGAGACTCTCATAGAGTTCGATGCGCTTCGAGTACTCAGCGCCTACTATGAAGGTATCTCCGACAGTATCCCACTGTCCTTGACCCCCCATGAGGCACCATAGTTTGCCCAGGTCATGAACAAACCCAGTAACAACCATCCAATCGGGCCGTCCGGCCAGTCTTGCCGCCTCGGACGTCTGAAAAAGATGCTCTAGTTGACCGACCTGAGTATCAGGATCTGACTGATCAACAAATTTATCGAGAAGCAGTGCACCCTCCAACACGCCCATTTCCCACCGAACTCTGTTGGCAAATTCTTGACGAATCGTGATGTTGTATTCCACAGTTTGTTTGAGATGTTGTCTATTACAGGGTTAGCATATACGATCTACATATACTGAGAAGGAAAATGTCAGATTCATACTCTGTGTAAAAGTGTTTAACATGGTCTTTCGACTCATCATATCTTCGAAATAGCGTCTTGTCTTTCTCAGCGCCAGGCTTTTTCATATCGGCTTTGATAACGTTGAGCTCGTCGATTTTGTCGGAGGTCATCTCCAGTGCTTGTATATCTACTCCATTTTGAAATGGGATAGTATGTTGCTCCTCGGCTGGTGCGATTGAAGACTTAACCTCCTGTTGCCTGACTGAAAGTACTGAAGCCATGTTCAATAATGGTGAAGGAAATAAAGGGAGGTAGATGATTAAAAATTATGAGGTCTTCTGGAATGGTTTTTGAGATTCCAAGCAATAGAAAAGATTTTAAAATGAACTGTAGGTACTTAGGTACTTATACTTTTCCCGACCTTTCAAACAAGAGCTATTACGATATCATACCTAGGTACCTGGATCATCATTGCCAAGACTTTAACTATGTATTGGGTTCCATCAGAAAGGGGAACAAACATTTCTTCGGGTCATGGCAAAGAAACTACCTAGGTAATGCGTGGGGGTTTGAGGGGGGTGAGGGGGATTGACGGGGAAATGTGGAAACCGGGGTTACAGGTTTATAGATCTTGTTGATGATCAGTTGTCAACATTAAGGAAAATTGCTTAATTGGGTGCAGAGAGAGTAATTTTTCGGACTTTTTGCCGGTCCCCTAGATCTTCCAAGGTTAAATGATCAGCGGTCCATGCGGAGATATATGTGGGTAGTATTGTGCAACGGAAATAGAAAAATTACTAGATCGGTTGATAAAGTGGTAATTTCGAGAATTCTTACTTCTGTCTTATCTCTTCGTTCTTCTTTCTTCTCCGGACTACCGAATTGGCAGTTACCGTCTGTTCGTTTCTGGGACCGGGCGTCGGCAATGATGCCTCTATCCTCATCCGTCGTTCTTGGCAACTTTGTTCTACTTTAGAGTTTTGCCCCAAATCAACGTTGTTATCACATGTTCTCACGATGCCAGGAAAATCCTCTATTTACAATATAAGAATTGTGGGTAGGCTCTTGATAATTCTTATCAAAGCCTATCTAACCGGATTCATTACGCATCATTCTGACGTGTTACAATATGATAGTCCAGAAGTCTAGAATATCAATTACCCAACCACCAATATGCGTCTCATACCTAGTGAATCGACCCCGAATCGAAAGCCGAGCTTGGCAGAATGATCAAGAGACATGAGAAGGTATTGCCGATGAGATATCCTTCCGGGCTTGGCTTGTGACGACAATCCTTTGTACTATTGACGTCGATCAAGAAGGTTTACCGCTACAGAGTACTTATTCCCATGAAAATATAAATACCGGTAGAGATGCAAAGACTTGCTTGAAATATGATGCAAAGCGTTGTTGGTGAATGGTTCTATTACTTCATGGCTCAATGGCAGTTTCTTGCTTACTTTTTCCAAGCATCACTATGATGAATGGCCATTTCCAACCAGTCTTCCCCTTTCTACCATTTTCCATTTGCTACATCATACCTCGGAATTCAGTACCGAAGCTCCCCTCTTCCCTTCTCCAGATAATCGGTAGGCCCGAGCCGGTTCCACATGCCCACCATCTCAGCGCGGGATTGACAAACCACTGATCGATTATATACTGTTTCAACAAGCTGACACTCTCGGGATATTCATTGAATCATGTTCGTATCAGACCACGAATTGTCAACTGGGAATGAAAAATTAGCATAGGAGGAGCAATACTCAAACCTCGCTGACCCTAAATCGGCCCATTGCCGTATATGCTGCACTCTCCGCCCATGTGTCTCACTCGGAGAGTGCACATGATGTACTAGTGATAATAAAAGCACAGATATATAGTCCCAAGATACATTCTGGTCATCTTTCTATCTACATGCATGTGGCTAAGCCATATCTTTATTTTTGTTTTACAATTTGTGAAGTCGACCTGTGCTTTCAGACCATGTAGGGTATGTCATTCTCTCTTTTTGTATTCCTCGATGCTGTGATATTAGCCCGTCATATAACCAATTCCATTCTCAAAGGTCTTGTGCAAAAGCAGGTCTGCTTTGCTACAGTGAAGCAGAAGTCTTTTTGCATTATCAATTGGAAGGAAACCCCCATGCTTTAATGAGCTGGGTCGAGATTTTCCAGAGGGGAACGTTCTCTGGCGACCTACCGCTAGACAAACTCAAACGCAATCATAGACTTGTCCACCCTTGAGCCACGAAACTTTTATAGATTATTTGATTAGGAATTTAACATCAAAACTAATCTATCAAATAAATCAATTCCATAAAATCAAGTCCCAGATGTAATCTAAAAAGCCGTCGTCGACCAAAATGATCCTCTAACTCTCTACATAGCTCACCAGAAATGATTAATTAAATCCTTCTAACTCTATACCAGAAAACTGAACTCCACCAGCACATCAGGACTTACTCTAAATCCTCGCTATTATCGATCTTTGGAAAGGTGCATTAAGCAAGGAGTATTATCTGACCATGAATGAGGAATGGCTCCAGATAGAATACATTCTTTTATGACTCAGTGGTGTCAACGAGAACTTTCAAAACCAAGCTACCATTCTCATCCTTGACTTTACCAGCCATTGCAAATGCTTCCGGAATACTCTCGAATCCCTTGTACCTCTGCGTGATTAACTTGGAGAGATCAGGGAGCAAAGGATCTTTGCTCGCAACAAGTTTAATGGCATCTGCATAAGTGTTTGCATATCTGAAAACACCTACGAGATCAACCTCGCGTAGAGCAGCTGCAGAGATTGGTAACGTTTGTATGGGTGTTCCCATTCCAATCAGCATAATCTTTCCTCCTGGTTTAGTTGCCTGACAAGCGTTAGCATCAATCTTCCCATCCCGTAAAACATCTTTTGACTCACATATATCGAAGCCTGGAGGCATGATTCAACACCCGTACATTCGAATACTGCATCAACCTCCCCTTCTCCAGATGCTTTCTTAACCAATTCGGCGACCTCTTTCGCAAAAGCCAACTTATCCTCAATTGTCTGAGGTCTGGTCATTGGAACCAGAAGTTTGGCATCTGCAAAATTGTTCTGGACTGCAAAATCTAATCGGTCGGGCTGTATATCTGCTATAACAATATTCTTGGCGCCAGTAACTCTGCACATTGCTGCACATAAGAGGCCCACTGCTCCGGCACCGAAGATGAGTACCGTCTTGCCCTTCGGTAAAGCTGCTCGTCTTGCGCCGTGGATTGCGACACTGAGAGGTTCGAGCACGGCACCGAGCTCAAGAGATACATTTGCAGGTAATCTACCCCAGTGAGCACGTGGCAGAAAAAATACAGAGTCAATACCTACAAATGACAATATGCTGCAGGATGATTAATGCGTTCTTGCAGAGTTCCTTGGAAATGTGGGAATGCTTTCGCTGAGCTTCTAAACTTCATTTCTTTGCAGATATTGTATCTTCCATTTACACATAAATCACAAGTCTTGCAAGGAAGTCCAACTTCTAAGGCAACGCGGTCTCCAACTTTCAGATTACTGACTTCGGAGCCAACAGCAGTAACAATCCCAGCAGATTCATGCCCAAGAGTCATAGGCTCCCGGACAATAATATCTCCATTTCGATAATGATTATAGTAATGTAAATCAGATCCGCAGAGACCAGTAGCCTGCACCGCGACTTGTACCTCTGTTGGCTCAGGTACACCTAGAGTACGAGTTTCCTTTTCGAATGTCAGCCATCGTAGTCTTACCTTTTTACAGAGAAATTACTTGAGAACACCTAACTTACAACTTTCAAATCTTTGGCGCCATGAAGCACGGAAGCTTTCACTTCACTCCGCTCACCACTTTCGATGTTATTAGTAGATGCCATGATGTTGAGTGCTTTCTTGTAGAAGATATTGTATAATGATGATCCTGATTTCATTCCAAGGTCAAAATGTGTCCTTGAATGACATTTTACAGTAATTAAGTACATTGGCTAGTCTTTGTACTAAAATGACTTCTTTTATGCCGACAAATCAACAAACAGGTTATGACGGTGTTATCAACCCCACTGTGGAGAAAATCGGGGAGCTACCCCCACGTTTTAACATCTCAGGCCGCAAATCGGAGTGGAGAGTGGGAGCACAAGAGCAAATTACTTAATTGTCCAATTGATATACGAACTTAAGTACTAAGTATTAATCCCCAATTGTCAGACCATGTGAGGCTTCACGGAATAACACCTTCGGGTACAACATAATACAATGGCAGCCACAGCTTTATCAGCGTTGTTCTCTTTGGAGGGTCAAACCGCACTCGTTACTGGTGGTACTCGAGGTATTGGACAAGCTGTTTGCATAGCACTTGCTGAAGCAGGAGCAGATTTGATCTTGATCCAGGTGATTACCCTCATTACACCGGATCCAAACTGTATCGTACGTACTGACGAAAGATTTGCTACAGCGTAGTCGTGAGAATCTCGAGACTCAGAGAGCCGTTGAGGCTCTGGGCAGGAAAGCTCCCATATACACCGCGGACCTTGCATCGCAGGAAGAAGTCGCCGGCATCACATCTACTATCCTGAAAGATGGACACTCGATACATATCTTGGTAAACTGTGCTGGAATTCAAAGGCGCCATCCGAGCCACGAGTTTCCGGATAATGATTGGAATGAGGTACGCATCTTAGTCTCCATAATGTATCAAGGTGGATTGTGCTAATAGTCATCGTATTTAGGTCATTCAAGTCAACCTCAATACTGTCTTTACCCTCTGTCGCGATGTTGGTGCACACATGTTGAAGCTCGAACCATCTGCCATTACTGGCCGAAGAGGTAGCATCATCAATTTTGCTAGTCTTCTTACCTTCCAAGGTGGTCTTACTGTCCCAGCATATGCCGCATCGAAAGGTGCGGTGGGACAGCTTACCAAAGCTTTATCAAACGAATGGGCATCGAAAGGAATTAATGTCAATGCGATTGCTCCGGGGTATATCGAGACGGAGATGAATACTGCCTTGTTGGCCAACCCAGAACGATTGAGGAGTATTAGCGAAAGAATACCGGCGGGTCGATGGGGTTCCCCAGATGATTTTAAGGCGAGCGTCGTTTTCTTGGCAAGCAAGGGAAGTGCATATATTTCTGGAGATATTCTTACGGTTGATGGTGGCTGGATGGGCAGATGAAAACTTGTCGGGTTCAAAATAATATATTTCTAATTCTAATTCGATGCTCTTTGACTTTACGCCGTTTCCCTCAATGTTCATGGTTCTAAATATTCAGGTTCTCCCGGTCGTCATCCTCAGACTGGTTGATAAAAACCATTTTATGGGAATTTTTTACTCTGACGAGATCAATTGGCTCATGGGTCTCCTGCTCAGTTTATAGCATAGTATGGAATCGTTAACCTATGATTTATTGAATGTTCTTGTTCAAGATTTCAGTATACTATTGTATATCCCACTCATGTAAATTGATCATGACACACCACGAACTATCTGCATCGATATCATTCCTTCTCTTTAGATTGTTTCTTGTGGGGCCTTTGCCGTGTGTATACCCTTTTGACAATCGGCCTGTTCATAATTATCGTAGCGCCCGGAAGAGTATCTCAACGTCAATCAAATTTTCAAGATATATCTAGCAGGCCCACCTACCCCCGTTTATGCTATTCCTCCCAGTGACTACTTCCTCAGTGCCGGTATGCACTCCCGTCCATGAACATTCAATTGAGTGCTATTCTGTCTTTCCGTTCCATCTTTGTGATCTCATCTCCGAGACATGCCCCGCCAACCCCACGCGCAACCATGAAAAATCTTTTGCAAGAAAATCCATGAAATGGAACGCCACCAAAGAAATCAGACAAATCAAGCATTAGTGGTTAGAAATATTACGGTGTAATGATACTCCGAACCGTTTCGTGGGGATGTCATTCCGGGGTCTAGAGAGCTTCTGAATCCACATCGTGCACCAATCGATGAACACCCACAAGATTCCCCAACGCCATCATCTTTCATCCGTTTTCTCTTTCAGTACAACCTGCAAATGGATTGGATAGAGCAGACTCAAACCCAGAAAAGAAATCTTTCCTTCCCAGTCATAAAGCCACGCCCTCTTAAACTATTCGCTCCATTCACTCCAAAACAGGATCAAAATTTCACCCAACAAAAATATCAACAACTTCCTCAATTTTCAGGCTAAAAAGATGAAAAGAAATGCAAAATGTCATTGGAGCGGCAGGGAGTCGAACCCTGGACTTCATCGAAACTTATCAGATGTATCTGTGAGGATATCTGAAAATGCAAACGAGGCACTCTACCACTGAGTTACAGCCCCTGATGGTTGTTGTTGTTGTAGGGATGGGGGTTAAGTTTATATATATCTATTATTTAAATGTCCACTCATGAGATGTGGAGTTCATGCAGGAAAATAGGTTGTGCTTATTGTATTGGTATTTGTCAAGTGCAAGACCCGCAGAGGGGCAGTATCCACAACCCCTCTTCTTGTTATTTTTTTGTGACCACTCAGCAGGATTCCTTTTGCTTGTGATGGATAATTGATGCTCTGATTGGATGTTTTGAATGGGCTTCTTCGCATGTATCTGATTTTTAACGACATACCGCTTTCGTGGCTAGCAGCGTTCACTTCATCGTCATCAGTTATTGGGTTCACTTTTGGCTCATCTCCATACATAGTAGGGGTTTTGCGAGGTGGAAGGGATTAATAAGAAAAATGAACTGTCATTTTATATTTTCATATAACTTTAGCATGAATTTTGAATATTCAGGTGGAACTCAATAACTCAAAGGATTTGAAAATTTGGCCTGAACCCAGAAATTGGAAGCCTCTCATTGTCAGACTGCAGTACGGACTGCAGGAAACCATGATACAAGGATGTCAGTGACCTGCCTTGAAAATAGACGGAGAATCAAGAAAGTCCAATGATGATTGTCAGAGTTCGAAGTCGTAGTTCGATTTAAGGTCGAAAGGAACCTAAATCTTATTTCCCAAATAGACATCGTTGTAGAGTGAAGACATACCTTTAACGTAAGATTGATTTTTTATGCATGAAGCAGCGCCACTTTCACTGCAGTCAATTATAGAAGAGACTACCACGAAACGATTGTCCAAGTCCGGTCCTTTCTTACATCTGACTCACATGAAGCAAGTCGTTTCAACCATACGGAGATAGGAAATTCTAACCTGACGTCGAGGTGGAAGAGCGTTGAGCTTTATGAAGGATCAGCCCATTGTAATGTTTCAAATCAAACGTCAATCTGGTAAACACCATCCAGAAATCAATGGTATATTAAAATCTACTCAAGATATGAAAATGTAAAACTCATCCTCATAGCAATATCAAGCGGTCCATCAACTGCTACTGTTTCAATTCAAAGAGATACGAGTTCATTATCCCTTCTACGATTTGAAAGAAAGAATCTCCCCTGATTATTTCAAACCCTGTCATTTAGAAAAATGGTTGAGGTGTGACGTATCGAGTTATCACAATCACCAACAGTGAAGTTGAGATTCATTGATAAAGTATTCTGATGCTGAATTCGATATATTTCGTATCATCTTGAGGTTCTCGGTAGTCCTTAGCCTCTTTAGCGAGCTCCCTACATTATAAGTTATCATCTGTCTCTAACATTTAGAAGCCCAAAGTTGAGAAAATGGCACGTTCAGGACAAAGAACTATCAATTTATAACTCCGATATGGAAAGAAAAGCGCAATCCTCTCATCTGAAGGTTGTACAGCTGTACAATATCTCTACCCAATACCTATAATGGTAGACTATCGTCTAATCTTTTTCCTTTGAATTAACAACCATTGTCGAGGCGCGCGCAACTATTTTTTGCTCTCCGAAAGAATGCTCTATAAATCTGGCAATTCAAGTTGACAACCGATAACATGATTAAAGAAGCAGTCAATTCCGAGTTTCGAATGGTATATATTTGCTTTTTGGAAGAATTTCAAAACGACTATAAACAAGAGGAATCGAGACTGAATGTCAAACCACTAGAAGCCCCTGTATTATCCCACCAAAATCCCACTATTTCCCCATCGCTATCTTCATCTTCTTCATCTTCTTCATCCATTTCGCCGTCATAGCCCTCTTCTTCATCATCGTTGTACTCCACAACGATAACACTGCCATCCATTTCTTCATCGCTATCTTCCCCTTCATTATCTTCATCGATTCCTCCGTCGTTACCCTCCTCCCCATCATTGTTGTACTCGACAACGATAACGCTGCCAATACTTTCTTCGTCGCTTCCCTCTTCCCCTTCATCATCAACCTCCTCAACACCATCAACAGCGTCGGCGGCAGCCTGCGTAGCTGCAGAGTCTGCAGCACGCTGGTTCTTAATGATAAGCTCCCTGATGTGCTGCTTCGCGTGACTCCAACTACTATTAAAGGAGCGCGGCGTATTAATGCGTCCGTAACTGGCCGCCCAAACAGGATCCGCTTTTGCTATACCAAGCATCATTTCCCAATAGCCGAAGACGTGGCGACTGAGATCTGTGATATCGTAGGCTGTTGCTGTTGTTGGTGCAATGGTCTCGTGAACTCTCATTGTCTCTTGTTGAACTGTAAAATGACTAATTAGCATTTTGCCTTGAGAGACTGGAGATGATGATCAGAGGTTTACTTACACCGTATCTTCGCGTTGTAGATTGCTGCATCTTGACGGCAAAGAAAAGGCAGGGTATCAATGGTAGGATAGGCTCCCGGGCTGTATTGCTGGTCTTTAAACCAGAGGTTATAGTCTATGTTACCCACTGGGACATGGGCAGACATTGTGCGAGGAGGAATACGATGATAGTGGACAGTGATAGTATTGCGCTACGGAGCTGATAGAAATTTGAATGAGACGACGACGCGAATTTAGTTTGTGAGCGCGGAAGTGCCCGTTGGATGATAGCTGGTGGGATCAAAGAGAAGTTTCAATATTTAGAAAGAGTGTATGAGACAATATGCGGTAATAAAAAGCTTTTTCGCTACGCGTTAACCTTCTTTTTGGTGTCCTTTGTGGTGGTTGTCGCGGAGCTCGAGGTTGCTGTACCCGACAACAAAAATCAATTTGACGCGTGAATTTAATGTTGACATAAAAACATGGGCTGACTATAGTCCTCGTGTATGTTGAGACGACTACCTTTATACAACTAACTCGGAACAAGCCATTTGGTTTGTTAGTATCCTATTTTGAGCAAGTCTTAACATTAATGCAATGCATTATTCTCACTTGTCAACACAACAACCTCTTCGAAGTGGAGGAGAGGAAAAGTAGTGAAAACCACAAAATTCTCTTGAACTGAGGAACAAAAAATCTTTTCAGTGGATAAGACCAAGACGTCTACTCAAATACGGTAAGTAAATAAAGAATGAATTATATTCACAGATTGATCACGCAGTCAAAGAACCAATACAAGACAGTCAGGATTGCTCAGAAGTTGTACTAACTTATCAATACAGACAGCAAAGGGGACCAGAGAGCAGAAGGTTGACAAACAAACACCTCAAATTTATTCGATAAATCTCAAGTTTACTGCTTGGATGGCAGCAGCAGTAGTTTTCTACTTCCAACACATGCACCACACACGACAAATCAACAAACAAACACAACACTGCTTGTCAAAATGACAATCACTATCTGGTAGTCATTTCTGGCCTCGGTAGGACAATACCATTATACAAACTACAACCAAACATAGGGAACGAGAAAACAGTTATACACAATGCCTCGCTTGAAAGTTACCCAAAACGCTCTGCAAAACAACGAGCTAGGAGAAGAGAGGTTAACAAGTGGGGTATGGATATCTATCTATTTAAAAAGTACTACATTCAGCCGGATCCACTACATATTATGATTGTGGGTGAGTATTCATGGGGCAATTTTTACTTGAAGGACAAAGTACGGAGATTTTCTATGCCAAAATTGCCCTTGGAGCACAAAAGGGAAATCTCAAATCATCAAAAACGCCTCTGACTAGACCTCAGAATAATAGTTGCTACCACTTCGAATGTCTAAATACAAAGTCTCGTTGTACAATCAGAAGTTCATTGAGGCACCTCAGTACTGAAGCTCTTACTACAGATCCGCGAACGAGGAGGTATGAGATGGAGATAGGATAGCCCAAGTCGCTTGCATATATGATGTTTGGTTACCTCCAGATCTAGATCTGTATACTCGTCTTACTCAAAATTATTGATTATAGGTTTCCCCAAATGTTATAGATAGGCCAGATGAAGTACTCAGATATAGTGGGCTAAGCATTTCATCTAAAGTTGCCATTTAGTCTCTGGGCGATATAGAGTGAGTCTTGAATTAATTCGCAGCCTGGCTAGTTAGTGGCCGCGGGCTTCTGAAGAGATATCAAGATGCATGTCGTCATGTAGCCGAATCAACTTCTGCGCGTGATGATAGCGATTGTTTCCACAATGGCACAATTGAGACTGCGCTAAATCATCTCTCGCCTCATCATTGAAAGTTGAGCTATCGAGAATATTCTACCAACATTTCATAAAGGGCATGCAGATATTTAGGACAGACTGGTTCGTCATCGTTCAACATAAAGAGATCATGTATATGCATGTACCTACTCAAGTCTCAATTCCACAATCCAAATATTAGTAATGACATGAGCTAGGGTATTTCCTGTTGCCGGCTCCTGTCCAATATTAGAACAATGGGGCGTTACCTTAGCTAACTAGGTTTCCTCTAGACACTGTACCGACACCGCAGACTATGTCAACGCGCCCTACTACATCGCCGGCATAAGTATGAAGAACAACGGTCAATACTCTGTTCCCGGGTACAAAAATTCCCTGCACGACATCTTACTCGCATTGATGAATCAATTGGGTTGAAAATGATATTGCGCCGGACAGTATCATCGGGACTGCATTTGCGAGCTCCACAACCGCGGATGTGGTTACGAGATAGAGACCGATTTGTCCGCATCCCAAGCACGCGAAGTTTGATGGGGAGGGAGACCCCAATGATGCTATGAGTTGGAAGTGTGAGATGCTTTATTAGTTTTTTTGGGGGTATGCGGTGTAGTGTAATGTAATGTGTCATGATTGATGAGAGGTTGAGTTTATGTGTTTGAAGATATGATTCAACACTTTGTTGTATATATTAAACTGGAGTGTGTATGACGTAGTAATTATTATATAGGTACTCATTATCAAACTCAAATTCTATCTAGAGAGCTAGAACTATACACAGAAAAGACTAATTTTTGAATAGAGTCCAATACGAGTCTAACGTTCTCGCTAAATCTACCATAGTAAGCATATAAACACTTCAATTATATTGATCTCTATTAAATTCAGAGGCTAAAGATAGATGAAAAAAGCTATCATCATCATCTGGTTAAGACAACAATAAATATAAGAATTTTTTATATACATAAAGAGATCTAGTTCTTGGAAATGATCTCCTCGCTATGTTTTTACTAAAGATTGATCTTTAAAATAAGTAAAACGTTTCTTTTGATTGCTTTAATACTCGAATATAGACTTATAATAGCAATGCTATTGCTAAGTTAATAAGCCCTCTTTTCAGTTCGTTCAGATACTCACCTACTGTAAAGTTATTTATATCACTGAGATAGTGAGGGCATGAAGGATATCTTCCCTAGCATTAGATTGTGGTTACCTAGGCACACTTCTATTGGATTCCTACGATTTTCAAAAAAAGGATACATATTTTACGGCACACACAGGGGATGATCAATTCCAGCGTAGAGAATTGACTGAGTAATTAATTAGAGTAATTGGAAAGTGGTAGTGTCACATATGTTTTTCATATTGTCAATATATTGGAAAAGCATCGATGTGGAAGCAAGGAAGGCCCAACAAAGACTTAGTACAATGGTCGCTTAAAAGCGTCGAAAGTGTAGGTCCAAGTGTCGTAAGAAGCTTGGTCAAAGACACAATCCTGGGTAGTACCATTGTTGATCCAGAGAGGACGAAGAGGCCAAGCACAGATTTGAGCGTTGTCACCTTTGTAGTCACCAGCCAAGTGGGTGGCATTGAGAGTGACAGGAACCGTGTCATTTTCCACCCATTCAATCAGGACCTGCAAGTTGGTTTGAGGGAAAGGACCATTTTCTTGTTCGCTGTTGATGGCGCAGTGAGCTGCACCGGGAACCATGTATAAGCGGTACCATTCTTTCAAAGCTTCAGTGCTCTCGTTGAAGGATAGACCAGGATACATGATGCTGCGGACAGACTCATAGTAGTGAACTGAAGAAGCGGCGGGCACACTAGGATCAGATTCACCATGGAAATGAAGGATTTTGCCTCCGTAATTGTAGATATCAGTGAGATCCGGGTTGTTGGTCTGAAGTGAGTCCTCATATCTGGTCCAACCTTGAACCATCCATTGCACCAAGGTATCATAGGTGACATTATCCAAAGAAGAAAGGTTATCAAGATCCTGTAATTCAAGGAACCTAGCGACCCATTCGCCACCAGTTCCAGCAATGCTGAGTTCGTAGGAATCGGTATCGGAATTGTAGGTAGTTGCTGCATCTTCGAAATCGGCAGATGGCTGATACGAGAGATAGGCACGTCGACCTTGAGAATCGTGTAATCCGTCGAGAATGGTTTGCGCAACTGCTACTGCCTCGGCTGACACAGTACCGTTTGCAGCTGGGGTGGTAGTTCCTCCGGTCATCTGCCTCTTGCGCTTACCATAACCAAGACCAATGCCGCCACCAGAGCTGGCAGCACAACTGTAAGGCAAGCCGATAGTTTGGTTGATGTTGTAATGAAGCTTGCAAAGGTCTGTTCGAGCCACCACGCCATCAACCTTGCCATCAAGGGCATCGCAGTTAGAGATGGTTTCATTAACAATTAGTTCAAACTCGCATGGCGATGGGTAATAATCAAGTGTTTGCTCGACAACATTTGAGAAGAGATGATTGACTTGCTGTTGGCCATATCGGAAAGCTGGTGCACCGGCAATAATACCGTCGTAAATATCACCCCAGCGTTGAGCTTGACTCCATCCCTCACGACCACCGTCGGAACAACCTTGATAATAAGCGTAGAGCTTATTATCACCCATATCGTAAAACTGCTTAGTAAATTCTTTTCCAAGCGTAGTCAGCTCGCCAAGGGCCTGATAACCAAACATGTAAGTGGGCTCCCAATTGATTGTACCATTTTCGAGAAGGAATACGGAGTCGAAAACAGTATCAAATCCACCATCAGTGAGACCAGACGCGGCGCCATACATAACACCTCCGACAAGGTTACTAGTACCCGAATTGATGCTGTAAGCCATTCCTCCAGATGAGAGCCATCTGTTCTCGAAGTTCTCTGGGGCTGGCAACCAAAGTGTTAGAACCACATTGTCCCCACGACCATTGTGGGTATAGGAGAAGGTGACGTTGCAGAAATTGACAGTAGCATCGGGGAAGAAAGTTTGTCCGCTGACAGAAGTGTTGTAGACGACGTTTGCTGTAACCGATGATGGGATGACAGAACTCCCGAATAATGTACCGTCCGCGGGTAAAGCCGCTTTAGCGACGGCTGTTGTACAGATGTCGGTCAGAGAATCTGCAGAAGCTGTGGCAGCAGCGGCTGCGATTGCGAAAAGTGACTTGCGCATTTTTAAAGAAAGAAAAATCCAATTTAGAATATCCAAATGGATAAAAGTAAAGACTGTGTTGAGCTTCTAGCTATCGAGAAAATAACGTAGATGTACTGAGAGGAAAGCTAGATCTCTTGCTGAAGCTATTCCTTTAGTTCAAACGAAAGTCTTTATACTTGATTAAAGGTGTAATAGAGGTCAACGAACATGATCTTAGCAGGGGCATTCTGTCTAGTGAAGTCTCTTCTTTTCACCGTAAAGTGAAGCAACGCATTGTTGTACGTATGCTTCATTTAGGATACACATGAAAACATAATAGATGAAGGGCAAATGGCATCAATATTGATGAGCCTGAAAAAATCTAAACTATAATATTGGCCCCTATGACGAAGCTTTTCGTCAGCAATAGATACATCTGGGAGACAAGTCTACTGTATACATGCTATTCGCAATCTTCAAGGATACTCTTAGGCGCTAGACTACGGCCTGAGTGGGTATTAATCTATAGTCCACTTCTTGCATATGACATTCTCAATCGGAAAGTCTAACGGCACCCTCAGAAAAGTCTAATCAACCTTAGAACCCCTTTCTGGCCTGGGTACCTCTATCTTAGGTTAAGGCTGCAATGTGGGTGATCTCCGTGATTTAAAGCAAGCTTAGTTCAAAGAACCTATAAAGATCTTTATTCTCGATGTGAAACCTTAGGTACATGTTGAATAGTATTTTTATTTCCATAGCGTAATACCCCAGAAGCTTCCTCCCTTGAAGAAAAGAATTACTTCAGGTGTGCGACTCCTTGTATTAAAACTCTTGGAGACTAACATTTCTAGTATCAACTAGAACTGTAATAGTTAAGTCGAACGAAGGCTATTCTCGAACTTGTCTTTATACTAAGTCAGATGTATAAACTTGAGCAAGCAAAACTATCAAGTTTATTCGAGTTTTATATAATTTGTCAAATGATTTGTTCGATTGATGATTGATTCACGAACAAATTTCTACTAAAAGTTAGACAGCGATCTGGTTTCAAAGCTTTTGTTTATTAAGCTCTTCATGTTGAATGTGCACGAATCGGTGCCAATCACACCCTACTCGTTGTCGCTAGGTCACGTGTGCACAGGTCACGCGTACATAACTAGCACATAAAAGTTCTCTGAGGTTTGAGTTCTTCGAACTACAGTTGTCTCAATCTGCACATTTATCTATGTCAGTTTATCACACATAACCCATCCACATTTAACTCTCCGGGTTGAAACTGTATCCAGCGAGCCATTGTCATTTCTCACGGGCTATTATAAATTTGTGTACGCGATGTATCGCGGACTAGTGTTTTCGATTGGTGGTCAATCACTACCTCCCCGAAACCCCCGACCCAAACCGTTATTAGTGGTGTTTAAAATCCGACCAGCTCGTCAAAAACAATGGCGTCAATAATCGCATTTAGATTGGCATCAACGCTTAATTATGGATAGGGATTGATCAGTTGCTTCTCTAGCAGGACGGATATTTGCGCAACCATGCAGATACAACGCGGCACTTACAAATATGTTCCTGTTCATCTATTGTTGAGGTACCGGTATATCGCCGGATTTGTGGCATGTTAGTGGACGCCACAGGCCCCAGCCGCTCGCTCAATCACGAAGCATAATCTCGGAGGTTTATAATGTCCGTAGCATATTTGTGTATTTCGTAACAAGTTGATTATTTTTCTATCTATTTCTCCAAAAATACGTCCTTCCAATATGGTATGCTCTCGAGCTACCAGCAAATTTAAAGGGTCGGTCGCACGTATTAATTTGAATATTTCCTATGCAAATATATTGGAATTACTTACTTGAGTTGCTACTGCCAAGTCGGAAAGTATTGACGACTTGCGGTAGATAAGAATTTAAGCAATTCTCAGAATTTACTTCTATCGAGTGAAGATATTGCTCTGTAGACTCTATTTATTCAGCAATAATTCTCGGCCGTCTTTCAACTTTGTACAGTGTCGTTATATACGAACTCTGATCTTCGAGGGATATTCGGGTGACTTAGGAGAAGGTAGGAGAAGGTTCATCACGCATATTTCACATATAAGGAGCAAAACTCTTTACTAGCTACCATTTACGACTTGTAGCAATATAAAGGCAAAACTAGCTACACATTTTGAGTCTTTGAAACAGGTTTTGATTGAATGAAATATGTAAGTTGGCACAGGAAGACCGCGTACTAATTCTTCAAGGACCCTATACATCTCTGAAGTTTCGCGCGAAAATTCAAGGGTCTCGAGAAGAGATATAGTAGAAAATACTCAGAAGAATTACTAATTCTATTAGTACTTCCACTGGAACGATGAGAAAGCTTGAAATAGTGAAAGTTCAAGCGAGAATCAGCAAGAACCCCTAAATAGCTATAAGCTCTCGTAGAGGGACCTCGAAGCCTCGGATAATATCCGATTCAGGTGTTGATGGTGTATAGATAAAGATAAGAGAGATCATGGTATTGCACTTCGCCCGGGATTTGATGGTCGCCGTGTCAAGCAAGGTGCAGTACAGTCCAGTTGTTGCTTTCAACATCTACAAGACTCACTCTTCCCTCTCAACCTTCTCCCTCATCAATGACTTTTTAACACTTCCTAGTATCTGTGCAAAAGAAGAACACTAAACTGCAAAGTCCTCCCATCTCATTCTCCCACTATGTGTACAACATATATACACAAGAGTGGAGTGGAATACAATCATATAACCATAATCCACATACTCGTGTTCCGACATTAAAAATGAACCATATTATCCCTATTTGATATAACCCACCTCATTGAAGAAAGACGACATTGATCAATATAGCAAAACCACTTTCTATGTTCATATTCCAACAGCATTATTCACACAAAATTCATCTACATACATACCTAGGTAACCAACAGCTCAATCCCGAGTTGAAGTCATCGGGTCTGGACAGCCTCCCCACCACAAAAAACCTGCGCACGTACCATCCCCACCTCGCCTAATATCCACCACCAAAGAAATCCCCACCATCACCGTCCAACCTCAAAAATTCTTCAAAAAAAACTGCAAAAAGAGAGATGGAATCAAACCATCATCGTTTTCAATCCAAGACGACGTCTTTGGCGGTGCTGGGAATCGAACCCAGATTGAAACGGATCATTCGTGATATATCCTGTAAGGGATGAGCCACAACGTCACGTGCTACCATTACACCACACCACCTGCTGAGAGGCTGTTTTTGATGTTTAGGATGGAGTATTTTAGTTATATATACACATGACAATGTTGGTGGGCTAGGGTTAATCAGGTGAGAGGCATTGGCATGAGGGGAAATTGGTGTTGGTGTACTGAGTAGGTACAGATACGGAAATGTGGGGTAAAATTCGACACCGAGACTGACACGTGATGTGCTGCATATCATACAAACCTTATATGAACCTTTTGGAACCTTTCAATACTTCAACTCCAACTCAGCAATCAAATACTTTTAATGTTCTAGTTTAGATTGAATAATCATACTATTTCAATCTTTTAATTCAACCCAAACAATCACATTCTTCTAATCTCCCAGTTCAGATTGAACCACCATACCATTTCAGTCTTTCAAACCAGATTAAACAATTACATTATTCTAATCTCCCAGTTCAGAATGAATATCCAAATGGTTAGGGATCTATCATGGCGTGTAATTCAATCACTCAGTAGGTAGGTAACGAAGAGCTCACGAAGAGAATTGAATCCATAAGTTATCTCAAGACATTTATTTGTGTACAACGAGCTGTTGTAATCTTATTTTTCAAATCGAACTCTGACAGGCTGTCTACTTGCTGTCGTTGTAAGTGGAAAGGTGAAACTAAACCTGAGTAAACAACCCGATAGACTTGCTGGAATTACAATGATGAGGAGAATAGATGAAAAGAACTACATCTACCTGTCTGCTCCAGATTTTGGACTACTTGTACTAACTAATCGAATGTATGTACTACCTAAATTCCATGGCCAGAATTCACGATATACCTAGCCTCGATACAAATATGTATAACAAGCTGTATAATGTCGATAGATTACAGCGTTTTTTCCATAACCCTTACCCTTAGAGATTTTATTAATAATAGTTAAGATATTTTTTATTACTTTCTATTTTATTATTAGAATTAAAGTTTTATACTTCTTAGGTTATATATTTTTTATTTTGGATATTAGTAAAGACGGTAAGTGAGGATTTTTAAAGCTTAAATCTCGTTTAGTTTCTTGTGCTATTTGTCTTTGCTTGGTGATAGTTTCCTGGTTTATGTATGATGTCTGGAATAGCTGAATCTTTGTTTGAGAGTATGTGCTTTGCTAGGCCTTTGATAACAACCCAACGGCTAGTCAACAATCCCTTCTTCTTGCGCTATTCAGTATGTATTTTCTCTCTATTAGAGTCCATATCTTCCCAGTACTTCCCTATATATAAGAATTTGTCGGCACCCTCACTCTCGTCATCGGCTGTTTCGCTTTCATTATCGGAACGTTCACTCGTAACCACTGAGATATCACTTTAAGTGCCATCTTCGTTTGATTCACCATGTACTTTATCTACTGGATCTAAAACACTTACCCCTCTCAAAATCTCTTTCAACTTGAGATATAACCAGCGAGCTTGTGAGAAAATCACATCAACATTTGACAAGTTCTATAGAATTAAAAGAGTATGAAGATTGTCCAATTCAGCATTTATTACTTTCGCCAATCTCAATGTGTGAAACCGCTTGACTCTTTTATTATTTCAATTTTGTTATTAATTTCATAGCAAAGACCTTCATCGCCATTTTAAATGAGAAAGCCTTCCCAGTAAATATTCTTTTCCTGAATGCTTTGAATAATGTTTATTTAAAACTTTTGGGATTTTTAAGAAAAAGTCGTTTGCTAACCATTCCATTATAATCACTAAGCATCTTGTAAATCCAGTGAACAATCTAAATCTTTTCATAGAGTTTTGTAGAATTTGAAGCTTCGATTTCTTTCGATTCTGTAGATAATTCTGAAGCTCCTTATACCTCAGAATTTGGAGTTTGATGTTTTGGAATACTTATCACAACCAAACTTAGGCTTCCTCCTATACCTAAAAATTGTCAATTTCTATCTACCACCTTAAAAAGATAACACAAGAAGATAGTAGCGAGTAACCAGCAACTTCATTATATACTTAGCTCTCAGCTTGTGTGTCCAGCTCTTAATCTGTTTCCAATAGATATCATACACTCATTCTCATCATTCGTGACTGTCATATTTCTAACCTTGCCCGATTTTTCAGACTCATCTTTGCTTTCACTCCCCCATCCTTAAGTTGATGATACATTCTTGACATGCCCATGTATGCTTGAGCGACCTTTTCTTCGCCTCAACTTTCTAGAAGCTTCTTCAAACTCTTTTCGCCATCGTCAGCTCCTTCAACTGCCTCAACTCCTCCAACCGTTCCCATCAAGTACTCCTTCCACTTCCCGCTCCACTCTTTATAGTTTTTCCTCTTTGTTTTAAGGAAGAGCCCAGCCCCCGTATTGATCCATTCTATTGAATGGAATAACAATCGATCGTTATGATCCTCCGACATGGATAAATCTACTCCAGATTTTCGGAACCTAGAAGATGCAGTTCGAGTTGTTGAAGGTTTAGCCGTCATGACATCGGCTGCTTGTCCATCAAGTAATCTATACCGTGTCAGTATTAATATTTTATCCATACTCTACATGTTATAAAGCTAACTTACTGCTGTAAAAGCGCAAGATCTCTGTTCTGTTTCCCTGTCATAATTTCCAGGGCTTCTTCGATCACCTCCTGTCGTGCCTGCAACACATCTACCACGACACCGAATTGGTTGTATGGCATCGATAAACATTTTGGGCTACTTCTAATCTTGGTGGGATCGAGGGCTGGTGTAGAAGTAGATTCAGACATTCTTTTGGATCAAGATCATGAATAGAGCGAAACCAAATCTAGCAGATTTACAAATAATTTATTTGTTGAACCTCGATAATATTTTATATAATTAATATAAAGAAATATTACTAAATAACTAATGTTCAGAAATCAAGATTGGTCTTTCAGGATCTCAATTTTATTAAGAAATCTTTATTCTACAATAAGTACTCCAGATAACCAATCTTCGCTTTCTAAAGAATATATTAACTACTCAAAGGATCAAATGAATAGAGACTTGATAATGAATATATGCTACACTAAACAGTTTTTCTTGAATTAACATTATATCTCAAAAAGAATAACTAGAAGTATTAGTTGTAAAATATATCATAAATATTTATATGTATAACATCCAGACCTAGAGCTGGAATCCCGCCATGATCCACTCCACACTATGCCCCACACTACAACTCTATCTCCTTCCCCGGAATTTACTAGTTAATGATTGTCCCATACACATGCTCTTTCTCTCATGTAATGTAATACATCTAGCCCCTCTTTTGTACTTCCTCACATTTCCAATACGAAGGTAAAGAATCAAGATTCTAACAACTTCGTTGGGGTTCTCTATCATTATTTGATGATGGTAAGTAAAAACCTCTGGGAACATCCCTCGATGATTAGTCGATTATCCTTAGATAAAATCCAATCAAAGACAATAGAAGTGTGACCGTAGAACTATCAGAATATAAGAAAGAGGGAGATTGTAAACCTGTGAGACCGCAGAACATTCAGACTGAAAAAAGGTAAGATCTGAACCTGTGAGACGGTAAAACTATGAGATTATAAACCTGTAGCTCAAGTAAGATATTAAAATAATGAGGTAAGAAATAGATGAAAAAGATTCACTTATTAATCTGTATATTCGAAATAAGTTGAAATTTCGATCATCAGATATTATGACCTCAGGTGATCGTAACACTAAATATATAATTATATTATTATAAAAATAATTGTTATCTTTCTATATAGGTATTAAATAAACTTTGTTATAGTGTATATATTTATATGCCTTTAAAAGTTTATAGTTGTTTATTAGCTAACCTATAAATGAATCTGAAACTCAGTATATATTCGTCTAAAAGCTAAATATCGATTTTTATAACGTAACTTATGGTGAACCAGGTTATATAAGGAATTGGGTCACAAAATTCAATTCTCTCTATATAATCTTGTTCTATAAGCTATATATTTATCTAATTCCAATTCTAAATTATTTGAATTATTTTCTAGTTTTTCTTCTTTAATTTCCTTTTTTAATTCTTTAATTAAATATTTATATAATTATTCTTATAGCTTTTTCTCCTTAGATTTTTTTTTAATCTTATATACCATTTTCAATACTTTCTTATTATTAAAAACAAATTGATTTTATAATTTAACTCTTTTACCTTTAATTCTTTTTTTTCAAGTTTTAATTACCTTTTAAGTATTAGTAAACTGTTTTCAAAATAAGGTTATTTTAGTATTTTGAGATTCTATAAGTTTAGTTATTTTTTTAATATATTAATAAATTAATAATACAAAAGAATTATTATTTATTAAAACTTTATTAAAAATCTGATTTACTTATCTTAGCTTTATTCTATTTAAAGAAAAACTTCTAAATATAGATAAATCTAGATCTTAATTAGAGATTCTTATTTATAAAATAGAAAGTTATTAAAAAAAATTAAATAATAATAAATTAAATACTTTTTGTAAAGCAAAAAATATTAAACTAATTTCTCTTTAATTAATTTTAATATTAAAAGAATTTAATATTTTTTTTCTAATATTTTAAAAGAGTTCTATTTATTCAGCTTTTTAAATTCGTTTTATACTAATTTGAGAATATTGATTAATCTTTAAAGTATAATATTATTTTATTAATTTATATATTATAATATCAAATAATTAAAGTAAATAGAAATAATAAAAAGGTAATATAAGTAAATCAATATTCTTTTTTATATAGAAAATAATAAAACTATTTATAATATAATTTGAATAATTATTTATAATCAAAAGTCGAGATTAATTACTTAATACTTTTTTGGATTCTAATTCAAAAACTCTTTTTAGCTATTTTAATTTATAATTATTTGAGATTCATTCATTTATACTTATAGAAAACTACCAGTTTTAAGATATATCCTTTGAAATCCATACAGAATTTATATTTTGAATCTTGAAAATGATTATAAATAATAAAGTATTTCCAATTATATTAATATATTCAAATATAATTATTTATTTTTATTTACTAATTATAACTTTTCAATTCGATTTCTAAATAGAATTAATTATAATATATATATTTTGAGTATTTCTAATTCTAAATCCGATTTTGTTTATATTATATATATTATTTAATTTATATTTTTGTTTAATAAAATATATATAAAATGTATTAAACTAAGTCTAAATATTTTTTAATATTATCTTTTTAATTTAATTAAATTCTAATTAATATAAATAATATATTTTAAATTCTAAATATTGTTTTTGAAATCTATAAATCCATTTGTAATCTATAAATAAAATTTCTATTGAAATAGGATTTTAAAATAATATAATCTGAATATATCAAAAACGAATTTTATTAATTATTTCCTTTATTAATATAAGTGTAATAAGGAATCCAGTAATAATAAATTATAAAATCTATTATATAAAAATATTTTCTTTTATATTTAAAAGAATTTAAGTTATTTTATAGAATTGAGTATATAATTTCCTTTTAATAACTTTAGTTATAAAAATTGATTTAAGAACTTCAAAATATTCTACAGTCTTTTTAATTGATTTAAATTCCTTTAATTGAAATATAATAATAATATTCTATATTTTCTTTTTAATTTGAAAAAGTATAAAAAATGATTCGATATGCATAGCAAAATTTGTTGGGGTTTGAAGTTAGTGATGGGCTAAATGTGACCTGGTTCTCTATATGACCCGGTTTACCATAAGTTACGTTACAAAATACTTAGTTTATTATTTCTGCGTCATTCATTCAATCTATCTTTAGCATTCGAGGAAACCTATGATTATTACCTCTAAGTACAATAAGCATCAAGTTCTGTATATACAGATAGCCACATATCATATATACAAGTGACTTAGCTATCTCTATCTCCATCTAACATCTCTTCGCCTTACAATACCTATCCTTAAAGAAACCAGTCAATACAAAACACTACAAGCTCACATAACTCCTTACACCCAAGCTTATACACTCATAAAAGCCTACGCAAGTAAACAAATCCACTTCTCAACCACCATCACATCACCCCAATGAAATCTACGCAATGGGTTATTCATCCGCGAGCTCGAAGTAGTGAAAATACAGAGACCACAGCACATCGAATGAGAGCTCCCGAAAGCAGGACAAACAAAGCTAGCGAATGAACAATGTCCATCCCGCATACACATACATGTAGAAACGTGTATATTCCATCAAGGCGTAGCATCTCATCTCCCACACTCCCCGCTCATGCACATCACAAGCATTCAGCTAAAGCTTGGATGCACCCCGTTCTGATTGAATTGAAGATTCCTATCGGAATCACTTCTATGAACACCTGCAATCTCAGATGTGTGAGCATGAGGATGGGAGGGAGGGGACATGTGATTCGATGTGATTCGATGTGATTCGATAGGTACCTAGACCCAATCTTAAGGTTTGAGGGTCTCTCTGGGAGACCCAAAGATACTCATCCACTAGATTGATTCTAGACCTAGGTAATTGATGCTCAAGGATTAATGACAACCCCAAAGAGAAATAAGTTTCGATCGCTTTAGTTGTGGAGAGTAACTAGGATTTGGTTATTCATGGAATCCCCGTAAGCGATCCGAACTAGAGACCTCTCTCTCTCACTCTCTCAAAAATAATCAATCGAAATCCACTTCTCAACACCTTCATGATGGAAGAAGTATCGTGACAACGAGTTTCTCTAATCCGAAAGTACAATACTCTGCTCTGTGCAGTCGGGTTTGCCTTACATACATGCATACATGTCGATACAAAATCGAAGGAGTAAAACTATGTTATGAGATTACATTCCTGATACATACACACAAAGATGTACACAGCATTTCCGAGTAAGGATTCCTCAAAACTCAATTCATTCTTCAAGAATATTTTCTCCAAGTTAATATATACAACGAAAATACATTTCCCATTTCCCATTCCTCCATAAACACAGACAAACGTAGTCATATCTCCAATCCATGCATGTTCATCACCTCATGAAGTCTTCACTCTTGCTATCGGTCTCCAAACCATGAATGACGCCCTGACGTAGCAATACCCACCCTAGTCAGTTTCGCACTCATCAGAGTCAACCCACACAACACTCTGGGTTGCGCTAGCTTTGGTTGTGTGAGCCAATGCGGTAGAAGTGGCTTTCTTGGTGGTGGATGGTGTTGCGGTTGCAGATGAGACAATGACAGCGGCGCTGGTGGATACTTCCGCGATGGAAGAGGCAGGGGAAGAAACTGGTGCGACGACAGCAGCAGTAGTAGAAACTTCGGCCACAGATGAAGAAACAGGTGTAACAACTGCGGCGGAGGTAGCGCTTGTAGTTGAAGCATCTGCAACCGCCTCATTGGCAGCAGCGGCATCTGAAACAACAGACTTCGATACCGATACCGATCCCGATCCCAAGTTTCCGCTTGCGGTAACGACGCTTCCGGCAGTGACGGCGATGTTGTTAACGGTGACGGTCTTTCCACTCAAACCGGTAACACGGACGTTGACGGTAGAGCCGAAGCCAGCGGAGTGTTCGAAGAAGTTGTAGGTGGTGCGGGTAGTTGATTGCCAGGTGGATCCGCCGTCAGTGGAAACGTCGAGCTTGGAAACTCCTTCAGCGGCGTTGACGACTTGCATGCTGAACCAGTAGGCCGAGACACCTTCTTTGAGGTGGAGTTGGAGAGGGGTGGTGATGGGACAGTCGACATAGTCCCAGGTTATGTCGATGATTCCTTCGGAGAGGGGAGCGAGGGAGGTGAAAGCGGTGGGGTAGAGATCCAAGTGGTTGGTTCCGCAGCCGGGACACTCGTCTGTGATCTGAGTGGTGTTAATTTTGGGCTTGGTATTTTGGAGATGATGGATAGGAGTTCAGGGATGTAAGATACATACCATAGCAGTAATAGAGTTACCTGAAGGACCGGTAACCGAAACACAACGACCACACTCCGAAGCAGTAGCCCAGTTGGAATCAGAGAGCGCAGTACCAAAGATATTGGATGGAAGGGTATAGGTAGAGAATGAACATGCTCCTCCTTGAGTATTACCACCATAGGTAGTAGCTTGACCCGAGAGAGCACGTTTTCCAAGCACGGCTCCTTGAGCAATGGAGAGGAAGGTAGAGGCAGTAGCCAAGTTCTTGATTGAGAAAACCATCTTGATTGAGGTTTGTTTTTAGGGGACGAAATCGATTGATTGAAAATGTACAGTTAATTGAGACCGTAAAGGCTGGATGTGAATGATAGATATCTTTTCAAAAGAATGTATATATGGACAAGAAGGAGAGTATTGAAGACCAAAGCTTCTAATAATGAATAACGAATTCAAGCGATCTCGAATCAAAATGTGATGAAGAGTAAGGGAAAAGGAAGAGAAGAGCAGTCGAGGCAAAGGAAAGCTGATACTTTTTAAAAGAATGAAAGTTGATGCATATTTTAAAAATTAATTAATATAATTGAAATGATGCTCTCAGGGGTGGGAACGATGATTTTGCGGGGCAGGATTGTTTCTCAGATGATTTCATGATAAGCGCTGACACACTATGATACCTACCAAGGTACCTAAGTAAGTAATTAAGTATTCCTTCTTCTTGCAATTTTAGAAACGCGAGATTATTGAGTAAGTGAGTGGCGTTGGTTGGAATTTTTGGTCTTTTGTCTTTTGTCTTGATGAATTGATGAATTGATTTGGGACTGTCTTTCTGGAGATTGGTGTACTATAGAAGTCAATCTCGATATATTAATTACCTAGTAATTAATCGTTGAATATGATTTCAACTCCGTATCGATGTAGACTTCATACATACATACATACATACATACCTAGGTCCTGACTGACCAGGTCGATTCCCGTTTCTTTTCAGCCACAACCGCCGGATAGCTACCTACCTACCTCTGTCCCTACGAGCTAAGCCGTTGCCCCTTAATATACCTAACCTTGGAAATCCTTCCTCACATTACCCAGTTAAGCATACCTACATCGTCCAAACCTAGGTAGCCTCACGTCCAAACGAGTCTCGATCTTTCCATCGTTCCCAAAAAGCTTTTTCCAACATCTTCCCGTACGCAAAGAAGTAATACCGCAGCTGAAGGAAAGCAAAGGAAAGGAAAGGTACTTTTTGTTTTTCGTTTCTTATCTAAAGGCGGAGTTCTTCCATCATTTTAAACTTTCGATAGCTTGATACTCCACGATTAAATCTCGGTGCGTATTTTAACCGTACCTCCATCTTGTCCATCTCCATCTTGTCCGTCTACAGTATCCATTGTTTAGACTTTGTACGCACTCGATGACCACTTAGAGATGTGGTCACCCTCAAGGGACTCTCTCGACCTCCCCACCTCGTTGTGTGATTGTGAATACGATGGTGATGAGAAAGTATAAAGAGTATTGACAACTCTAAATATCAAATGGAAATAGACATTCTCACGGAAGATCCAACATACAAATAAATAACTCATCACAATCATTAGAAAAAGGTGGAATAAATATAAAGTTCATCTGATGCTTGGCAGGGAAGATGCACGTATGGGGGTTTGAAGACTTTGCAGTGACAGACCAGACAGCACAGCACAGCCATATAAATAAATACCCGTGCCACCCTGGATGCTTCTAGATCTCTCGTTTCAACCAAGGAATGTGGCACGTGGAATTATCATTATTGATGTTATTGTGTCGTGGAAAATTAAAAGGTTGCTGAGGTACCGGCACTTGATAGGTAGACTTCGTAGCTTTGGTATAGGACGTCGACGCGCATACTGTTATATCCAGGCAAATTATGAATGAAAAGAGCTGTTTACTGTGGGTGGAGGTCTGCCCGGTGGATATTTCGGAGATCGGAAATTTCGGATGCTCGGAGATGAAGTTGTTGGTTACGGTTAGTTAGCCGAACAAGTTCTTCATTCTCATATTGATACCTCGATCGCAATTCAAGATCAGATTGAACTTCATTCAAAATAAATCGAACTTCAAAATTACTACTTCTCCACCAACGTTAATGATTTCATTATGACGTGCGGTTTTAATTCAAACTAGATATACACAATCAAAAAATCAACAACGTCTCTTCAATACCTTTTCAACAACTAATAACACCTCAAAAATGGTGTGCAACGAGGAAAAAGATTTCTGCAAAGCCCGAGGGCCTGATCATAATATCCCCCAAGAACACAGATTCGATCAAGTACTTGGAGAAAAACCAATTGGTGACTGTGTGCCAAACTCAAACTCCCTATACGTACATTCCTGAGGTCGAGGTTCCTTTAGGTTCTCTAGAGCCTTCATAACTCTGTCCTGGCTCTACTCCTCGAAATTAACTAATGCCTCAAAGGAATATCATGCAAAAGAGGCCTTACAGGTTCTGAGTGTACATCGCACCTTAATCTTCACCGTTTTGCACGGTAAACGTCTCCAGTCCTCAAAATTTCATCCTCTGCATCTTTGCCCCTTCCTTCCCTCTCTAGCTTTCGAACCAATGGCAAGACCTTTTCACCAAAGTTTTGAATATCGTCCTCATAATGCAAAAATGCAATGAGAACAATATCAATTCCCAAGCTCTTCAATAACAAAATTCTATCAGCCACTTGTTCAGCTGTTCCAATCAATTTTGTTTTGAATCCATCGTTGTATTGCACCAAATCCTCAAATTTGCTATCTGCCCACATGCCCTTCTTATTCCCTGTTGATGAGCCAGCTTGTTTTGTTGCATCCGAAAAGGCATTCACAGCTTCTCTATCGGCCTTGCCTTGAATTTCAGAGAGTAGTTGTATGGCCTCTTCTTCCGTTTCTTTGACGATAGCAAAGCCATTGACAGCAAAATGTATTTTTTCTTCACGGCCGAGCTTCCGCGCTCGCTCTTTAACATCGGCAATTTGCTCTTGGAATCCTTCAAGGGTATTGCCATTCATGAAATAATAATCGGATACAGAAGCTCCATTTTCCCGAGCATCAATTGAATTTCCACCTTGGAAGATAAGAGGATGTGGTCGACCCGGTAAATTGAGTGGTTTTGGTGATAATGGATAATCATGGAATTGGTAGAAATCGCCCTTGTATGAGAATTTCGGGGAAGTCCAAATCCCTTTCAAACATTCGATGAATTCTCTACTACGTCTGTATCGCTCAGCATGCTCCAGCCACCATTGTCCAATGCTTGTGAACTCTTGCTTAAACCATCCAGAAACAATATTGACAGATATCCTTCCATTTGTATAATGATCGATGCTAGCGATTTGCTTAGCGGCTACGGCTGGATTCCAAGGTCCAGGTAATAAGGCCGCGATGACATTCAGTTTCTTAGTATTATGGAGAAGTGCTTGTGAGAAGGAAACGGATTCATGCTGGTTATCCTACAAACAACCAATATCAGTTTGTGTGCCAATGATGTGTTCAAGAAACTCACAGCTCCGTATCCTGCCATGAATCGGATTTGCGTGAGAGCATATTCAAATCCCACTTCTTCGGCAGTCTGCGCATATCTCACATTCGATTCGTAGTCCCAACTATCAAATGTTAGTGACCGAAAATTGTCAGCTGAGTATAAAGAATACCTTGTTCTCTGGGGAATCTTCGATATAACTAAACCACCAGAAACGTTAGGGACCCAATAAGCGAACTTAACACGGTCTGGTGCATCGTTAAGTCCTGGCTCAGCAGTGAAATGTGTATTGTGTCCATTCGCAGTGACACTATTGGCATATTCAATGATTCTGTTATGGCTGTCGCCATTAACATATCCATTGGTTAGTCCGTTGGTTAGTCCATTGGCATGGCCATTGGGTGGACCATCATGGCGAATGACAATTGGACTATTGCTGCTGATTGTGATGGTAGTAGACATGCTTATATGTAGAGGTAGTGGAATATGTGAATTACTCTTGACTAGAGAAGAAAGACAAAAAGAAGAAGAACAAAAGCATTAAGATGAAAATATAAAGAAATACTAGGTAGCTACGCTCTCAAGTAGCTACACTGATACTCACTAACGCCAATATGAGCACTTGTTCGCATCATATTAGAGCTACACAAAAAACTCCGGAGGTAATTTAACCCAACTTTGGTTGCGTAGGACGTGAATTCTCGTGGGAGGAAAGTAAGTATTGATATCCTGGGCGACGGATGGTGCAATATGCACCCCTCCTTGTGCAAGAGCTTTGCTGCAACCCAAGACTAGTGATTGATCGACAAGACCATCATAATAACGATTATGATAATCTAACATCGGTGATCCGAACCAAGCATGAGTGAATTCAGAGATCAGGTAGTAATACCAATATCAAATTGTATATTATGGAACTTTGATAAATTTTGTCACGATGAAAAGAAGACAAGAGACTCACTCAGGAGAGGAAGTTATGATCAACACGCTAACCTCTGAACGGATTAGCATCGTAACTCTTATCTAATCTAATCTAATCTTGAATCTATTTTTCAAAAGTACCACTACACGTCCCGCGTCCAACAAACTTTTTGATTCGTCGGCGCGTCATATCCATATTCATTTCAATATCCCATCAATTGTATATAAATTTATCTTCTTAGCTTCTCAGCCTCTCAGTTCTAATGGTACAACTATTCTTGGACCGTTTACTGAACCATCCCTCAGTCTATCAAGTGCTGCATTTATGCCCTGTAACCCACCACGTGCGACCTCAATTTCAGGAGTCGCTATTCTATTTTGCTCGAATAGTCTTTCCAACCAAATCATCAATCCTTCACCGATATTCGGTGCCTCATGAAATGTCTTGATGGGAACGGAATGATATAGCACTCCTGGAGTTGGTTCCTTTGGCAACCCGGTCAAGCCAACAAGATGTGCTCTTTTCCCTTCTAGTCCATCTTCTGAACGCATGGTTTGTGCGAGAAGGGCTGTACTTTCTTTCCCTCTCGTATCAAGTCCAAAGCGGAGTTTTCCTTTTGTGATACCTTTGACGATGGATATCGCCCTTTCAGTGTCAAAACGATCCACCAAGAGATCTGCACCATGTTTCAACATACGTTCACCGCTTCGGGCAACGTCTATTACTGCAATAACTTTAAGTCCTGCCAGTTTTGCAAGTTGGACTGCGCAACACCCAGTAGCAGATGAACCTTGCAGCCGTTAGCATTTATCAAAAGTTTTACAGAGATTGCCTCACCTCCCCAAATCGCTATCCAGTCCCCAGGTTCAGGTCTCTCATCTTCTCGGATACTATCAAAGCATTCGGCTCTCACATCATGTGGAATAGAATCCCTAGATATGGAGCGGATTGCCTGGAAAAGATCTGGCCCTTGAATTTCACCCTCAACATTGGCAAAATTTACTCCTAAACATATACCTAACCCAAGGGCTGCGGCAACAAAGGCAACGCCAAGCGGTGCGGCATCGATTGGGCTTACGGTACTTGGAAGTCTGCAAGCATTGAAGTCCGAAACCACTGCATATTGTTGATACGCAGCTTTTCGAGAATCTCGATAATCAGTGGATATTCCCATAACCTAGAATTGTTAGCAGTTACTCTACTCAGCATTTATAGATTCTTACAGTATCTCCAGGTTTGAATCTGGAGTTTGCTTGGGGTTGTTCTACCACCTTTCCAGCAAAGTCTCGGCCACTTATACAGGGGAGAGAAGGCAGTCCAAAGCCAAAGTCACTATGATGAATGGTCAATTAAATGATATCATTTGCTATCAATACACAAAATAATACTTACGGGGCTTTCCAGTCGATTGGATTCAAACCAATAACTTCCACTGCAACAAGCATTTCTCTATCATCCTTTAAGGAAGGTATTGGTCGCTCTGTTGCATGGGTATATCTTTGCTTTGCGCCATGCAAGAGTAAGACTTCTTGATGCGACACATTGTTTAGATTCGAGCTATGAATTGAATCGGATTCCTGGCGGGGAACTTCTGTCTCGTGGTGCAAATAGATACCCTCGGGTTCACTCTCTGGTTCAGGCCAATTGTGAAAGACCTTCTGATACCCATAAGATTCCGGAGTCTTTGGGGGTGTTATTGCCTGATTAACAGATGCCGGTGCATATGTTTGTGTTGAAGTCATTTTCTTTTTCGAAGAATAGAAGTTTGTTGAATTGTTTCCTGCTTGATCCAATCGCTCAAAGTTTGACAAAGTTGAGTATGTCGGACGGTTTCAGTCTCACTTGAATCATCTTCTAATTTCGTTCTAGTTCCTTGTGAATTCGGAATAATGGATATATTGTCACGCAATATTTAAGTTCGTTTTTTTGCCAATCGCTATCGAAACCGAGGCTTGAGATTCGTTCACTCCAAAGACCATAGCCAATCTTCGTTATTGCTATGTACATGATCTCCCTTATCATAATGTGTATGAATATGCGGAGGTTATGGCGTGACGCACTAAAGACCTCTAATTGTGGGTCTCCCCGTGATGTTCAAACACGGCGGATTGGCATCTTATCTTATCAAACTTATATTCCTGCGATTTACTCTGACCACTATGTCAAAGATTGTTTACTCATTTATCGATTTGGCTAGAACAGGTCTTCACTACAGATGAAAAAACAACTTCCAAAAACCGTGCGACACGAAAAGTCGATCCTCAGGAGGACCATACCGGTATAACCGAAAAGCCTACTTTCGTAACCGATAAAAGAACACAACTCGTCAACTCCCTATATGTACCTCGTACTCTTTTCCTCAAAGTAAAACGAAGTTTACTCTGCCAATTCGATTATCATTTAGACCTCGAAAACTGTCGAACGAATAATCCGCGAATCCGGAAGTGCTGCAAGCTCTTTATCGATTTCCAGAACTGGACAGCACACCTCGTAATGTTATCATTAATGTTGAGTGCCCTTGGATATCAATATATTGATATACAATTTGATCATACGCACTACGCAGATCGTGCTCTCCATGAAAGCTGGTATACTGGGTGTAGCATCGGTGCATACAGTGGATAACCATGTTGAAGAACATTTGACCTGATTCTGTCTCAATAGAAAAAAGGCAGTAAATGTGAGATATATCTCATCTGAATAGCCGTTTCATTTCTTCTTCACATTTCTGTGTTCATTCCCATGTTATTGCTTTTTTTTGCGACATTTCCAAGCTCACTCACCGTCCCTTCATCTCCCCGTTGTTTTATTTTCCGGTATGAGCTTTGCAGCCGATTCATACGCAGAAACATCTTTTTCGTTCATATCGATTGCAAACGTCGCAGATACTTGATGCGTGCAATGGGCCAATCGATTGTGCATTCAATCACTGGTGGTATCTTTTTTCTGTAAATTCCAGCTTGTTTTCTGGTGGAAAGTTACACGGCATTGTTGAGGATATTTCTTCAACCCTATCCTTGAAACAACGAGTTATTCGTCGGCATATTATAGGTAGGGAGTTTTGTCCTTTTATGAGGCCCAATCAACATGCAGGATAAGGTAAACAGATAAATTCTGTGACATCTTTCCTCGAAGCTCGAAGCACTGGCATATCTTTTAAGCATAATTTATTCTTAAATGATACGTCTACAATGACAGGCAACCCCCTTTTTCGATTTTGTTCCAGCATTTACACCATTGCGGAGAAGTCAATAACTGCCGAGGCACATTGCAAAGCTGACACATTGAATTGAACATTATCACTCAAGTGAGTAATTGGCGATGATGTATTTTAACCAGTTGTTCTGGAAGTGTTCTCAAGTTTTGGATTGTCGGCGTACGTTTACCTAGGTATGAGAAACATTATTGGAGAATGGACAATAGGGAAATTGAGCCTTTCAATGCCAGACACACTAGTGGTAAATAAAGTGGAGAATACTCGGCACTTTGGCTCAAGCTTCATTGTTGCTTCTATTTTCATGGGTTGGGAGCCCCTAAGGTTGCAAAAAGACGGCTCTAGTTGACCAAAGAGTATTTCCTTCGCCAATACGTTCACATGAAGTAACTTATTGGCCAGAAAAATAGTAGTTGACAGTAGGAAACCTTATTATCCACAAGGGTTTGCTCCGCAACCTTACTGAGAATGTCACCACAATAAATTGTATACTCGCTAAACGATTCTCCGTCGGTACATGAAACAGAAACACGGGGTCTTGTGGATCCGATCGAGCCAAGAACAATGTATCTAGGGCTTCTAGTGGCACAAAGGTGTTTATGTCCGACGACCTCTTGAAGTGTAAATACGATATTGCAATTAGATGTTGCCGATATATAAGTATTGTCAACTTCACTACTTTCCCAACTCTTCATTCCAAAATCGCCACAGTCTTTCATTTCGTGCCCTTAACTACCAGCAAAACCTTTTTACTCACTTAGATAGTCACTCATTAATTCTTCATCAAACATGTATACCTCAACCATCCTCGCTACCGCTCTTGCAGCTGCCGTCCAAGCTGCACCAGCTTTACTTCGCCGCGACAGTTGGGGAGGTGCACTTTCTCTTGGTCCTACCACCTCTCACATTCTCCATTCCACCACTACTCTCGTTCCGGGAACCGCACCTTCCACTCAAAATGGCGAACTCTTCCTCTGGCCAGGTATGTCTAACGGTACTGGCGATCTCATTCAAACCACTCTCGAATCCTGGCCTTCCAACGACTGGTGTGGTGCCACCACGGGCCAGTGGTGTGTCCGCGCTTCTCTATTCGGCTGGTTCGGACAACTCGATGGTGTAGGGGCTGCAGTTTCTGGAACCGATCAGGTTTTGATCGATTACGGATACAACGCCACCTCTGGCAACTGGACACAAGTTGTTACGAACGGACAAACCGGCGCAGAACTAAGTTATTTCTCTTATCCCTCGGGACTTATGACGGGATGGGGAACCGGCACAGAATGCAATGATGACTGCACGGGTACAGTTGCCAAGCAACAATATCTCAATACGACTATTACGCTTGCATCCGCGGACCCAGACTTCGGAGCTACTTTGGGAGTTAGTCAGGGAACCACATACACTGGTCTTACGAGTGAGCAGGGAGGTTTGATCTGGAAGATTGCTGAGATCAATGTTCCTTCCATGTCTTAAGTGTAATGGCCATGCCGTTGTAGGAATGGGGGATATGGAGAGCAAAAGGTGTAGGGTTGGTAGGAGTTTGATTCCTGTATTTATTTGATAGCAACAAGGCCATCGTGGATGATTGTACATACCTTTTAATTAAAACGGATCCGTGGGACGTATCTACCTCTCCCAAAACAACCATTCCTTTGTGAACTTGAGCAAAGTCATCAACAACCATATCTACACCCTTTTCAGGCCCTGAAAAATTCACCTGCCACTTTCGATCACCTCTAGGCATAATTCTGACCAACGCTTTATTCTTCGGCATCGGCATAGATGATGTCATTAGAATAATTTCCCGAGCCTCCGTTCATATACTGTCTATAACTACCAACTTCAAATCAAAGCGAAGCAATCCTAAAGCCGTAGAAGCCATAATCTCAGTACTAAAAAAGTGACAGCCTGGATAAAGCACAGTCCCACCACCAAAAGAACGAAACACCACTGGAATTCTGCGTTTTTCGCTAAGCTTTCGCAGACATCGTCGGTGGTCAAGAGCATTCGCGGTTGAACCCCACACTGATGTTTCGGTGTGGTGTACCGGGAAATTCGTCATCACGGTGATGCTTTTCTTCGAGAGAGATATAGGCTGTCGAATAGTATATCTTTCGTTGCTCCCCGAGCAGATATGTCAATGTACACATAACGTAAGGTTCCTTGCTATGTCGAGAGGAGGACAGGACACACAGCTTTAACTTTGGCTAGATGGACAGGATAGAATCTATTATTATCAACATGTACCAGCTATTAGTAAATTCCAGATCGCGGAAGAGATGCAGCGTCTACGACAGCTATATGCAGGGAACCAAAGTTGATACTGGAGGATGAGGGAGAAGGGTGTCAAAGAGATCCGAATTTATAGAAAGAAATATTCACCAAGGCATCCTTAGATCATTTACTGCACCTCCAGTATATCAGATGCCAGTTCAACCTGTCAAGGGCTTCGCTCATTGTTAAAGCCAAGGATTTGGCTTTGCCATTTTGATTTGCTACCAAGTTCTCGGATCCAAATCGAATTGCATGATAATAATATTGATGTATTTTAATAGCTCCAAGCGAGTGCCATATCGTTTGTTTGGACGTGCAACATAGGTATTAAGCAACGGTATCAATGACTAGCTCTTAGCTTCAGATCATCCCGAATGTGCATTTGTATTTTATCACAACTACTTATCCTGCTTTGTTCCATATCGCTTTAATCGTTAACATAGTTCGAGATACGACCGCCCATTCCAAACATCTAGCTCCGATCAGAGCTGATAGCGATGAAGTTCAACATGCTCAGCGACCAATTTGTCGACATGAGCATCTTGAAGTTGCTACTTTGCTCCAAATTGTACTTCGCAATAGGGGTCTCTTCCACAATAAGTATGGATTTATCCTATCCCATCTTCTAACAATGAAGCGCAAAATTGGTCATCGATTTGAAGGTGTGGGGAATAATGACAAAAAAGTATATGGAGACGATACTAATAATGGTAACAAAACCAATGATGAATATTTCAGATGCAAATAGGTGCTGAAATGAGAGTTATGAAAATAATATCGGTTCGGGGAAGCGAAATGGGATGGTATACATAATCAGAAGAGGCTTGACTGCCTCTATGAATTGCTGAAGAGTGTGGTGATTGAACTTCAGGGTACAACCCCTATTTAGAAGTACCATAAACCCAAACCTGTGAAGATTGTCTCTGGTAGCTAGAGGCAATTAAAATCGGTGGGCCAGTTACTTCACAATTCTTGTAATTATCGTATGAAGGGACTGCGCTACAATGATATTACGCAGCTAGAAGTTGAGATGTTTAACACACGTTCTATCCGACTACGGATTTGAATTCGAGTGTTCCCCCCAGAAACGGTGAAACGATGAGACATATGTGTTAGGAACTCAGGATTGGTAACTACTATATAGTGAAGGTAGGCGTATTTAGGACTCGTTGTATATTATTATGCATACTGTCAGCGGGCCAATCTACCTATTTAGCGGAGTGTATGCATTTCCGTCGTCTATCTCTCCTAACCGAAATCGTTGATGAAAACTTCGAGTTTTCCAATGAAGGTCGATCAGAATGGTTTTTTATACCATATCGAGTTGTCTACTCAGGCACGCCATTTCTTCTCCCGGCCGAATTTTCTTTCAAACCTTCCAAATCATCTCTAGCTGAGTTACAGCATAACAACGCCCACTCCACTGCCCGCATCATGAATTCTATTCAACTTATCCACGCCACCTGCGATATTGTTCGCCTTATAATTGTACAAATAATAATGTAACTGACCATCGCCGGCTCCGAATTTCTGCTGTTCTAAGAACAAAGTATTATCCATAAGCGTCAACGCGTTAAAGACATCGAATTTGTATTTCTTAGCAATGATAAGAGCGTCATGAATGAGCTCATTAAGACGTTTGCCGAGATCAGCTCTAGAGGCTGCTGGATCAAGAGCAAGGGCTGAGGCATAATAGAATAGATAAGCGGCGCGAACGTTAGTGTGCTTAGGGTTGCCAATGACGGATGATTCGAGACAATAGAAAGAAAAGAAATCAGTGAGTTTCTTCGTCGTAGGATCCTAAAGGATATGTTAGTTTGTAGTACAATGAGAACCAAATGGTAGAAAATTACCTCAACGACATAACACCAAATAACTTGTTCAGCAGGGGTCTCAATCTTGTTAAAAAGCCAATGTTCTATCTCCTCCCTAGTGAAAACTGGCGCCATATCAAATTTCGCAAGATACTCTTTGCAAAGTTCCAATACACCATCAATGTCTTTGGCTTCCATAGGTCTCAATCCTTTAGTGGATGTGTTGGATGGTAGAGCAAATTTACGAACTTGTCGATCTGGCGTACTTCCCGGTGGCAGTGGACTGAATTTGACCTCGTGTAACTTCTTCCAATCCAACGATCGATGGTAATATCTGCATGTACTGACTGGTTTAGGTAACACCACACCAGCAGTGTATATTGCCTGCCATGTTCCTTCTAGGTTACATCTACGTGTGATCTCTTTGATGAGAACGGGCGCCAATCTCTTCGCTCGAAGTTTCTTGTGGATACAAAGGAAGTTGACCTCGGAGGCTTTAAGGGTCTTGTTTCGTACTCGAAGTGCGACTGGAATGGCTGATATAAAGGCTACTAACTTTCCAGATACGGTAGCTCGAACACCAACGTGCCATTCCTTACTCCAACCTGGTGACATAAGTGCCCTAAATTGTTAGCGAAAGTCGTTCCAAAAATTACATCCATTTCTTACCATCTGAGGAATGACTTTGAGTAGTTGAATCGAAACATAGCTTCATCATCTTCAACATAGTGGCCGTATAATAAATCAAAAACTTCTTGCAAAGCCTCGTCACTTGTCATATCCATTGTGACCCAATGAAATCCAGCTACCAATGGACCTGGTTCTTTGGGGACTTGTTCCACATCAATAATCTTGAATGGGCCCTCTTCAATAATTTCCGAGCTTTCTCCAAACTTAGGAACAGGTTGTGTTTGCCAAAACTTGTATGCGCCCATTTCCTTAACGTTTTTTCCACTCGAGGCCAATCCAGTCATGATATCTTCCAAGCTAAGCTTTCGCACAGCTTCTGTAGCTTGCTTCGAAGAAAGATCGCCATCTACAGCACCAAGTTGTTGTGCAAGTGCAGGATTTAATGCGAGAATGTCTTGAATTTGAGATTTACTCAGACCCGCGACAGCTTTTGAGAGGTCTTCTCTGGTAGGTTTTTCGCTTGGTCCATCTGAGGAAGATCCCACTCCTAGTGCGGCCTTTACCTTCTTTCGCTTTGACTTCTTCTTTTTACCAGTAGCTGGCGTGCCAGTTGCGCCGGTTGTTGTTTCGTCATTGTCTTCTTCATTTTCGGATTCGACCTGTGCTTGGGTTGAGGAAGTTTCTTCAGGGGTGTTTTCAGATGCAATTTCTTTGCCCTTGGGCTCGAGAGGTGCAGAATCTGCCATTTTTTGGTTAATGTATAAAAAAAAAATAGGGATGTAATACTGGATAGGAATGTAAGGTGTTCTCAAATTTGGAAGTGGGAAGCTTGTTGGGCGGGGCGGGGTTATGACGCTAAAATTTGATTTAACACAAAAAGCCCGACCAATCCAAGATGGGCAATTCAATTGACCCGCTAAGTCCCAAAGGGGAAGCGGTAAAGCAATATTATATTTTATTACATCTACTCAATTCACACATACCTACCTGTTCATCTACACTACGCAGATATGCACTATATACACCATTACCATTACTGTATTATTTACTCAATAAGTGAGGAAATAAACTATTGAGCAAAGTGAAGATAAAAGCAATTTATTATAGTGTCATCTCTCAAATAAAAATCATTTGTTTGTCCCCTTGACACCTTCTATGTTACATGTTATACCTATATATACAGCAGATCTATGTACACATGGCACTCAAATGATACATTGCCCATATCTTCATCACTAATAGCTTGCTAATCATGGTATTACCTCTCCGTTGTCGAGACCGAATGCTTTAAACTATAACATCGGGAAGTCAGTAATGGCCTCCTTCCAATATGTAAAAGGGCTATGGATCAAATGAGGAGAGTGAATGAAGCTTCCCAAACAGAGTCAGACTCTCAAAAGGGCGGGATGGGGGGGGTTGAGAATTAAGCTTACAATTGCTAGGGATAAAGGCGCGTAGGTGAGGACCGTACTATGAGCTAGAATCCAATCAGCAAGAACACAAAAATACTTCCCTGGTGGTCTATGATTACTTACCTCCGTGTGCGACTATTTCTTGTCGAATGATCTTATCACTTCCAGTCTTCCAAGTCGAAATGAAAGCACCATCACCCATATCAACGGTATTCCGCGCTTTCATCTTCTCCAACAAGTCCATGTCTATCCCACTATCCATGGTACCATTTGCTGCTGCTGCAAACAACCCTTGTGAATGATACCACGGAATCTCGTAATCATCTAAAGCATGGATAATAAATAATCGCACCCGCTTACTAATTTTCACAAAATTCGTAAGGCGTGAGGTGGAGGGCCATTTGTCGTTCACATAGCTGATGAAGAGTTTCTGCAGCTCAGGGTATGGACGCAACGGTGACAGCACTGGTATCCAACCGGCGATAGAGTAGCTGGTCAGTAAGTTCGAAACATCTGTAAATCCAGCGACAAGTACAACGCCTGCAAATTCGATTTTATGCATGGCAAAATGTTCTATAACGCCGCAAGCAACTGCTGTTCCCAAACTCTGTCCTAGAATCACAATTCGAGATGATGGAATTTTGGCAATGTTCATAGCCCAGTCGACTGCCGAGATCCCATCTAAGATGAGTCCTCCCTCGGTAGGGGAACCAGTTGAGCGGCCAAATCCTCGATAATCAATGGCTAAAATGTGAATATCTGAGGTACTTCCATCAGGCATCGCCCGATACGAAGCTGTTCGTTCTCCCTGAGCCACGTTTCCAAATGTCTGTCTTACAATCAGCTGACAGGCTCACATGTTAGGGAAGAAACCATTTATACCCCGTGAACTTTCATCGTTAGCGCATAGAAGATAGATGATCTGAACAAGACTTACAATTGATAATAAGTCGAGCGTTTGGATCATCTCTCAAAAGTTCGAATCCCTTCGTACGACTTATATCATTCACGAACCCCGAAGGTTGCTTCAATATCTCCGATTCATGCTTAGCATAAAGGCCTAGGGGCATTATATGCCAAGCGTAGATAGTCTCCCCATCCACAGTACTGAAATTGAATGGCGATACCTGATTCTCTATGCTAAAATTCAGCAATGGAGGATATGTATGTGGCCAATACTACTGACTAGCGAAGCCAAACTTTTCTGGCTTATCTATGTCTGTTGCCCAGGCCTGTGGCAGATGTAACTTGTGCACGTACATAACACTTGAAGTATGAGCAAAAGGACATATGCGTTATTGAATTGGGATGTGTGACTTACTGTCTCTGCAGCCATGGATTTGTCAAGGCAAGCAATGCTAAAGCATAAAACGAAATTCCAAGAAAAAGAGTAAGGTATGCTTTCTTGAAGATAGGCGCCAGAGGAGCCATGCTGTGAACGACAAAGGCTTGAGACAGGAAAAGCTAAAGGAAAAGAGTAAAGAAGGTCAGACTGGTTACATGAAGGGAAGTTATCAAATCATTTGCCGTCAGAATCTTAGGAGAGAATACTGAGTATATATCAATATGTTGGCCATGAGAGATAGATATGTTGCCCCTCAGCCGCGCGCGGATACATCAGTAATAGAATAAGATTAACAATAGATAGATAGCTATCGAGTGAACTATAAAATCTGATGAAAAACAAGGAATTGATCAATGGATACTGGCATCTATGAATCATGTAGCTTTGGTACTACAGATACCTAGGTAGATATATGTTTGTAGGTGTGTCCGGAGCACGTATGATAGCATCGATAGAATCGATAGAATCGATAGAAAAAGAACTTACAAGATCTTCCTGTGAAGCTTCAATGATCCTTTCTCTCTGTGAAATTTCTCTTCATTAACTTTCCACTATGATCTTTAAGTAATAGGAATTCCAAAAGTCGTCGTAGTCTAACGGAAGTTGTACTGGCAGCAAAGCGTAGGTTGTAGGATCACTCGGTTGTTTGACTGAAAGAGGAGAAATTCCAAAGTTTGATGTTCCAGGGCGCTGCTTATGATATGAACGAACCACACACCAAATTCATTCATCACTCTCGCCGCGCTTCACTTTATTTCACTTCACACTTCACTTCACTACTTTACTTACAACTTCGATTCAACCTTATTTAATTCCTTCTTCCACCACCAAAAATTAGTAAGACGCGTATTTAAATAAATCGATTATTGTAACACAAAGCTGAACGCTCCAAGATTCCTTTAAAATAAGCAAAAAATCATGGAAAGAAAGAGAAAATTACCTGCGAGGTCTTCTCGTGGAGGAGAGCCTGCGAACAAAAAACGGACTGCTACTCCTCCAGATCGATCAATTTCAGCAACTCCACAACCACCCATTGAAGAAACTCTTCCAAAGAGCATTGTTGCCGGTATGCCTTTGCCCACTGTCGACGAGCCTCAATCCGACGATCTTTCTTCTAAAGATTTTCAAACAATTTCCGAAAGGTAAGTTTCCTACTTGATGCCCAGTTTATTGAAGCTGGTACCAACATTTTTACAGCGGAGTTCTTGCGGAATCACTACAAAGATCACGACAGAAATGGGTCAGCGAAGGTATATTTGAGAAATATTGGACGAAACCGACGAAGAAGAAGGGTGTTCCTGCAGAACCTCTGAACAATCCAGGAAAGGATACTATGACGAAGCTTGGAACATGCCAAATCACCATCGAACCTCATGTATTCGATGCTACTATGTATGCTATTAAGGAACCAAAGTCTGCCTTCCAATCTACTCAACAACAGCAAATGTATCGCCCAATTATTCAGTATGGCCCTCCGAATGGAGTTATGCCACCACTTGCTCCTACACAAGCACCAAGTCCGGCACAACAAAAACCAATCCAGACAACACAACCAACAGTACAAACTATGGCTCCAAATCATCCTGCGCCGACCGCTCCAATGGTTCTGAATCCTCTTCCTCCTGCGCAAGCACCACCGATGATTAGCGCTCCAATGAATGGACAAACCCCTGCACAGGGTCCAAACAACCCGAATACCAATTTATCTCAACCGATTAGCACAGCTCAACCAGCCCAGCCAGCCCAGCCAGCCCAGCCAAACAAGAGTACAGATCCTGTTATTCAAATGTTAGCAGAGAGAGCTGCGACCGATCAGCAGTTGAAGGGCTTAATGAGAATCGTGGCAAATGGTGAAGCAACATCTTCTGAACTGAGACAGTTTCAAAATCACATTGATGAATTGAATGCGATATCAAAGGCACGCCAAAAGTCTGCTGCTCAAACCGCCGCCCAACCACCCATGAACGCCAACTCGCAACCACCACCACCGTCTACAACTCAACTTGGTGGACCACCAAATGCACCGGTCGCTAAACCTGCTCCACCACCGACATCTGCTCCCATTAGCGCGCCACCTCAGCAACCTCAGCAACCTCAGGCCCTTCGATCGAAAGGTCCAGTAGCTCCACCTAAGCCAGATATTTCTGGTGTTGTGTTCGAGTTTAATGGAGGTAACGGTGATCGGTACCTTTTTCCGAAATACAGTATCCTTGACTATCTTCCCGGTGGCCAAGTTATAGCCTCATTCCTCATTGTTCGTAAAGGTAGTAGCAGCGATTCCACCTCGTACGACCCGGAGCTCGATTATTACCAGCCAGTTACTATTCGACTCTATACTCACCAAGGCAAACAACTCGACTCGTTACAAAAGGTCGTTGCTTCCCCGGACGAAGTCCGTAGATATATGGAGGATATCATGGATAACACGACAAGAGCCGAATATGTTCTACTGGCCATGCGTCTACCTAAGGATACTGAACCCGAAAAGGACGGTACACCTGCAAATTCTTCAGACCAGCCAGAATCGGACGCCAACAACGCTAATTTACCACTCTGGCAAACTACAAATGGACCACCACCCCCACCAGTAGCAAAGCTACCAAGAAAAATTCTCACGGAAGAGGAAAAATATCAATCTTTCATTAAATCAGTTGGTCGAACTCTCTAATTGAATGTGTCTATAGAATAGGCAAGAGATTTTCATTTGTTTGTATTACTATAATTGGAGGGCGCAATATGGAATGAAACGGAAACATGGATGGATTAGGACACTGGAAAACGGTGGGGAAAGCTGGAGATACTCAAAATACATTTTTACAACATGATGGGAGGTAAACAGGGGGCTGGATGGGATGGCGTATCAAGGCATAGGGAAGCCCATTTACTTATACCTTGGGTCAAAGATTTCTTTTCATTCACGATCTAACTTATATTGATTTAATGCACTGAGGTATGATATTTGAAGGTTGAGGAAACCATTATGAATAGCGGGTGTAAATATATTCTAAGTTGAAAGATGATGGGCAGGTGACCAAGTTAGGCGACTGAATTAGGGGAGATAATACAACTATGCGGGCTGTGGGGCCTTTCTGTCACCATGGGGTTCGATGTAGGATTCTCTTCGCTCTCCTTCGCTTGCCCCGATGTGTCAAAAAATCATGTTTGAGATATATCATTATATCCTCGCTTCCCTCATTTGTTTCCCTCCTTTGCTTTTTTCACACCAATCATACCCTGATCCTCCACACCCACCCACGCTCCAATACCTCCCATCTTGCAAGCGCAAAAGCTAAACCGGATAAACAAAGAACAACCCCGAAAAAGGAAATGAACAGGGAAGGAGCTACTCGGGAGAGTATGATGGAAGCGAGAGGAACGCTGAGGAAACATCTATATTGAGTGTGTTAACATCTGCCTCTGATCTCGTGAACTTAGATGGGAGGGATATCGAAGCGATAGCAAGTTGCGAAAGGAAGGGGAAGGGGAAAACATACGCAATAGCAACTCCAACCTGACTAGCGCCCCACCATCTCGCATACACATGCGAAGGACACAGCGCAGCTATACAAAGGGGAGCTGCGCTCATGACGGCGCCGGAACCGAGGCCAGAGAGAGATGCGTAGAGGTAGAAGAGGATGAGCGATGTGGAGGAGGAGCTGGTGGAGAGGAGAGAAGTAGGTAGGAAGAAAGCGAAGTTTGCGAGGAGTGAAATGAAGATTAGACAGAGGAGGACGGTATTGTAGGGGCCGAGGTGATCGGAGAGAGGGCCGGAGAGGAGACGTCCGAGGATGGAGCCGCTGGGTTTGGGAGTTAGTTGGGGGTATTTTTCATTTTTGCGGGGATGGAATGTGGAGGTGATCAGGGGAAGTGAAGAAGGGAGACTAACGCGTTTACAATCGCGACAACGTTGAAAGAAACAGAGGTTGAAAATCCCTGTTGCAATGCGTATGTGGGGAGGAGACCTATGGCGCCTACGAGTACGAATTCGAAGACTGGATAGAGGTATTGTTAATCGTATTGATTTTTGTCAATATGCGTTATTCTTCGTATGGGGGAGAGACATTAATTAGGGCAGATGTAAAGGAAGGTGCGCGATGCACTTACGTGCGATACCAGCCATACACCAGAGAAATCTTCTGTCGCGTAATAAACTCCAATTTCCCTCAACCTTTTTCTCGTGCCAGAACTTCCACCACGGAGCGTCATTTCTCGTATTGGTCGAAGCCGTACTGACATTACAATCTCCATCCTGCCCCCGGTGTCCGTACCCATTCCGAGTTCCCCTCTTCCGCAGCCCCCCACAAGGCAAGAAAGCCAAAAATCCCACTGCAACCAGCACACCCACACTCCCAGCCACGATTCTCATAGCATCGCCCCATTCTAAGCTTTCCAGCACAGCTTGAAATACAAACGTAAAGATGATTCCACCGGTAGGATTCCCCACTAACGCAATGCCTGTCGCTAGTCCTCTGTAGCCTGTTCCTTCAAAGGTGTTTAACATCGCGTTCGCTACCGTACAGAGGAGCGCCATACCCACGGCACTTAGAACTCCATATACCAGGAGAAAATGAAACAGAGAAGAGCAGATGGAGAGGAGGAGGAGGGAGAGAATGTATATGAGAGAGCCTGGAATTAGGAGAGGAAGAGGGCCGTAGGTATCGTAAATGGGTCCAAGAGGGAAGAACAGAAGCAATGTGAAGAAAATATTGAGAGCGGGAATGAGGGAGAGAATCGGAAGTGGAGTATTGGGGAGGAGGTGTACAGATAGGTGTGAAAGGATGATGCCGGTGCTGTTATAGAAACCCCAGGTTGAGAGAGTGATGGTGAAAGAGGAGATGATTGTTAAGATGGGGTTGAAGGAGGGAGAGTGGGCTCTACACGAGAGAGTTGGCGATACAAGAGTAATCCCTTTTTCTTGGTCATTCGTGATTGACGATGGAGGTTCTGGAGACTTGCTGGGTGGATCAATAGCTTTGGCAGTGATAAATGGAAAAGATCTGGAGGATTCCGATACTGCCATTGCCCCAGCTTTCCGCATTGAATATCTTTCCGAGCTTTTGATAAAACGTCCCAGAATCCAAACGACTCTTAAAGATAATTCTGTGAACAAAGTTTCACGCGCTAGGATTTCAACATTTCAATCATCAAAGCAGAAATAACAGACACAAGCTTAACGCATAATATACGAGTATATACAATCCAACAAGCCGCGACAACCGCCATCTGTATTCATAGCATGCAGTACAACATCGCATACATGTACACTTCATCTTCTGCGCTTGCTTTACTTACTTTTTGCATACCTGCTCTCTTGCATGCACATAATGAGGCAAAAGTAGCAAAGGAGCAGCATCAAACAGGTCAATATCTCCGAGGCAAAAGTGCTTTATGCAAGCACGACATGTGTGCATAGTACGTACATGTAAGAAATGCGGTCCAGGAACCAACGCATGCGCCTAGCCTTGCTGGTATGCCATCTGGGCGCCTACCAGGAACGAAAGAAATATGGAGAAGGCGGCCGTTTGCATGTACGGCATTGAACGGAACAACGCGCCGTAAAATTGCGGGTTATTTGTTGATGAGGATAATTCGGAAAGAAATTCGATTTCACGGGGTGAATTGGGTAACTATTTTTGGTACCGAGTTTACGCTGCCCAAGTGTAGAATATTTGACAATTCAAAACCACGGCAATTCGGTTCGAAACTCGGCAGGGCCGAGATCGAGGTTGCGATTGATGGTTGGATGAAGCCTGCATCAAGATAGTATGCAATAAAGTTTGAACAAAGTCAATACTCGTGCTTCTAGACCGCTCTTTGCCACTTCTTTTCTTTTGGCAGTTAACAGAAAGTAGGGCGTTGTCCACACTTGTGAGGACTCAAACGATTGGTTGTACAGTGTAGTTTCTTATATTCGACCTTTGTTTGAATGTTAACCGTGATATTCTTGAAACTTGTAGTGGACATCACCTCAATATAAAATACCACCCAATGGTCCAAGTGAGTACACATCACCAGAACAAAGCCGCGTTATGGAAACACTCAAATATCAAACGAAATCCTTCAACCACGTACTTAGACCTAAATTTAAGCAATGCCCCACGTTTACTCTCCAAAGAAATTTCGAGGATCTAGAGCCTTTACATCCACACCTTCGAGCTCATCTCTCATCACCATTCCAGCAAGAATCTTTCCAGTTCCTTGAGAATTTTGCACTCCCCACTCATCGTGTCCCGTCGCTATCCATAGTCCTGTTACACCTGGAACACCTCCCACGATTGGGCCTACCGCTTCTCCCTCTTCATGTTTTTGAATCTGGGGCCTGAAGCATGCTTGGCCTAGCATGAATTCACCATTTTCAATTTCTGGGGAAATTGTCGATGCAGCGTTTCGTATGCCCGCAATCATATTTGGGTCCACTAGGACTTTGTTTGTACTTTCTGGTAGTGGTGGATAATCGCTGGGGCCACAAATATAAACAATCTCTTCGGGGTCAAATGGTGGGCCGGGACGAGGGTAAATTTCTATGTTATCTATGATGGTTTCCTTGTCCTTCCATTGCATGGGGTCATTCTCCTTATACTCTGGGGATTCTTTCGAGATTGGCGGGTCGAAAATCGGGAACAAAACGTAAGGACTTAGTGATTTCGAAGGTTTCATCAAGATACTATGGCTCCTAACGCCATATACTGGAATACGAGGAAGCAATTTAGATGACCAGGGACCGGCTGCGATGATTGTATCAGTTGCATGAATTTGCCTCTTGATTCCTTGTTCACTATACTCGACGGAATGGACTGCTTTGTTGTTCGAAGAATAATTAATCGATGTAGCAGGTGCTATGATGACCTTCACACCTTTAGCCTGTGCGAGGGTCAAAAGATAGTTGGTGAAGAATTTTGGATGAACTTGAGCAGTGTTGTCTGGTTTACCAATCTCGGAGAATTCTTTGATGCCAGACCTATTAATCCATTTCAATGTTCCAAAGCGATCAATAATCTCATTCGCTGAAGTGTTGTTTCGTGTATCAAAGGCCACATCAGCGCAGTGAACACGGCGATAACCCCAATATGAAGTCCCCTTATACTTTTCAGCGAGTTCGGTGTGTAACTCGAAACTAAGAGGAGCGAGACAAGAGGGTGTTGCCCATGATGCTAATAAGCCTGGTTGGATTTAGAACATAGTTCAGCATATGATCCAAGTTCCCGGGGACCATTGCACTTTCGTGCATGGTGTTCAAATCCTGTATCACTAACCTCCAGCTTTCCCAGAAGATCCCCCGGCTATTTCTGTAGCTTCTAGAATTGTAATGATATGAATCGATGGATCATACAGCCGGTGTTGAGTTAGCCAGTAAGCTGTAGATACACCAATGATACCACCACCTAATTCACATTAGGAAGAGACCTCAGAAAGACCAGCTGAAAGTACCTATGATAACAATATTTTTGGCATCTTGTCCAATGTCACCCATCTTGATAATCTGAAAGAATGATCGTGAGAGGATCCCAAGTTCTTGCCAAGACAACGAAGAAGTTATGAGGAAACGTGTTTCTGTAAGTCAGAAATTGATGAGGGGATCTTGTATAGCATAAAATATCTTAGATATTAGCTAACAAGTTTGAATGAATGATACCAAGACCCCCGAATTGATCAATCTCCATACAATCAATACTTGTCGTATCACTCCAACCCAAACAAAGCAGGTCACTTGAAGGCATTCCCTGTACCTGCAGAATAAGGTTCAACGTATGATTCGACCATGAATCAAATTTGGAACTCTCCGCTATTGCCCGCATCGAGTTTCCATGTCTTGGGTGGTACCAATGAGTAATACCTTCCTTTTTCAACAGAAGCTGCGTCGACGTCTTACAATTGAAGGGTTCTGTCAAGAAAACCTCCAAGGCGGTCAAATCAATGGCAGAATTGTCGTGACTTTAGGTTGGTGTAGGGGGGTGCCCTACGAGCCTACCTCCCTACTCATGCGCGATGAACGAAGTAAATTGCACACTAATTAAGCAAAACCTTATATTCAATGTTTTAATCCAATTTTGATAATCAAATGCGTTCAATGTTCCAATTGGAATCCAACAATTGAATCCTTTTCATGTTCTAAGTTAGATTAGAGATTCGAATACGTTTGATGTTCCAAGTCAGTTGAGATATTCAAATACATATCTGACAAAACCATTCTGGTGTGGTTTACGTTGTCCATATGGAGCCTACCCTCGCTGTTTTGCTCTTTACACCTCCTCACTACGGCTTTAGTTATGCCAATATCGAGACAGAAGCATATTGAAGTTAAAGTTACTGTAGCACCACATGCAGACTGACAAGAGACTGCTATTTGACAGTACCCTGGGCTACCCCTAGAGGAAGGACAATTTCCATAGATCTCCAATCCAACAATTCGAAAGTTCGAGGTTGCTAGGAGTTCATAAGGAAAGAAAGGCAGTCGATGATGTCAAGTTTGGTGCTGTGACAATCTTAGTGATCTTGATTCGTTCGGCGCAGTCCTATTGCGCATGAACATCTCGTCTTTGAGGTGCTACCCAAAAGCGACGGTATCTGAACGGCCAGGTCTCACGTTTTCGCAGGAAATATTTAGTCTCAAACGAAAAAGACGGCGCCACATTCTCAACTTTCTAAGACATTCTAATCTTGCCAAGAAAACGTTGAGATTTTGGTGTGTTCACATGTGGTCGATCTAAATCGCATTATATATTTCATTTCGTTTTCAGCACTTAGGTCACCTGCATTTCCTACCATCGTCGACGCAAACACTTTTGAATAGATTTCTTTATTTGATTTTCTTTATTTCCTGTTAAATATTTCCTCGCAATAATTCCCAGTGGTATTCCGAGCACTTTGTTCTAAAGCACATATACCTTCAAACACAATGGCAGAGAAAATTATACAACTGGAGCCGACGATGGAACAACAACCACTTGCTATTCCACAAGACCAACAATCCCAGGAGCAAAAACCGCCACAATCGAGCTATTCTAGCCCTGACGTCGTTGAGCAGTCAGAATGGTCAAATAGTATCTGGAATTGCTTCTCCCCAAGCTCACTTTGTACTTAACCTCCAATCCCGCACTTCTGACTGTTCCAACCAAGCTAATACTCTCGAACCCTCAGGTCTCAAAGCGTTCTTTTGCCCGTGTTTTGTTTACGGCAAGACTCAACATCGTATCAACAAAGATCCCAATCTCATGGGTTATTCACGATTTAATAATGACGTATGTCGTTATATGGCAAATGGTTAGTTTCATACAAGCTGACTTCTGATAGTGTTTTATATGGGCGGGTGCTCAATGGTGCGGTCTAGGAGCCATATTGACCGTTCTTCAACGACGCCAAATTCGAACGGAATATGGGATTGGAAAAGCAGGAGAGGGAGAGATTAAGGATATAGCTTTGAGTTGGTGTTGCCATTGTTGTGTTCTGATGCAACAGGAGAAGGAGGTTATCATGAGGAATCAGGGTAGTGATGTTTTTCTACAGGGGTATCAGAGGACGGAACCAATGGTGATGGCACAAACAGATTGATGATAGAGGAGCTCTAGCAGGACGGCAAAGTTGGGATACCAAATCGCTCAAATGAAATAATGCATTGAAAACGCTCATAGTCTAACACCTTATAATAATTTCAATTTCAATTTCAGTCCAAAAAATGAATGATATACTTGAATTGAAAACACATAAGGAGGAATACGATGATGCCCATCTGAATCTGTTACTAATTCTCTCAATGTTGAGCGTACATCTAATATTCCGCAATCACTAGCACGCTCTTCATGGTATCAATTCCCATCCCAGACTACAATCCTAAACGCCATAACATCAATCCACACCCCTCTCCTCCTCCACAACCTTTTTCACCCCTTCGCTCAAACTCCCCTCTTCCTCTTACCCTTTCCAACCTCTTCCTCCTCCTCTTTACCTTCTACCTCACCCCCCGTCCTCTCAACTCTCTTACTCAAAATAACATAATCACTCTCCAGCACCTTCCCCCCTTTCAACCTCTTCGGCTCCGGACTATACTCATCCTTCTCATAGCCAAGCTTCCTATAAAACTTCAACGCCACTTCATTAGCCGTGTAACATGTTAACATTGTTTTTTCGACGCCAGGAATGGCGCGCGCAATGTTAGTAAGGAGGGACATGAGATGGGTGCCTAGGCCTGTGCTGTGAGGGTATTAGTATCTTATTGGATGGAGATATTGTAGAGAACATATAAGCATTGGAAGGAGCGAGACGAACCCGCGTAATTCATCCATTAGATGTATCTCATAAAGATAAACCACTTTGATGCCATCCTCAAACGTAGGCATGAAACTCATAAATCCCTTGATTCCTCCCTCTCCTTCTCCTCCCTCTCCACGTTCTTCCACTATTATCTCCTCTTTCACTTCCTCTGAATCTCCAAGATTTTCCTCTCCCTCTCCATTCTCACCCCCATTCTCATCCTCATCGTCCTGCCACTCTCCCTCTCCCTCTCCCTCACAAATCCCGAGATCCACCTCCCTCACAACCAAATACCTCAAATCCCACAACTCCATTTCCCTCCTCTTCCTCCTCCCATTCCACCCCCCTTTACTCTCCCGATAATGCTTCCCCGATGTCATCTCAACCAACTCCAAACAAGCCGTTAAATCTTCCCGACGTAGCGTACTAGGTTTATACAAACCTAGTTTATAAGATTTCACCGCTTCATCTTCAGATTTAGGTGACGTACTATAGAGCGCATATGAAGATCTACCAGATGTCAGAAATCCAACACTTGACGGTAAAATGATAAAGAGAGGAGAAAATATACCGAGGGGGCATGTAGTCACGTTCAAAGTCCTCGAGAGATTTCGCGCACGCGATGGCGATGGAATCCGAAGTAGACATTTTTGCTCTTTTTGAATATCCGCAAAAATTGACAATTTTGATATTATGTCTAAGATCAAGAATCAAAACTCCATTGCAACATAATTCCTCTAGGCGATAAACTCGTTTCTTATTTCACTCTCCAGCAAGCGCGTCTAGAAGTTCTAGACAATCTGCCCCGCGACGCGAAAGTCCGCCCCGCCCCACCATCTATCTATCCATCTTCATCTAATGATCATCCTTTCTTTCCATTCTTTCCACAAATTTACATCTCAACCCCTACATTCCCTCAAATTCTCACCATATACTCGAACCCTAGTATATCAACACAAAATGCGCACTCCCCCATTACGAACCTATATTCGTCTCAGCAACATCACACGCACAATTCGTTCCCATTCATCCGCCAAACCCCGACGGCCATCGAGTAAACTCGGTCCTACCGTGTCACTGGATCATGTATGTCCTATTTCTATACAGATATAAGAAAAGGAGTGGAGTTTAATAAAAAGATAGTTTCTCCAGAGATCCAAGGCTATTTCACTCTATAGACGGATTCTCCGGGATTGTCGACGGATTCCTGATGCGGGGTCTAGGGAAGAGACGAGGAGGTTTGTGAGGGATGATTTTGAGAGGAATAGGGGAGTGACGGATCTGGTGGGTTTGGTTTCTTTTTGTTTCGTTGGGGGAGGTGTTGAGTCTTGAGATTGGGAAAATCGGAGGGTAGGAGTCAATGTGGAGTGGCAATGAGAGCTAACAAATGCATGGGGATGTAGAGCCAGATCAAGTACTTGATTGGTACAGGTAAAACGCAGTGGGAGGGAATGGAAAGATATATTACTGGGATATGATGTATCATCTGAATTGTGGGAAAGTGATTTATGGTGGGGAAAAGGTTGTATATATACATGCATTGGTATGGAGTAGCTATGGAGTACGGGGTATTGGAAAATAATCATTGAGGTTTGTAGATGGCGCAGGCAAACTTCTATTCTGGGCGAAAAAAAGCATATAAATTCTCAAAAGGTCCTGTATATCCATTTGCCTGGCTTGGGGATTTTATCTGTTTATATTCTTTTCTGATCGTGTATGTGCGGAGGTGATTCTTTTCTCTGCCAACATATCTACTATTTCCCTCAACGCCATACCCAGTATCTAGTGCGTACTCTTCATACAGAGCGATACATGTATCGTACATCTCACACCTCGAACTCTTTTGTCAAAAGCACAAAATCTTCATGATGGTGCGCAACCCGCAATTCGGCAACGTAGCCGTTCGAAGTTTCTCATTCTCTGCTCTTCAACTTGGTATTTCGCATCCCGTATGATTTCAATCATCTATTTTCCTTGCCTCTGCTTGTGCTTAGGATTCAACGAACAAATAATATAAACATGTCCTTTCCCTGACTTTCCACCCTTTCTTCTGACACTCTGTAATGTTACCATGTTAGCATCCATGTATCTGGTCCCTCAGAGTCGCAAAACCTAGGAAAAATCTCCAAGCAATTTCTTCGCTGTCTTGTTGAATTCCACCTCTCCCAATCCCCGCACAACTCCAAAGTCTCGTCCCCCAGAAATAAACACAAAACATACCTTGCACCCCTCACACAACTTCTTCACCGAACTCCTAACCTTCATGCCTCTAACTTGTTCTGCCCCCTTTCCACTCGCGCCCAAACTCGCACTCTCCTTCACCTTCTCCATCAAAGCCAATGTTGGTCTCTTCGCCATCTGCATCGAAGCAAAACATCTTGCGCCAGCCAATTGTGTACTTTGAACTCGTGCAAAAGCCGGGAAAACCATGCGCGCTGTGCGAAGAAACATGGTCGAGGGTATCATCTTGTTGATTCTGAGGTGGATTTGATATGTTGAGAGGTATCCGCTGACCAAATTGCTCGTTATTGCGTTCTTGGAGTGGAGTGGACTGACATCGCAATGGAGGGACTGAGGATTTTAGAATGACGCTAGTGCACGGTCGTTTTTCTCTTGAAGTTACTCCCGGTGAGCTTGTTCTTCTCTATTTTGATTTACCAGAACTAAGAAGCATTTTTCTATAAACTATTCCTCAACCTAAACTTCAAGCTATTTAGGCCCGCTTTCAGGCTCCTCGTCCCGGCCTGTCCATTAGACTAATATACATCCGACGACAATCACAAAAACTTTCCAAACCACTCCACCAAAACCCCATAAGCCCTCTCATATTCCCTCCTCTTCACCTCATCCTCCACATCCGCTCTCGCGCTCAAAAATCCATGTACCTGATCCTCAAACGTCTCAACATATTTCTCCACCTTCAACTCTTTCTCATAAGCATCCATATCTTTCCTTTCTTCCTCCGATGCTAATACCACGTGGGGAATCGTAATCTTCCCCGCGTCTTCTACATCCATCATACCGGGATGCAGCTGAGCTGATACTTTCCATGGACTATCTGGACCGGATGTTATGGCGATGACTTTTCCACCCCAGCAGTACTATATAGTTGAGTTAGTTCTTGATTGTATCAAGGAAATTCTGAGATGATAGCGAAAGAAGAAACATACTCCCACGGCACCCCAGCTCTTCTCTCCATATTTCTCTTCAATATCCTTCAGAATACTCGGAATTCTCTCAATCGCAATATTTGGTTTCCTCGGAGCGAACCAATCCATGAGTGATTTCATTTGCTCGTCAGTCACAGGTGGATACCTCAAAATCCCATCAACATTCCTATTTCTACAATGGCAAACACCAAAGCCCACTCACCATTCAATCTTCGCCGGTTGTCCTTCAAAGAAATCCGGCATGAAAACTTGACACTCCTCCCCCGATCCTTGAGCTAGAACATCTGCTCCTTGAATGGTTTGTGGATAGTATCCGAAAATATCGTAGATGATCAGTATGGCTTTCTTCGCAGATGGCGGCCCAGAAACATCTTTGGGGTTCATCAATAGCTGTAGTGTATTCCTGTTGAATCGAAGCGACACTCACAAGTTTTAAGACCACCAATGGCTTCATAGGTACCTTTAGGAGTGTATCCTTTTGAAACGACCGGTGGGATATTGCAGCATGCGGCGCTGTGGCCGTTGATTGATTGCATGGTTATTTAATGAACGGGAATGGAAGAAACAAAGATGTATTTAATGGAAATTGCCGTCTATCGCCTTAAATTTACAAGTTACTCGCGATTGGAATCACAGGATAGCTCGTACGTACAACATTGTCGAGGTGGAGTTTATGCTGACATGAAGGTATCGACGTGGTGAGTAAGACTGAAGTGTGAGGGACAAAGGTGGGGGGAACGACGAAGCCACCTGCGTTGAGAACTTTAACATTTGTACCCTCTGTCGGTATTCCATTGATTAGTTTCGGTAGATCACTGCCTAGTTCCTTTTTCCAGACGAATCATAGTCACAGTTCACGTTGCTGTCGAGGAGGTACAATGGCGAAACCCCAGGGGAAAAAAGATCGGGACGGAAGACAGCAAGATGATACTCAATTGAGCGATCGGAAGATGGACAAAATGAGTATCTAATTCATGATAGATATTACAAAGATCTATATCTCTCTTGATACCGAGCTACATAGCTTCAAATACAGAGATATGGAATATAAATCATTCTCCCCTTTTCCCACGCTACTCCAACAACATGCTATATACAAAGTCCAGCTTTCTCAACATCAAAATTTCAATAAGGGTATCAACAATCTCAACTGTAATAACAATACTTTGTGAAACAAGCTGTACAATCGCTTGGAAGGGCTTGGCCAGTCTTCTCCATAAACGCACAACCTAAGCAAGTAGGCCATTCGGCATCATTGCCCTGAGTTGCAACTTCCACACCATTTGCAATGACTCCCGCGGAAGTGGCTGCTGGATAAATCAATTGGGAAGTCGAGACATTGCTAGCGAATGTGTATGGTGCATTTGGGAGGTAGACGATTGTTATTTTGCTTGTATCGCCACAGCCAAAAAATGTGGCTCGCTTATTGTAGCCCTCGGCGACAAAAGTCTCGACGGAAGGAATGACTGGCATGCGCGTGAGACCGGCTGACAGAGATTGTACGTACGTGGTAAGAATTTCGGATCCGTTGGGCCAGTTGGTTACATCGTCTGCACTGTTATCATTCACAATAATGGCAGATATGTTTCTGTCTGGCTGCAGGAACGGGAAGATGGGGTTGTTTTGCAAGGCTTCTCCACCATCGACCAAACTTAATGTGTCCTGGGCCGGAACATTGTTTGCAGAGTTAACCACGCCCGTGGATGAGTCGTATCCGTAGAAGGGATTTTTATAGATAGCATATAAATCTTCGGTGGTTACCTCATGCACGCCGTCAAGAAATGCAGAGATACCTTCAAATGCGTTTGAAGAACCATTGACAGGTGCTGGAACGCTGAGACACGCCTCGTTGAACAGACTACTTGAGGTTCCTAGGATATAGCCCAAGTTATCGTAATTCGTGGTACATGTCCCAGTTGGCACACCATTTTTCAGAGTAGTGCCAAGATATTCAGTTGGCGTGAAAGCAGACACGTCGGCATCCCAGGAACCAAATTCATATGGAGAGAACTCATACATTGTAGCATTAGGACCGGGCTCGCATTGGCCTAGCCATGTCTTCACTCCCCTACTGGTAATGATTGGAAATGGGACTGCATGTGAGGTAAAATTGGAAAGTGTGGCGACCGATGAGAAAGTGGTTGATTCACCATCATTTGCGAGCAATTGATAGCTCAAAAGTCTTCCCCATGGATCAGTGAGAGTAGTGTGGAAGCCTGCTGCATCTTTTTCAAGAAGTTCTCCGACAATTTTGGCGTACGCTACTACGAATAGTAATCCATCAGGGTCGAAGAGTGATTCTTGGAACGCCGTTTCCCAGAGATTATCTCGCAACCACGAGACTGTTGGATAGTTGTTTCCGGCAAGAGATGAAAGAAACCATGATCCACCTGAAAGACCTGCTTGATATGTGATAGCTTGGTAGAGACCGCTAGTAGAAACATCACTGTCCCGTGCATCAAGACCTTGAACTACACCGGCGCTCTTTTGGAATAGTTAGTATTGGACTGCTTGGGAAAGATGGTCTGGGAGATATTTCGACGACGCATGGAACGCTGCAGTTGTAAAGAATGTCTTTTAATAGAAATTACTGACCGACAAGAGAGATCGGTAGCCCCCACCACTGTGGGTAAGTGCAATCTGAATAATGTTAGTTACCGCAGAAATGAGTCTGAGACAGATATACATACCGTTGGCAAATCAGCGGTACCAAATCCTGAGTTCGTTTTTTCCAGCCACTATACACATAATCAGTCAAAGTTTAATTCCAAGCCAAGAGAAAGAAATAGGGACTCGTAATTTCCTCTCGCCTAAAACATAGCAAGTGGAACCGGGGCTAGGCTTAGGTGAATCAAAAAGACAATGATATTCCGTACCGTTTTCAAAGCGACATCCGCAATAGCTTTTCTCGATACTCTATAGGATTCCTCATTGTCTGAAAGACCATCTGCAGGTCTAACAAGTGATACCCCTGAAGGGCATGTCACAGATGTGGGCGCGTAGGAAGCGCTAACTACGCTACTCCCCGTCAAAAACCCAAGCAACGAGGATATTGACCAAACCATTGTTGCTTTGGGATCCCAAATCGAATGTTGTTTTGAAAAAGTAGAATGAGATATTGGAACCCAGAAAGGGGAACTCGGAGTGTAATAAAGAACGAAGAGAAAAGAAAAGCCTCCTTGAATCACCGAACCCAGATAGGATATGATGTGAATGGCAATCAGCAACCGATCGACTGCATGAAGATTGGCGGATATTCAGAAGGGAGGCGTGCTTATTTGTACCTGAATGATCGACCTAGCTTTTGATGATAGATAGACATACTCTATATATGGCCCAGTTTAATAAAGTTGGGGGAAGGGGGGGTTTAGTGCAACATCTGGTCTGTTCATGAGTGGGTGTACAAAAATCCAAATTTGGGTCTTCCAAACGGTCACTAGAATACCTTTCAGGTCCATGAGTCTCGGTGTAGATAGGATCGGCGGCAGGCTGGTGGATTGAATAGCAAACGCCCCAATAAATCGAGGTTACCATCACACATTTTTGACGCAGTGACATTTGGACTATATGAATGGTCAATTCGAAATTGACCAGGGGCAATCACGACGTTGTGCGAACGTGGACTTTGTGGCCAGTAAGGGATCACACGTGTGTGAAAGTGCTCTAGCAAAAGCGAAAGGCTCGTGAGTCCGGAGGACTTTTACGCGTAAGGTGACCTGGGTACGAATTCAAAATCCGAATTAGGAAGCTCGACATACTTCCCTACACATTTTGGGACACATTTCCGATGGCTGAAGAAACTTGAAGTAAAAGAAAACCAAAGTAGGCTGGCTGCTTGCTGTCGGCACTGTAACAACCTGGAAGTCAAGGGACAACCGCAACCGATCAGACGGATTCTAATTCTACGCGAGTAACGCGACAGTACAGTTCCGTGCGGATCGATTACTCCACGGCTAGCTCCATCGCTTGAATGATTCAAACGTAACGGATGTAGTGCAGTCCGATCATTTTGAGTTTACATGTGAAGTAGGACTAGGTAGCTTGAGTATGACTAGAGAAGCCTTCAAGAGTCAAATAAAATTCTAGAAAGTCCCTCGGCATTTATGTTGTAATCGTGCATATCGTAATCTGCAACACGTGCGTGCAACTACCTACTAGGTGCCCAGGTGCCTGAGTACTACTCCGTATACGAAGTACTTTGACCGAAAAAATAAATAAAGTTGCGAGCGATATTACTACGTGATTAGGTGCGTACAGGGGAGGCCACAAGATTGAGTCGGGGTACGGGGATGCCGGTATTTGTTCAGCTGGGTCTTGAAAGTCTCCGAAGAAATACCAAAGATCAACATAAATACAGCATTACAGCCAGCCATAACTTGGCATCGGTGTTCCCTCATAGAAGTGTCTGTGTACTCGTGAAACTATTGAAAGAAATAGAAATTCACTGGTTACAATACTCGTCGCTTGCTGTGCAACCATCTCCTTCAACAATCCCTCTGTCAATTGGTGGAAACAATGGTAAGCTAAAGAGGACAATTAGTATATACTGTAGACTGTAGTCCCCCCCCATTCATGAAAGTGGGATTGGCCCCCGGTTTGATGTAGCTTTTCTTCTTTTTAAGGATGTTAAATCCGAAAACTGGCCAGCTTGCAAAGTCGCAATGCAGAGAAATGTGCCTTCAATCTGCCTCTTGCAGAAATGGGCCTGACATATCAGCATGCATAGATTATTTGGTACTAGTAGCCTATTTCAATCAGGTCGAACCTTGTTTATGAACGAGATCACGATATCACGATGTCACGATTTCAAATAATTTTTGGAAGGTAGTGCACAATTTTCTCATTTTAGATTAATAGAATTGCTGTCACATGTGTTCTATGTTACAAGGGCCATTGGGCCGAATATTTTCCGTGCTGTCTCCTGTAGTTTCTAGACATAACAAAAGAAATGAAAACCCTAAACTGCAGTCGCCTCGTTCCCTTCACTAGCAGGTTTAGCAGCTCCGCCATCAGATTTCTCAATGCTTTGCTCCTTGCTCTCATCAGCTTGCACGTCACGTTGTGCCATTGGCTTTTCCTGGGCATCTGGCTCTGCTTTGCCGACAGTTTGAGGGTCAGAACCTTCAACGTCTGGATGAGGTGGTGCGACTCCAACCGCGTCATCCTCAGGTGGGTTGATCTCATTGCCTTGAGCATCCACCATGCGAGTTCTGGTTTCATATCTGGTCTTGAAGCTGACTTTTCCTTCGAGAGACTTTACCGCCTCGGGATCAAGGATATTGCCATCTTGATCTCTATATTCAACCTTCTCCTCGCGGGAAACAATGCTATGACTAGCGACAGGGGCAGCTGGCGGTGGAGAGACCAAGCCTTCTGGTTTCCCTTCTGGTGCTCCTGAGACGTTCTCTTGTTCTACAAGGGGTTTCTGCTCGCCAGCCCCAGCCTGTGCTGGGATTTCAGCAGCATTGGTTGGGATCAATGGCGAGTCTGTCTTGTGGACGTCGGCATTCGCATTGATTGATTGAGTTGCATAATCAGAGTACTAAGAGGATTAGCGCATGTTCTCAATGTGACAAACTAGAAATAGTCGTGACTAAAATAAAATAAAACTTACATCATTCAAGAAAGTATTGCAGTCCCAGTCCCACTTTTCGAAAAGTTTGACTTGTTTGCAGGCTGATTGTGTCCATGGATTGCCGTATGCCAATGGAGAGTAGAGAGCAAAAACAACAATGCTAAGGGTTAGGAAGATGACCGCGCCAATCCTTCCAATGAAAGGACGTTCACGCAAACCGATACCAGGAACACGGGCAGTGATAAAGTCAAAAGTCTGACACAACGCGATGATGGCGAAATAAAGTGCAGGGAAGTAGTGGTGAAGGAAAAGTTGACGCTGCATCAGGTAGAATGGGAAATAATGGAAAGCCCATCCAAGAACAGATGTTCCAATTTCGTAGTCGAATCGCTTGAAAACTGGGTTATCGTAATCTCTGAACCCTCTTTGCCAACGGAGAACGGCAAGTCCTTTAAAGGCTACGAACAAAACAACAGCCAATGTCGAGCTCCACCAAATTACAGGGTTACCAATGAGGTAAATTTGACGATTGTCTTTGCCCCAGAAATTAATACCACGTCTGAGAATAGGCCAAGAATCAGGACGAGAGTCCCAAGCATGGGATTCAACCAACCCAGCATTTGTGTGCCACATGACTTTGTTGAGCTCCCAGAATTTGCCAAAGAAACCCGGATTTCTGTAGTTGACTTTCTCCGCGTCTGCTCCAAGTTGAGGATGTTCATTTTGCTCAACATACCAAATACTGTTGGGAAGAGTTCCTCCCTTAGCACATGTGACTTCTTGCTGCTCTGACGCCCACTCAGGAAGCTTGACTTTGTGTGAGAACAAAACACAGCCAGTCATAATATGAACAAGTCTAAACTTGGTCTGAATTGTTCGTAAGCGAGTCTTGGCCAATTCCCCGTCGGACATTTTCTTGATGATCTCGACACGGAAGAAGTCGTTAGCATCGCCTTCGAATCCTTCGTAGCCATAAGCGGACACCTCGTTTTGCCAATCTGCCTCGGTAACTGGCGGTCGAACATCATGAGAATGGAGGCGACGATGTGTAGGTTGATGGTATAGCTTGAGGACATCACCGTCTTGAATAAGCTTTGGTTCAGGTAAAGCATCCCAAGCCAATGATCCGTTGATTGGCTGTCCGTTGATATCAAGTGGTTGAGTCTGGTTCTCCAAGAGCCAGATATTGTTCTCGTCTTTGTGGGGGTACAATGTGATCTGCTGTTGCTTGCTACCAGTTGGATACATAAGATTGTGCGAGTGTAGATATCCTCCTTGGGTGTTGTGATGCCTGATGCTAACTCGACTTCCAAAAGCAACATCTACGGGAACATCTTGCATGGACTTCGAGTTAAGAGTTGCTTGAAACTCGGAACTCATGAATCCATCCCCGTCTCCTGGATTAACCAGACATAAGAAGTGGATACCAAACATGGCCATATAAAATGTGAGGGGAATGATAATGAGACAAAAGATTCGTGCTACAAAGTGCTTGGCGAAAATGCGCTGTACTTGTCAATATTTGACAAATTCGTTAGAATGAAGGGCTCTTACCGGTGTGACAGTTTTTGCATCTCCAAGCAAAACCCACAGTTGCAATACAGTAAGACTACCGACCCAAGCAATTGTGAAAAGTCCAACCCATTTGACACTGGCGGTGGCTCCCAAACCAAAACCCGTCATAACCAACCAAAACCACCAGCTCAGTCCAAACGCTTTCGTAGGTCCTTGTTCATGTTGATTTGTGAAAGATGTGAATGCAAGCGCTGTCGTGGCTGTCATGATCATGAGAGGAGAGTCGAGGAGAATTAGACGTGCTTGGGTAAGTAATCCATTTTCTGAAAATGTTAGCCTAGCTCTTGAAAGCATGATGCTCCAGAACTTGACTCACCAAATATAATGAATCCAGCTCCCATAGCAGATGTCATGGTTCTGCAACCTGCGGCCTTGAGAGTTAAGAACATGGTAGGAACCAAGAGGATTCCGCAGATAGCTGGCAATAATCGCATAGCAACATATGGTACACCTGGCTCGACATAATCCTTTCCGATATCTTTGAAGTCAAATTCTCCATCAAATCCAGCCAAGTATCCCGCAAGTGTAATCAATAGTTTAGCCAAAGGAGGATGTACGTCCATAAAGAATCTACCCTTTATGTATTTCGAGGCGAAACCACCAAAGCTATAATAATAAATGTAAGTGCTTATTCTAGGGTCAAAAACCAATTGCACCATGACAACTTACTGGACTTCATCAAACACCACACTGCTTGGTTGGTAGATGCGGAAAAGTCTGACGACAGCACCCAATAATGTCAGGACGATCATGACCTGAAAGTCGGAGCCAGGGAGGAGGAAGACATCTTGATCTTTAACCCCTTCAGAGGTATAATCTGTTGATTTCTTGGTAACAGGTTGCCTTGAAGGGCTCCTCGAGCCCTTTGCGACATCTGCGTGCACGGATTTTCCAGTACGTGCCATGGTGCACTTCAGATGAAAATCGAGAAGCTCTATAAATCCAAGGAGCTTCTAGAAGCCCAAATTCCCAAAGAATTAAACCAGCAAGCTCGAATTGATTGTATTGCCGGAAAGAGTGTAAAGAAAAATGAATGGTAGAGGACTAAAAGTACGGCATCGAGGTTGAAGGACAAGTCGCCTGTTAATATTGGGAAGTAAGTCGTAAGGGGGAACTTTTTGGAAAGGGCCAGGTATGGTTTAGAGTGACGCGAGTGTAGCCTTTTCTATTAATAAACTTCACCAATCAATCAATCAAATTTTCAGCCTCAGCCTTTCCAATCTTACAATTTGTCTAATTTCGAACATGTGAGTTCCCATAAGATGAATGCGCTTTTTCAAAAAAACAACAACTAGCTTCAGTACATACATATCTACCAAGAAGTACTTTGGAAAATCCTTACACTTGGTGCCAAAGCTATTGTAAAACATTTGGTGGAACTTCTTCGTAAGGCTGAACTTTATATATTACACCCAGGTGTATCCCTAGTGATGTGAATGCTTGATGTAACAATCTTCGCAACCATGAATTTTACTGATCATCGATAGGCATGGGACATAGGATTGTGTGTTAGTTGTCTACGAACGAATTGCTCAGAAAAGATTTTGACATTTCACGAAAGTTCCATTTAAGCGATTGCGCAATTCAGAAAGTTGTCCCCAAGTCTAACAATGAGAGTTCAATGCATCAAATAACCTCTTCCGCTTATGTACAACTCTGTCTAGTCTTGCAATCACCCCCACCACAATCTGTGTTTGTTCCTCTGATCTAATATCCGTCCTTACCCCACTTGTTGTATTTCTCGTGTAGCTCCTGGAGACAGTATGTTAGTATAGATATAGAGCATACAAGGACCTAGGAGACTCCGGCCATGGCACACGTATATGAACAGGAGTATGCAACCCTTGGTGTTCTGTGAGCTGGATACATGGGGGGAAAGGAACCTACCTTTGGCAAGTTGACATTGGGAACAATGACGCTGTGCAATGCGCTAGGTGCGTCCTTTGGTGGGTTTCTTGGGTCACCGGCTGGGTGATATTGGTATTTGAAGTCCTGTCTGGCAGCATCGCCTTTGGAGCTCTCAGTCTGCCATGGCATGGTACCAGGAGCGATGTTTACTTTAGCTTCTGAGGTAGCTGAAGTGGGTTTACCACCTAATAACATAAGTCAATTGAAATGCTCAGTACCGGTCGAAGAAAATGATCTCACCGAAGTAGTAGCCGGCCAAACCAAAGGCACCGGCCATGACACCGAAGAGAACCTGCGCAAAATGTGGATCAGTCAAATCTTCGGGGTACATCTACAGCGGAGAACAAATAGGACTACAGTAAAGCCAGACGCGTTTTGTAGTTTCACTCACGTAGAGTTCGGGATCTCTCTTTGCGCCCTTGTTAAGAACATGGCCATCTGCAGATTTGGCCGCAGACTTGGCTGCTTGTGCGCCGACTCTTGCTGCTGCTTGTGCGGACATTTTGAAAGTAGTGGGTTTGATGTTGTATCGCGGGTGAGCAATAATCTATCCTAGAAATGGTACGATGCGATTTCCAAGATGTTTTGGCGGAAGATGTTCACGGATTATGTCACCAATGTCACGTGCTGATGGTCGAGAATATGCAATGTTTGATTGGTGGAGGTCCCCAATGCAACAAGTTTTCTACAATTGAAGCTTGTTGGGAGTGAATGTTTCTATTTCCTTGCCGAGAAATGATAGAGAGAATGTTCTAATGAGCTGGCTACTAGGATGGCTTCATAGGTTCCTAGGTAGGTAAACATTCAATCTTATAAATCACATCCCCCTCACCCTTTTTCCAATTGTCCATGAATCTTCATTTCCCAATTGATATCAGCCATTTCCCACTGCTCAAGCTTCAAAGCAAAAGCAGACTTCACTCTCCCTCTCGCCCAACGCTTGGACCCCTCTCTTTCCCAAAACAACATAACGGCGGCCGGTATTACAAACCTTCTTCCTCTTCTTCTGCTCCCGTGCGTTATTTAGGTGTTGACCTGTCTCGAGCCTGTCTACGTACACTTACACCAACTCGAGAGCATTCTACTCCCGCACTCTACACTCCTTGTAAATTGTAACTTTAATTATTTTCTTCTTCACGCCTCACTTTAGTCCTTTACACTGCAGTATGTAATGCTTGAACCCTACTATTAAGATCTAAACTTAAGATCCAATTCTCACTCTCCTTAAAATTAACCTCTTTTACCTTTTTGTTCCCTACCCAGTACTTTTATCTCGGAATCCACCTTTTTATAATCCTCAATACCATCACACACAGGCAGAGTAGATATTTAATAAAATTAATTCTTGAAGCGCTTCTCGCCAACGTTCGAACTGGCACACGGCCCACGACCTTCACTTCTATTATTGTGCGACCGACTACCATTATTCGTGTTGACATGAGAGATAGAAGAATTCTTTTGGAGGATCGATTTTGATATACGAAATGACTTCCCGGGACAATTCTTCGTCCAAATTCCTTCATTCCACAGATAACGACAATCACACCTTTCCCAACCCACATCTTGCGCCTTCAGAAATAGGAGATGGAGCGAGCGTTTTGTCATCGCGAATGACCGATATAGCTTCCGAAGATGGAGATAACACAGATACCTTTTCCGGCCCAGTTTCGCATAGCCAACGACTAAGCCAGCGTCATAGCATACAGACTGGAGATGGAACCTCAAGGCCAGGCACAGGAGTCACGGCTGTTTCTTCCAGAGGAACATTTGGACAAGCTGCCCCAGCTCGAAGAGGCTATATTCCAGGAATAATGGCGCAACGAGGGAGCACATCAGGACGACCTCCAAGCTCTACAAGCAAGACTCACGTACCATCTTTAAGTGCCCATGCTTTCTTCCGCCCCATGAGTTCTCAAAGGCTCCAAGCGCAACGTGGAGGATCTCGACCAGTTACACTTATACAGCAAGGGTTTGGTGAAGATGGGTCTTTGGATGGAGGTAGTGTGAGGCAGAGCGTACATTCGAATATTACTATACCTCAGCAAATCATTACCGAAGATGCAGATTTACCTCCGCCACCATCTCGAGGTACCGAAGTGACAGAGCTAGGAACAGTGGATAGAGGTACCGCAAACACAAGTCCTACGCATGGCCATGCAGCTGGAAGCTTCGCAGATAGTGTCCGCCCCTTGCAGAAAGGTCCAGCGAATACGAAAGGGCTGAATCTGAACATTGATAAAGGTTACAAAAACGGCACTTCGACTCCCAAATCTCCACGGTCATTTCATTCCAACTTTTTGATGCCTACAAGAAACGATGGGCCTGTTGGAAGCCCCAGTCCGAGTCGTAGCAATCAAGGTCGCGAAAAGCTCTCGTCTGCTGCTTCTTCACCAGGATTCACTCCAGTGGACGCGCAAAACAAGAACATGCAGACTCCGAATCTTGGTAAAAACCATCAATATTTCACTGGTAACACAGTATTTTGCTGGGGAGGTAGGCTGCAAAATACTCGGCACAGACCCATCAACATTGCCACGGGATTGTTTGTTGTAGTTCCATCAATCCTGTTTTTTGTGTTCTCAGCCCCGTTTTTATGGCACCATGTTTCTCCTGCGGTACCTATTTTGTACGCCTACATTTTCTACATTTGCATGTCCTCTTTCATACATGCTTCTGTATCTGATCCCGGAGTGAGTACTTGCAAGCACGCTTTCAACGCCTGCAAGATTTATCTGATCAAAGCTAATATTCGTAGATTTTACCTCGAAATTTACACCCAATGCCTCCAGCAGAGGAGGATGAAGATCCTCTTCGACTGGCGCCAGCCCAAAATGATTGGACTATGATCAAATCGGCCCAATCTAACACAAATGCAATGGAAGTGCCTACGAAATACTGCAAGACTTGTAACATTTGGCGACCACCTAGAGGACACCATTGCCGAGTCTGTGATAATTGTATTGAGACACAGGATCATCATTGTGTCTGGTTAAACAATTGTGTCGGACGTCGAAACTACCGTTACTTTTTCGTATTTGTAACTTCGGGTACACTTCTGGGGACATATCTCCTGGGTGCGAGTATTGCCCAGATTATTGTTTACGGGCATCAACAAGATATTTCATTCGGTGCCTCGCTAAGTCATTGGAGAGTCCCCTTTGCAATGTTCATTTATGGCCTCCTCGCTACACCATACCCAGCCGCACTGATGGTATATCATTTCTTCCTCATGGGTCGAGGTGAGACAACAAGAGAATATCTCAATTCACACAAATTCATTAAGAAAGATCGCCATCGACCATTTACCCAGGGAAGTTTTGTCAGTAACTGGATTGCTGTACTTTGTCGACCCCGACCTCCAACTTACTTAAACTTCAAACGGAAATACGAAGAAGGCGATCAAAGATTTGGCGAGCGAAGGGGAAAACGAACGGCGCCTATTAATAAAGAATTTCAGGATGGAGGAAACAATATGGAAATGCAAAATGTTCATAATACGGAAGGGGAAGGGTTTCAAGGACCTACATCTTTGAGACGGACGACTTGAGGAGTTTTGCTGGGTGTTTTGGAAGGGAACACTTTTTGACTTTTGCACTGACGCTAGATACCTATTTTCCTTGCATTTTTATGTTACCATGGTGGGATCATACTTGTACTTAATATTGTATTATTTTTGAAGAATATACGAGGTGAGCAGAAGAGAGGATAATACACATGAATCATCGAATCGCAGTCACTGCTGGTGGTGGCCGACGATAGGGATGAGAGGAGAGTATTTGATGAAAGTTGGAGGTTGTAGTACATTTTACTTTCTTATAGGAAGGAGATGAGATAAGAGATGGACAAAAAGAGAAATAGCAAATATCTCGAGACGGCCTTGATTATCATATTAGATAAATATACTTAATTTACTCCATGACATGAAGATTTACCTTTTTCGATATCATCTTTTCCTGATAAGACGCCACGAGATATAGTTCTTTTCTACTTGGTATTTTTATTCTTATAAAAAAAAAGTGCAACGGCACAGTGAGGTGAAACAGTCAGTAAATAAGCTCTACATACCCAGGTACTATCAGCATAGGCTGTCCGACCTTCGACTTGTGATCATAAGGATGAGATGTCCTGTTGTCTTTGATAAGTGCCTAGATAGGTATAGGTGAGCCTGGGTAGTTTGCGGTCTGATGTTTTTGAGAAAGAAGCTTGAGCTTCCTTTGGTACATTGGAGGTGGAGGTAGAATTCACATGGTAATGGAGTGCGTGGTGATGGCATGAAGGGCGCTAAGTGAACGGTGCTTAAGTCAATCGTGCTAAACCATGTGATTAGATTGTGTGTAAGAAAGTCATTCGGTCTAATGCATCACATTCGAAGAGATTCCGGTTGTCATGCGAGGAGAAATTAGGCCTTTCCATCCCCACGAAATTTGGCGAGACCATGAAGGGGCTGGCGCTCCATGCTCTTAGCACCGCGCAGAGGTAAAAAATCACTCGCCAGAGTTCAAACACAATTCGATCATTCGGTGTATGTAATTAACATGATTTTGATTGATGTACAGTAATGCCTCAAGGCATTACAATAACAAGATAGGAATGTCTATTATAAATACATAAATCCTCCCATCTGATCTTGCGACTCTTCGTTTGGGAGGAAACTAATAAGACATAGCGAAAAGGAATCGTCGTGAGATAAAAGAGTGAGAAAATACTCCACCCAAAATCAGTTTTGAGGGCGCTCGCGAGAGCTAACGTTGTAAGAGTCGCTATCCATATCCATGTCCATATCCCACCAATTCTATAACCGTTTATCCGTCTTTCCAAGCTCCTGATGTACCCAAACAAACAAAGGAAAAGGGGATGGTGTAAGGAAATTATTTTTAAAAAACGACTCGCTCGCTCGCTGCCGAATGACTCCAGAAAAGATGATTACAATAAATAAGTCCCAGTGTTCCCAATCAAAAACGCCCAAAGGAAAATAACGTTGATACATTCATCGTGTCCTGACCATAGTGTTGGAGGACGAAAAGTACGGGGTCCAAGAGAGAATGTCAGCCCCAGGGATCCAGCTCGTCTATTTCGAGGAAAGAGTCATCTCTAAATGCATCCGCGAAATTCTTCATGTGCCGTCGTACATGATCTTGGGCATGGTGGAGAATTAAACGGCGATGCATCGTGAGTAATGATGACACTCTCCTTTCTATTCTCCATCGGGGGAAAGCGAGGATGTGAGAAGACTGGTGAGAGTTGCATGGAGAGAGGGCAGCCTAAGTCTCATGGTCCGGGCTGAACGTTTGGATGATGTGATGTTGATGTGCTGAGCCACTCCAGGGAGTTTATTGTGCTGTGGATTTTTGGTACTCGGTACGTGCTGAGTTCGTCTGCGGTGCAGATAGACAATCCATCTGGAGGGGCTGAGGGGGAACCTGACGGGAGGGATATCGATGGTGAAAATGAGAGAATTGAAGACTTCGGTCGCGAGAGCAAGGCTGAAAATGGGCTATGGCTATTGGAAGTAGGGATTTTTTTGGTTTTGCGAATCTGATATCGTTGCGTTTCGTTTCGGTGTGGGGGTGAGGTCGGGGAGGTCGGTGAGGTAATAATGCCTGGTGTATATCTAATACGATCTTTAATTTGATGTTGTACTCGTGATCGAAATTTGAGGGGGGGGCTTTGAGATTGTTGACTACATGGTGAAGTTCGGGATTATCTATTGATAAGATTTTAATTAGTTTAATTTGTTTTTCCAGATCTTCAAAATTAATATTTGTTGCTTTTGAGTTTCTGCTTCTTTGACACTTGTCCCCTTGTGTTCCTGATGTTCCGTATGCCCCGTATGCCCCATTTCGCCCTGTTTACTTATTCTTTTTCTAGAAGAATGAAGTGGGAAGAGCATTTTGGGGCAAAGAGGGCATTTCGGGGCAACAGATGACAATGCAATCAATCATACAATCAATTGCAAAAAAGGGCATCTGTGACTTGCTTGTAGTGAAGTGGCTGATGAATGTGATAAGGGTCGCTTATCTGAACACAGTAGAAGAGTACTCCGACAAGAAGTGCTAAGAAGTACTGTGACGCAGTGTACCGCCTCGGCTGCATATTCCGACCTTGCAACATCTTGCAGCTTTCATCTACTCAGGGCCACTAAGAATCTAATAAAAGACCAGGGGCTTTGAGTCTGAGACCTTTTTGCACTTGCTCAAAGTTCCAGCCTCGTCTTGACGATCCGAAACTTTCGTACTCAATTGTCTGCATTGGGAAATTGTCCAAAGTACCAGATTGATTGGGGGGAGAAGAGAAAGTAAAATGAGGATATACTAACATTCAGTCCATGGTAGATACACCGGGCAAGAGAGATAATGAGGTATTTAGTGGTCATCATCATCGTTGTCTCTTGGGTGGCTTCTGAATGCCATGATGGAGTCTGTGAAGCAACGATTAGCAACCATCACATGTATAGATAGAATGGAGAATCCTGTAAGCCATAACTGCCGAAGAAGGATCTCATGAACAAGGAATTCCACATACTGGTGATCTGGAAGGATTCGGTAGACATTTTTGGTGGAGGTAGTTGGTTGTTGGTGTTGGTTGGTGTTGATGCTTGGTAGTTGAGTGTTGGAGAGTGTTTTATGTATGTTGTTCGATGATATTGAATATGAGATGAGTTTGAAATGTAAAGTGATAACTTTGAAAGTGTGTTGGGATGGAGGATGTTTATATCTGATATTTGATGCAGTTGGAAATGCTGAAACAAAAACGAATTGGGGAGAGGGTCTGGGGGTTTAAGTATCTGGAGCTTAATGTATATAAGTCTTTTCTGAAGATATCACAATTATATTATTATACATAGCAACGAGATGCAAAACACCTGCATAGGGCCATGCTTGGATAGTGGCTGAGAGCCCCATGGTAGATCGGTGTCTATGTTCAGATAGGGAGAAGATTACAAGGAGGCCATCCAGGCTGCCTTTCCCATTTCCAGGCCCAGATAGTACAATAACTCAGCATCGTCATAAGTATGACTGAGGTAGTCAAAGCTGGGAGAAACCTTACAGGCTCGGCGTTGAGAAACGTATGAAAAAGGTTCCCAAAATGTGAATCTCTAGGAATATCTGGAACCTTGCAACCTGACTAACTGTAACTACTCAAAGAGGTCCCAGATTATGAACCTGGGTACTTTTTTGACATCTTAGCGACTAACTGCCTGACGCCTATCCAAGGGGAGAGTGACTTTGACAAGGGTAGAGGGCGTCTCTTAACCTATCATTATTCTCACTCAGCTCCATTTGCCACGGTTCGCCCCATGTTTGTTGGTAACCATCAGTTCGAATTATAGCCACAAAAAGGCGCCTGCTCTGACTCTTCATTCTGAGCCAGGGTTCTAGGGAGTAGGGAGTATGCACACTATGGAAGGGGTCCGAAGTACCGTACTATTAGCTTCGCAATGAAAGTACCGTATACCTGCAGCCTTGGGATGATGATATCAGGCATAAGGTACAACGTTTACGGAAAAGGAAGTGCAACGAATCTAGTGTGCAAGGGCCGAAATGCATGGTAGAGTCATTTGTTTGATCTGGATGGGACAGAATTCATGGATTAGATGGAATAGGACCCAGATAGAAGAGAGGACTTACTCGTAAGTTGTAACTAACTATAGCTAATCTTGAGCACACACTGACCAAAGAGCCATTGAAAGAACCCCACGGTCTCCAAGACAATATCCCAAAGTAGAAAAGAGGATACCGGAATCAGAAAACGAAACCAAGTCTCACCCAGTTTATTGGGGAAATCCCACAGTATCCAAATTAGGAATCATTTAAATAGATTCTTTAGAAATTTGTTCTAGAAACATGAAAATCTACGGGGTAGTACAGTGGATTAGAAATCTATCAAACTAATCTCTCAAAACTACGGTACCTACTCTGTAGATGGTAAAAGAAAAAGCATCTAATCCAGATGCGTCAGCCCGTGACTGGGGGATTGGGACTGGGGGGGGGACTGGAACTGATGGACTGGAACTGATGGACTGGAACTGATGGACTGGAACTGATGGACTGGGACTGGGACTGGGAATGTGGTTGTGGTTGTGGTTATGATTGTGACTGGGACATTTCATATTTGGTGTCTGTTTTGACGGAGGGTGAGCAAACGAGAATATCAATCAAATCAATCAATCAAATCATGTTTGGATCCATGTTGGATCTTCATTGTCCAATAATCTTCAATCGTCTCTAACAAAATTTGGGTTGATCGATGAATGTTTCGCATTTTGGCTTTCTAGACCCTTCATCCCTTCATCCATTCGTTTCCTTGTCGCGTTCCAGGTTCCTTGTCAAGGGTTGATTACTTTATCTTCTCTGTACGATTCCAATTCTGAGGGTCCACAGTGCGTCTATAGTACCGCTGGTCCGCATTGATGAACATGAAGCCATCCGATCTGGCCCTCTGTGGAAAATCCATGGACACTTTTCTTGTCGGCCGGGGGTTTCTTTGCTTTTGCGGCAGTACTCATACCATACTTCCTCGTATCCTCCGACACCGACACCGAGGAAGATCGGGCAATTCTTACTGTCATTCCATTGCTACTGTAACCTAACGTGTACCACACAACATTGCATACGAGTAGCATCACATCGCATCGCATAGCAGAGCAGAGCAGAGCAGAGCATAGCCTAATGTTAGACAAAGCAACCCGATCTCCTTCCCGCCTTATGGTCCTATGGTGCTCCGTGGGGGCGGGCTATCAATGAGATCTCCCAAGTATCACGACCTGTCTGTCAGTTCAACCACCATCTGCTGTGCATATCCGCAGAACTACTTTTCTGTGTAGCCTCCATGTCAGCAAGTATCTTTCGCAGGCCGCCTTGGAATGCATCGAAAAAAAAGGCACAGAAGAAAAAAAGGAAGGTATCATGATTCATGAAGATTACGACCTCTCTCCCAGCTGCATCGTATTTGGGGGATTATTGTGATACGCATTCATATTGGTGATCATACTGGCGATCATCTCGGTGAGAAGTATGCCATGCCCTCCCTCGTATGCTAACTCATGAATCTGCACTTCGCATGCAACTGAACCAAGATTTGATATTCATTTCTTTTCCTCAACACTATCACCGCCGTGATGATACATGCAATTATTGAGGCCCATCCCATCCCATCCGGAGTTCAGCAGTTCCTGAAAATTCAGAAAGGTTGCTCACCGAACAATGACACAGCATGTTTGATGCAGGTCGACACCAAAACAATTGTAATCGCAAAACACAGCCTACCATTTTTACCATCTACCAACATCACAATATGCAGTGCAGTGCTACCGTCGTGATGAAGTAAATCCCTACATGACAAGGTTTACCACGTTTTTACTCTCCTATGAAAATGGCATCGACGTCACACACCCTCATTCGTACATTTCCCCTTTCTACAATGCGATTACTTTTGGTTCCTGCATCAAAATGGCTTTCATCCAGAGTTCCCCGGCGTGATTAACGGCCAAATGGACAAATCCATCTGACTTCCATGTCACATCTTACATCTTACATCTTACATTTTGCAACACACACACAACTGATAATATACTCCTACACATCACCAAGAGTCGGATGACATAAGATTCTCTATTTCCAGATAGGAGAGATATTCAGCCAACAGTCTAAAAATTGAATTCTGGTACACTTTACTATAAAAGGGAAATATGCAATTTACTCTCAGGATCTCCCCTGTCCGGCACCACAATCCGCGGCCAAAGCCCAAAGTAAGCAAGCCTTACAAGTTAGAACCAAACCCGGCTCCCGTCCTCTCCCATTCCGCGACCGTTGTATCCAATGTACTGGGTACTTGCTAAAGAAAGATACGGTGGGTGTTTGTACGGCACTCAAACTTTAGTGTTGCACATCTCTCCTGCCATGTTTCTCTTTTCTCTCTCCCTCTCTCTCACCCTCTGTTTCTTGTTTCTCCTACTCTCTCACCTGTTTTTCTTTTTCCTTCTTCGTTCCTTCTCCTCCCCCTTCCCCTACAAACCCCGGCCCGATCCAAAAAGCAAACTCAATCGTGGCAATTACGCACGCCTTGATGCTTCTTCTTTGTGCTTCTAAAACCTCTTGCGTATATCTTTATTGGGATCGATCCATCTCACGCTCACCGAATTCCGACTTCCGGTACGGCGGTGGATCCGAATTCCCTCATTCAATTCACAAACATGGGGCCATGTGAACGGGGATTGCGATGGGTCTTCGTGCTCTACTGACTCTGCGATATACTATTCTTAACTTCTTTTTTTCTTTCTTTCATTTTTACCCCCTTGATCTTCTTTTGTTTCCAAATGCTCCTTCTTCTTGCTTCTCTTTCCCTTCTCGAACGATTCGAATCAATCGAATCTCTCTTCAATCCTTGGTATGGATCTGTGCTTCCCCTGCTCACTCCACCTACGTACCTTTTCTCATCTATCCACACCATGAAGTGCATGATCGATCACGCTGCTCTGTCCATCATCTACACCTTTAGCAGGCTAGCTCGCCCACTGCCGACCCATAAAGATCACCAATCTCCCCCTTTTAGGCAATGTGGGTCTCGCACTCTAGCCAAATGCGAAAGCATGTCTACGATATTTCTCCCTGGTTTTCTGCATGCTTGTCGGCTGGGTTTCGATCGACAGGGTATAATAATACACCCCGAGATGTCCTCCAGGGATTCTTTTCTTTTCTTTTGCGCTTTTATCCTCGAGGTTGGGTATCCTTCCTTTACACTCTGTATGGGTTAGAGCTCGCCAGATTCACTATGTCATCGAACAAGTCATTCGTCAATAACGTCAATGGCAATAATGACAATGATGAGGCAGGAAGTTGATCACTTGTCGATTGTTTCCAATATGGTACAATTCGAGTATCTATCCTTGGCCGTGCAAATTCCCTCCATCATTCATGAATCGTGACTCTATACTGTCTTCAGCTGAAAGTCTAGATTCGGTGTATGGTCTGTTCTAGAAGCTTTTCTCGTTATATACTCCCTCATCACCCACTTACATCACTTTTATGCAACTTCATCAAGATTTTATGTTTCGAGTCATTAATCTGTTCTCATTGATCGGATCCCAGAAATTATGTCCTCCCACTTGTCTTTTCCCACTCCTTTTTCTTTTGTGCCCCAATCCAACCCAATCCAATCGTTACTCGTTGTCATTCATCATCATCAAAATCATGATCATCATGTCAAATGTACAAAAATAATACGTCGCTCCTGATCCATCGCGAGTCAACTCCCTGGTCTTCTCCGCAATCCTTTCAAGAATCCCTAACCTGACCAGTTCATCCTACTTCTTCCAATTCCATTCCGAATCGGGCCATCCGATCCCAACCCCCAGCCCACAGTATCTGCCAAAATCGATTTGCCGACGATCCGGGAAATAATCCCTAGCCTCCACCGGTAGAACCATTGCTCAGGGTTTTCAATGTTCCAGAAAATCGTCCAAAAATACACAGGCTAACCGGGCCGCATCCGTGTAAGATGATTCGTTGACTTTCAGAGACAACGACAATGGGTCATCTCGCAGAATCTTCGAGACCTTAACTCTACATGACCGAACTTGAGGTTCTGTCCGATTGAAGCAACATTAGTCTCAGGGTCGATCACCACTTTCGTACAATAATTTCCAATGATTGAACTCGGTCGGTGGCGAGCGGACACAGAAAGAAACGGTGAAGAGAGGAGAGGCCAGAAAGACGGAGAAACATACCATGATCCCGAACCACACTTTTCACGTCGTGTACAAAGCCGGCAATCCTTTCATCGATAACTTTGCCACGCCATGCACCATCACCGTCACGGATTGGATTGAAGCTCTCCTTGCCCCCTTTCCGTGTCTTGAACTTGGAATGGAGAATTTCTTTGCATCTCTCGAACAAGTTCGTCTGAGTTACCTTTACTCTTTCCTGGAATTCATGACGCTCGATGATTGCTTCTTTGCCACCGTGTTTGATTCTGGATTCGGCACTGCAGTTACGAATCAGCATTGTATCCTAAGACTACTGGATTAAGGGGAAGTACGCACTTGCAATATGAGAGACCTAACGTCTTGTCCATGACGAGAGTCAAGACGAGCAAGACGCTGAATCCAATGGCCCATTTGCGTTCATTTGTAGTCGCGCGATTGCTGGTCCACATCATTTGACCCCATTCCCGAAGGACTTCTTTGATTCTTTCCTGTTGCGATATGAAAAACGCCACTTTGATCTGGCGGGAAGCACATCTTGGAGAAGATTCTGGTGGGAAATCTTCTCTCAGGCGCCCCTCTACCAAATTTGTAGACTCGCCGTCGAGGATCAAGCTTCGTTCAAGTATGGCGCAAGCAATGTGTATTTCTAAGGCCTCACGGAGCAGTTCATACTGTGGTTGTCAGCTATCAGGACCATTACAGTAAACGTTGGGTGTATCAATTTTGACGGAAATTAGCTCCAGTAGTGCAAGATCAAGAGAGTACACCCAAGAGTGGACAAATTTGCAGCAAGAAAACCGCCGTCTGAAAGAGAAATGCCTTACCTCATCATTGGCTTCCACACCAGCCATATAAAACTGGCATACTGTCTTGAGCAAACGTTTCGCAATATCTGATTCCTCAGGTTCATACGCTATCCTTGCATATTCATCTAGATCATCCTGAACAATTCTCTTAATATATCGAGCATATTCTTCCTGTGTCTCCTCCATCAACGTGGGCGGAATACCAAGTGGTGGACTCTTCTTTTTCGTAAATGTCGGTCGACCCGATGCGTTGAGATACGTCTGATGCTGATATCGAAAAATGGAAGTCGAACCTCGTACTGACAGAGAGACTACGGTGACTTTCAGCGGGACACGGTAACCCCAGCTCAACCGCACTATCATCTCGTCTGTTCCCCATGCCTCTGCGTTTCTCGAGATGAATTTCTTGGTGTTCTCGGTTGTGTACAATCTTATGTGACTTTCTGTAAATTTGTCAGAATCAGATCACCACCAAAGCTACCGTAGAGAGCATACCAGGTACTAAGAACTTATCTAGCATTTCGACTGGATCATTGAAACATGGTAAGAGGCAAAATCTTCTCTTTCCAGAAAGTCTGGTACACTGTTCGCAAGGAAAGCCAGGTGAACAAGGTGAGCACTAGACAAAAAGCAATTAGCAAAATATCTCGTTGTGTGATGGTTGTACCCTCGTGCGCACCTTAATCTTGGAGAGATGACAAGCCCAGCAAGCGCCTGCTTGCCTTACATCTCTCGCCTCCCGCTTCTCTTTTTCTGTTAGCGGCCTTACACGGCCCCTCGTAACCTTATTCTTTTGCGGCTCAGGAAACGCGCTAAAAACATGCGAATGATGGTTCGGGTCGTCTGGGGAAAGTGGTGGCTGCGAACCGGGTGGGTGTGGAGAGTGGTGCGATACTGGTGAGCCATGGGAAGGAGTATACAAAGTGTTGGAATAAGAGGTTGATGTATCACTTTCGTCAAACCAATTAGGTCTTGGTGCCTCTGGCCCATATATATCGTGGCTTGGTTGGCCATGTCCAGTTACAATTAATCTGTCGTTATCCACAGGTGATGATGTCTCATAGGATATAGAAGATCGCTCGTGTTCGTAGGAATTTAACGGAGCTGGCTCGGGCTCATATGTGACGCAGTTGGTGTTAGGCCCCTCGTTGAAGACATTGCCATTTGCATCGTGCGAATTCCAGGGATCTTGTGAACGTATGTATCTGCCTCTCGGAAGTAGGTTTGGAGCTTCGAGTAGTGGGGCTACTGAAGGAGCTATAGGTTCTGTTGGGAACATGTTAAATCCCCAACCTAGGGAAGTAGATGCATTATCGAAGGAGAATGTGGAAGTAGCAGGTAATGAGGTATTCATATTTCCGGCGCGTTGGATTGCTGGATCGACCATCATGTTTTGGTTTACATAATCTGTTGTAGCCTCGTCAGCAAAGCAGTTGACCTCGGATTGAGACAAGACAAAAACGTTCGGACACGATATACCAGAAAGGGGACATGTGAGAGAGACAGGATCGGCAAGCAAAATCATTACATACAAGGAATCTCAAGATCAAGTAATGGACTCGCCCCTCCCGGGGATCCAAACGGGAAAACATATGTGTCGGATGTGGCCGAGACGGCAGAAGCAGAAGCCAGCTCCATACTTCCATGACTCCCATAGCTTCCCACGTTAGCCTCTGACATACAAATATCTTCAAAATCCGAAGGTCCATTTAGGTGCGTAGTAGAATTCACGATATCCCATGGTATGGAAAGTCCAGGCATGGCTCCGGTCTGGAGCGATAGTGAAGCACCGCCATTGGTTCCGATATATGTCGAGTATCCAGGGCTCACAGCATCATCGGGGCTAAGTGGGATGGTATTCATAGGCCCTGTAGAGAAATTGGCCAGCCATGATGTATCCGGAAGTGAGGTGTGAGGCGCCGTTAAATTCAGAGCTCCGTCTCCGGCAGTCGTAACACCAGCGACATGGCCAATGATTGATGACGACGAAGGAGAGGTATTGATCGCGGCCTGATACTCAAAATAGTCAAAATTGGGCGCGGGCGAGAACCTGTCTAACCTGTCTAGGCGGGTATCTAGACGAATATGGTAACTTGGATTATGTCGCAAGGACGAGCTCCTGGATCTCGACGAGAGCGACGACGATGGTGAATGTGATTGTGAGTGTGATGATCCAGGCGGTGAGGCACTGGGACTGTAATAACGGCGCTGAGTATGCGACGATTGCTGTTGCGGCCTCTTTCGAACCCTTTGTGGTGAGATCGGATTCGGCCACTCGGCCCGAGCCCTGTGAGAAGTGGGCTTTTCAATCATGACCTATGTGTAGTAGGTATTTTGTCGATATTCTTTTCCTCTTGTTTGTTTATTCAAATTCTGTGCGGTACGTGCGTGCTTATCCAGGACCTTTTTCGAAATGTAAATGAAATGTTAATATCAGAAGCATTGCGGTGAAGCTGTTCGAGCCAGAGTCATCCTTGGATTCGTGGACCGTGCCAGTATGTATGTAGGTGTGTATGTATATGTATGTATGGAAAGATGGATAGATGAATAGAGATTACAAGAATGAGGGGAGGGATGGAAGGAAGGATCCGATCGAAGATCTTTTGTCGAGGCTATCTAATTCCACAAACGATAACCTATTCTTTGATACTGGATGAAATATGAGAAAAGCGGTGCAAAATGCAGAAAAGGGAAGGAAAAAATCCTTTTTATCAGAAGCTTTGGCTTTTTTCGGGGTAGAAAAGGGCACTATAGATACGGGATGTAGTGGACTGGTGGTGGAATGGATGATGAATGAATGAATGATTGCTGATTGATGGATGGATGATTGACCTGGGGTGTATATGGTCTGTTCTGTCTGCACTGCACTATCTGCATTATGCGGAGATGACCAAGACCATAACCATGACCATGACCGGGACTCGTGGGGACACGGGAAACACTTGGTTGTACATATGTAATATAAACAACCACCTACCCACCCACCCACTCACACATACATACATACACAAAACGTTCTTCAAGAACCGGGTGGGATGGACAATGTTGGCTGCTGCAATCTTGATTTGTGTACAACGATGTTAGGTAGTTTTGAGTAAGTTGGGTAGATTAGGTAAGTTGCTCATAAAAGGTCGACAGTATTCTGGACTCTGGAGCGAGATATTGGTCCTCCCAAGAGATAACCGATATATGATGGGCTGAACTTGAATATCGTGCTGTGTTTGTTTGTCTATCTCGCATCTAGGTATTTCAAACAAGCAAATGAGATGGAAGCGATGCAGAGCCCCAAAAATTGAGGGGTGGGAAAAGAAGAAAAGATGTGTTGTAAAGTTGTAAACCTATAATATTTATGATTTATTATGATTTCCATCTCTTCATTGGTGAAAATAAATGGGAAAAGCTCTCTCGATTGCCAAATCTAGCTCACCGAGTAGATTTTATCACGCTTCTTGCTGCAATGTAACGCCGAGTATGCAGTTAAAATATGCACTTCTACTGAAGCGGTTGAATTTTTCGCTTCTCTCGTTGGTTCTTCCAAATTTCCCTATCGCCTGCAGCGCTTTCGTGGGCTTCTCTCGACATATAAATATATGAAAATGGGTATTTATACCAAAAATAAATTTATCATTTCGACTTTGTTGGTCTATCTTTCCAAAGGCCCTATCAGCGACCTTTCGATACTTCTTCTATGGAGTGCTCGTTGTATCTAGATACCCTCATACCTTCCTCACTCAGCCTAATGATTTGCCCGTAATCACGTGTTTGGGATTAGCATCATGTAGGTGCAAGGATTCGTATCAGAATCGTCAGGATAAAAGTACCGATTTTGATTACGCCCCAAGTGAAGTGTCTCGAGAGTTTATATCGAGATGCTCTTGTATTGTAGGATAAAATGAAAGGATAAATGTAAATAGCGCCATTTGATCATATCACGTCACAACCAAAATCAGATGTCTCCCAATGTCATCATCAGCTATTTCTCGTTTCCGCCCTTCATCACCCTTCACGCTTTCCCCAGATCCGTCCCAATCATCCTTCACAAATCAGAAACTGCCCCAAGTGGAGATAAATGCCCCAGATTATCGACCGGGATACTAGGATTCTTGTTGAGCCTCATGCATCTCATTCTTAAGCTTATTGTATGCTTGAAATATCGAGATTGCCTAATAGTTTTGTGACAAGCGAGAAGGCTCGACTCTTGGTCCTTGGCCATGGCCCGAACCATTCAATCCCGAGAGGCGTCTTTGAGTGGGCTCATCTCGGTAAGATTCTTCTTCATCATCGCCTTCCTCGATTAGCCGTCTTGTCTCTGCCCTATTATCTTCTTCTGGCGCTTCGGCATCACCACTCGTTATGCTGTGAATGGGTCGAGACCAGTACGAGCGTCTCCAGAAGGAGGTGGTAAGCAAATTTATGATAGAAATCACCTGTATTTTGATGTCAGAAAATGAATGATACCTTTTGGTTGCCGTAATCTGAAATGCCTTTCGTTGCCAGCGAAATAGTCACATCTAACCTGTGCATAAATAACTTTTTATGCATGCTAATAGTTTTGAGAACACTGGTGAACCATGTAGAACTTCCTCGCCCATCGTGACATAAAAGCACGACTAAGAGATGAGACTGTCGTACATGGCATACATCCAAGGGGTGGATATTTTGATACCATAGAAAGGGAACGTACCTTAATGGTGAAAATAACGACGGCTACAAGTAGAAGTAGGCCAGCATTTATCTGCTCCGCTTGTCTCCAGGGGCCAAAACAGCTTCTGTGGGAGTAGTTAGATTGATATCTTGAATATGTCATTGTATGATAGTGGAGCGATGAGCTTACTGCGAGCGATCTGTCAAAGCCTGACAACTCCCAGGACCCTTTTGGTTCTTGATCGGCGAGGCCATATCAGCCATCGAATGAAGACCGCAACAATTCAACGCATCTTGAATTGCGCTTATCTTTCTATCATCTTTTGCACTGAACAGACTATGCCATGCATCTTCCAGCCCACAGTGTAATGATTTTGGTGGTATCATATATGTCAGGGCGAGGGTAGCGACAATAGTTTCGTAGACCAACTGGAAACCAATAACAGCAATTAGTGGCAGCGTGAGTTGATTTTGTTCCTTCTTATTCGCTCGCTGGATCAATCCAACGGCACCTTGTGTAGATATTCCAGTGACGAGCGGCAGGACGACCGTAAATAGTGCGAGAGCTTGGGAGATAGGAAGGGAGAGGGTGCGAATTTGTGAGTATGCATAGCTAGCGAGTATCAGTCTAAGACCATCAACGATTGCACTTGGGAGCTTTCTACCCAGCTACAGCAGTCAGAATAACCAGAAGCTAGATTGAATCAGTCCTGTTTTGAACGTTCAAATTAGTCGTGATGGTGCTCACAAGTGGCCTTGCCCATGGTATCAACTTCTTAGCCACGTCCATGGCGGATATTATTGACTATCGAGGAGAAGCAAACACAGAAATTCACCCGGGAAAATCACAAAAGCTGATGGAGAGTGCGCTCGCACAATGAAATGTGATGGCACAGCTGGCAAGGCTAGAAAAGCAACAAGATAAGATTGATGTTCGAATCAAAGATTTGAGAGATGAGGGAATGCTAGACAGTTCTATGTTTGAAAACGAGGCTTGATTGATAGATGAATAAATAGATATATTCTACAAGAAAAGAAAATCCAAATGGGAATGGAAATCAATATCGAAATCGAGAGCCAAAGAGAACAAAACAAACATGTGTGGCTGGAAGATTACTTGTTGATTGGTGATAAGGAGGGGTTACCAGAGTTGTATGCATTCGGTTGGTATAAATGAATAAATTATATCGTATCATACCAACGTATGATTGATTGATTGTCCTCTCTCCCCCCTTTCCCTCTCTCTCCCCTCCTCCTCTCTCCTTCCTGCCTCCTTCATCTCTCCTCTCATTGTAAAAGAGGGGAAATCCAAGAATCCAAAAAGTTCCAAAGCTCCAAAGCCAATAATTTGCCCCCCCCCCACTACCACCACCACAACTACCACAACCACTAGAATCCTAACCAAAAAAAAGAAGACGCCTTTCTCAATTCTAATGGGTCCCTTCCAATAATCAACCATTACTTTGTGCTATTACCATTCCGATTGTAAACTTCCGCGCGTATACCCAAATACTTCAGATAAATGCATGTGCGAAAAGTGCATAACCTTACCTACCAGCCCACCTACATAACATAACATAACAACCTAGGTAATAATAAAGAGTCAACAAGTCAAATTCACCCACCAAAAATATATCACGTCACATCAAGGAAAGATCAAAACAATCATCATATTCTCCATCTGTTTCTTTGCATAATCAAATAATCAAACCCTTTACATTACCCTATCGCATCTCGATACCCTCCAACAATGGCGCAACCAATACAATCACCCGTCGCAGGCCAAACCTCTCCGAAAAGTCCTACATCTCCAGGAAGATCTAGCATACCATCTGCCATGCAGGCGATGCCCGATTCCCGCCAACAAAGCTTCGAAGAAATCTACGGACCTCCTGAAAACTTTCTTGAAATCGAAGTATGCTATCCCATTCCCATTCCATGCTACACAACACGATACCAGCATCCCAACCCCCACCCCTCTCTCCTCCTCCAGCCTCCCACCTCGCAAACAAAAAAACAACCAACTCACCCATCCTCTCTAGGTCCGCGACCCCCAAACCCACGGCATCGGCCGCAGCATGTACACCGACTACGAAATCAACTGCAGCACCAACATTCCCGCCTTCAAGCTGCGCAATTCAACCGTCCGCCGCCGCTACAGCGATTTCGAATACTTCCGCGACCTCCTGGAGCGCGAAAGTGCGCGCGTGACCATCCCCCCTCTGCCCGGAAAGGTCTTCACCAACAGATTTAGCGACGATGTGATTGAGCATCGCAGAGAGGGCTTGGAGCGATTCTTGCAGATTGTCGTCGGACATCCGCTCTTGCAGACGGGTAGTAAGGTTTTGGCTGGATTTGTACAGGGTGAGTGGCTCTCGTTCTCTTGACACAATTTGCTATTCTATCTCCGGAGCTTCGGATTCGGAAATGGGAGCACTTGATAATGAAGGAGCTATGTTAATCTTTGAGCGGCAGATCCAAACTGGGATCGCAATGCTTGGTGAAGTCGTTGGGAGAATTTGGAAGTGAAGACTCAGAATGTTCCACGAAAACTCAAGAAACGACGTCCGTATACCATGGGAAAGACGATATCAATGGTACAGACAATGTCCTAAGCTCCAATGCAGGAAATCCGAAATATGATAAGATAGCTTACAAATATGGGAGCATGGTAATTTTCATACTCAAAATGGGGTGGGGGGGGAGGGTGTTAGCCGTAGTTTTATTTCGATTTTCTCACATATACCAAGGGCGTTTAGCTGGTGGGTGGCTGCACTTTGACCACTCTGGGGAAATGGCTGCTTGCACAATTTAACTGCAAGTTCTGTTATATCAGCTATATCAGAATCAAGCACATTAGAAAATATCTGATATCATAGCCCTGTGTGTATTGCCTCTGCAAACTTGCTCTCGTCTATTTGAGTCTTTGGAGCGGAATGTCCACCCTGCTATGGCCAATGTATATATAGATACAATATGCCAATGATCTATCAACCCACACCCGTTTCCACAAAGCGCCATAGATTTCATAATGTACATTGCATGTAACCGATCCTGCCTGAAGTGGGATACCATAAGTCCTGATAGTCGTCATGTGCCGCTTTTTTGATACAAACGCCATCGTAAAATCCTATTCATGTGTTGTACATCTACCCAGTTCATCCATACCTTTCTCAAGGTGAAGCCGGCTTTTCCAGTAGTTTCAATATTCCCTCATACATGCCAAACATGATAGCAGCACTCGGCACTGTTCGTAATAGATGCGGCGTTAAGCCTCCGTATAAAGCAGCCATTCCCTCCTCTTTCCAAACGAGGTTAAAGCATTGAACGAGTCCTGTATATTTGGGGCGTCCATGATCTAAAGGTGCTTGTCTTAGGCGTGTTCGTAGAACCTACATATATTGTTAGCATATCATTTAGCAAGAAGTATAGACTCGAGCTCACCTCATGAGGATAAGTCGCAAGTGCTGCCACAAGTTTTGCAAACCCTGCTGCTCCGAGGCTTCCAGTCCATTGTATTGAGTGATCCAAGAAATTCCTGGGTTTCCCACTCAAGGTTATTCTCTCCTCCCTCTTCTCCAAACTTTTCTTCATCTGTTCATACAAAACCCACTGCAACGTACTTTCCGTAACACCCAAATAACTCGCACTCATTCCCTTATATAATCCCCGTATTCCCTCTCCCTTTACAACCTGCTTGATACAATCCCAACTGTTCTTGTACTGTCTCTTCCCGACATCCCCTGCTCTCTCGGCCACATTCTTATCCAGTTGCAATCGGGTTTTGATTAACCAGATAGGATTTGTAACCGTACTCGTCGTAATTCCAGCAGCGGCAGCCGCAAGACAAACTACCCAAGCCGATTCCACCCCACCATTATACCCCGCCAATATTCGCTTCCCGTTGCCCACGACGAAAAAGTTTATCGACCTCGCGGGAACCACGCCTACAAGATTTGGCCCCAATCCTTTGAAGAGCGCACGATATCCTTCGAGTCTATGTACTGACCCGAGGATCTGAAAAGTTTCACGGAAATGTAAAAGTCCGCTACGTAGTGGCGAGAGATGTGCATGTGGAGAAATCCCCTTGGCCAGACGACTCTGCGCCAGTTGTGCTTGGTAGAAATCGGATTGCAAGCGTGTTTTCAGGACATCAAGAGGTGCTGTGAGAGCTGCGGCTGTCATTCCCCCCACACTATAGTCAAAAATATGTCAGTGTTGGATCTTGAAGCATCGATTGTTAAAATGATGGAGGGGCAAATCTTACCCTCCAGCAACGAAATGCGCCCATGACTTAGCAACTGGGACAGGTTTTGTTGCTACTTTTGATACATATCCTGATTGCGAAGGTCCTAGATCTCCATTTTCTCTAGATTGTGTCAAATGCAGCTCGTGCAGTGCGCGTTTGCTGCGATCCTCTGTGGTGTTCATGAATGTGTCTGTGGAGAGAACTTTCCCAGTTCTCTCTTCTCTCTGACCTGTGGCGGGCTTTATAATTTTTGGGGGTTGGTTATATTATGTAAATGGTATCATATTAAACAGAAAATACGATGGTAGCAGACTAAAAGAAATTGACCAAAGTTTGCTTAATTAAAATAAATGATTTGAAGTCCCTATGGCTGAGTTGATAATTCTATGATGTCTTTGGAAATATTTCTCTAAAGGCGGTGGATAGAAATCGGCATTAAAATCTCGATTAGATAGGCGGGCTGGCTTCGGCTCGGCTGCATGCAATCTAATTGCTAATTGTGCATTCTCACTCGATTAGACGTTTTTTCATTCACGGTTCAAAGATAGGAGAATCAAAATTGAAGCAAAAAATCCCGAAAGTTGATGTTGAGGAACTATTAGAAGATATTCATACAAAAAGAAGCCATACGCCTGTCGTTGAAGATTTAGCCATGCCAGCAGCCCAAATAAGATAAAAGTCCATGTGCCCATTCCGATCCTAGCAACCCCCCTTCCCCCCGCGCGCAGCAACACCCCCTAACAATGCAGCCAAAATTTGTGTTTATCGTGGTTACAGTTCCCTCATTTAATCTTCTTCTTCTTCTTCTCCTTCAAAGTTAGTGACAACTCGAATCGTACTCTCATTGGCATCATCAAACACGCTGGATCGTCTAGTAGAACGCCTACTTCGTGATATACTTTTCGTCATACTTTCTCTCCTCGTTTCTTTGCCCTTGGGACTTTTCTCTGGCGAAACGATAGTTAAATTTGTGGTGCTTGAAGAGAGCTTCATCTGCTTCTTTCCATAAGTTTTGAGTGAGCCGGCTGTGGCTTGACTAACATTGATTGTTTTCTTGCTAGAGCCAACTACATGACGAGCGTTCGAAAGTTGTGAAGAGACTGTTTTCTTGACTGTTTTTGCAACATTTGTGGTAGCTGCAGATATGGATGATTTGACTCCTGTGGCCGTCTTCGTCTTTCGCTTCTTTTGAACCTGGGCGTCTTCGTCGTCTTCGTCATCACCAATCATCTGTTGAAGCTTTCGCTTGCCGGCCTTAAGACCAGCCTTGACAACATCTTTAATTGTAGTGGGCTTGATGACTTTTTGGTCCTTTGGTCGAGGTCCCAATACGCCACGACAATTGTCACTGCCACAGCGACAAGCTTGAACGTTTTTGGCCGAAAATGGGTCGAAATTGTAGTCATAGGTGAGCTCATCACCAGTCATAATGGGATTATCGCCAGCGAACAGAGCCATTCGCGGCTTGCCCTCCACAATCCACTTCACCATTCTGCAGTTTGGTCTGCAGGAATGGTTAACAAATCTAGCAATGCTACCCCTGGTCGCATCAATGATCATGTTCTGATCAAATGACATTAGATAATAACACTATTGAACGATAGTTAGCCAACCGATTTTGTACTGAAAAGTTGAAGGAAGCAATTACATCATTATCTTTATAGTCCTCATTCATACGTCTGTCACATTCGTCTTCAGTGATGATCTCCCCTGTATACTCAACGATAATTTGGTTTGCGTTGAAGCAGCGATTACTTCGAACTCCGTAGCCACGATCAGCTGTTTTGATAACTTCAACGCCAATCTCATACTTATTGCCACCTTTTCGGAATGAGTTGCCTTTGCGACGATTGAAAAGCTCAGCGAATGCACGATTGGTGCAACTGTCTCGTCCTGCGCCACAATTGGTATCATCGCACTCGTAAAGCATGATTCTATTCTGACAATCTTCATCACAACCAGCATCGGGTTTACAGATACACTTGGAGAAAAAACTATCAAACAAGCTCGACTTCTTCCACATTGAACCGGCTTCTCCAATGAATCGATCTATTAGAAAAATTAGCAAATACATAATCGCGATTGAATTCATAAAGCTTACTATGAGAAGTCTTGTACCACTCGGTAGGTTTAGGTTGTCCTGGTGGGAGTGGAGCACATATGTCAAAAGGCAGTTTAAAATCTCTTCCAACGTGTAGTAATCTTTGGCCATTCCACAAGGGTAATGGCAGGGCTTTGTTTGGCTTTCCAGTCCACTTAAAAGCCGACTTTGTATTTCCAGAAGATTTGAACCAGTCAAGATTGGCCGGATCCTGTCCCGCGTAGAGTCCCTTCGTCAACCAAGCTTTCTCTTTCCTACCTTGCGCTACTTTCTTTGCTGGGGTCTTGGTAGGCTCCGGCTCGGAGACTTGAGATTGGGCCTCCTCTGCCTTCTTCTTCTTCCTTGCCGACTCCTTTTTCACAAGCTTTCCGTTACTCCAGACTTCCAATACGACAGGCTCTGTTTCGATTTTTGCAAATTCCTTCGTGTCTGCGAGGTTTCTGAGCTCCCGCTTTGCCTTCTGAAGACCTCCTTCCATTTCCTTTCGATCTCTCTTTCCTAGTAAGCTAATCTTCTTCGTGGGCCCATCCGCCTTCTCGCCAGGTGTTGATCGTAGAGACTTTCTTCGAGAAAGATCCTCCTTCTTAGCAGCAGTACTTTTAGGGCTTTTTTGATTGATTTTGCTGGCTGACTTGGGCAATTTCTTGACTGACCAAGACAAGTCCAGAGCATCAATTCCCTCACTAACCAACTTTTGTGCATTCTTTCCTACAGTGCTTGCAGACGCATTTACCGGACCCAATACATCAGCCAATTCGCCTCCTGATATAGTTTGTCGCCGTGCTTCATTGTCTGGAGCGCTCTTCTCCTTTAAAAATTTCTTGGGGGTGTGTACGGCTGTGCCGGCAAGAATCTTAGCATTGTAGGTTCCGACCTTTGCGCGTGCTCGCTGACTTCGTCTATCTGTATGTTCGGGTGCAATTGATGCCTCGTCGGCAATGGGCTCGGGCTTGCCGGTGGCAGAAGTGACACTAACATTGTCTCCAATGCTTGTTGGGGGTGTAGATGTAGAGGAATTTAAGTTCGAGGTGTCGTCGACAGTGATTGAAGTCTCGATTGATTCCGATGAAGGGGCACGCGTTATTTCGTGCTTACTAGAAGAGCGAGACGATGCGCCCATTCTATCTAGTAAATTGGAAAACATATTGATCAAATTGTGTCGCGTTATTGTTGTAGCATTAATGTATGTTATGGAGAAGACGCGAAAGTTGACGAGTAGGATCCACCAGGCTGTGGCTTGCTCTCTCTACTCAACAGCGAAAACTGATGAGTAAGAAATACAAGGTTCTTGGTGATAAAATTATTGACTAAATATTGGAGACATCAAAGAATTATGAGGGTACAATCGCGACGTTGTTGAATATCACGAAGTGAGAGTACGATTTGTGGTGTTGTGGTGGTGGTCAAAAGGTTGTATTGAAGAAGTGGAAGAAGGAGAGAGAGAAGAGAGGGGACAAGAGGTATTTTGTGGCTGGGCCTAAATGAAGACCACTCGGAAGTGCCAATTATATATGTACAAGGGGCAACATTCCAAAAACAATATAACATAAACTAATCACCTAATGCAAGGGAAGAAGATACTATTATACTAGAGTACTTACTTTATCATCATTACCTAACTTATATTCTAACTGTCTAGAAGTCTTCCTTTCCTTTCAACTACTTCCAATGCTTCGGTCAAGACCTTTTTAGCTGAATGCTTTCTTTACTGTGAATGATATGGTAGACAAGTCCGTGTGATATCACCTTGACATACACTTCAACACGTATTAAACCATTTTCCCGTGTAGCGTCGTATTGTTAATGTCTTCTGTTTCATTGGTTTCCATTGAAGTCAGAGTCAGGGACAACCACTCTGATGCTAAATCACTAGCCTTTCACAACATCTTAATGAATCTTCACCTACATCAATTAGATCTAGAAATATGGGGATCTATTCTTCACATTCCGTTGGCCATCGTAGTTTTATTGAGTAAAGGTCGGAGGACTACTAAGTGTCTAGGTTGAGTATCTGGTCGGATTAGCGAGGGCTTCCCGATTGTGGTTTGTGAAGGTAGTCAACACTTAACAATTTCAGGAACACCGACTAATTTTGAGAATTTTAAAGTTGACCATTCCATTGATACTTCTTGAGGCTTTGTATATATGTAATATGATCTTTCTTTTATCACATCGGTCCAAAAGAAAATTTGTATCACAAAATTACTGTGCAAAGTACTACCCATATAACCCCAGATACATTGCATTACCACTACCTGCTCAACTTGGCCACCTGTATGTTTCCATGGGCTGTATGGATGATTGTCTTCATCCAGAAATGCCATTGCATGGGTATAGCGAGTTTATGACGTTGTAAATCATTCAGGAGATCTTGGTAGCACTTCCAACCCTCTGGAAAGTGGCCCGACCTCGGGATCGCAAACTCATTCTTGCACCTCTTACTATATCTTAAATCGTCTCAGGATGCTTTGTCAAATCTTCCATGAGATTAAGCCATAGAAATTTCAAGTACTTGCTTGGGGTTTTGAATCTGTGTTCTTGAGATTGCTTGACATGTTGTTTTGCCAGATGTCAATATGAACATTTCAAGGCTTTCGATAATCCAGCTGCAAGTCGACAGCAAGGGTGTTCGGGAGTCCCGGGGCCATTTATCCATCTTCAATACTCGATTCAGATCTTTGAAAGAGTGTATTTGCATTTAGATGCTCTTTTTACCTTTCAAATCTGAACTGCAGTCTGAGTCATTGAAAGATTTGAAGTGTCTGAATCGGAATGCAAACGTCTACTCTAGGGCTAAACTTCCTGCCTGGCGTGAAGGACAATGGAAACCAATATGGCATGACTGTACGAGCAGGATTTAATGTAGAATAAGAAGTTTATGTCTGCTGATTTGACGGTCCTATCGGAGCGCGTATCGACGTCCTCCAGAGTGCCACTCGGTGAAGCAATGAGAAGGAAACGTCTTTGGGCCGTAGTAGGCTGGGTCAGTAGGGCATCTTAATTGTATCGATATGTGCTCTCTGAGTAAAGCTACTCTTGTTCTTCCTTCTGGACTGATACATCTTGACGGGTTGGTCTTGATTTATCGAATGTCCTTCTCGTTTGTGAGGGAAAGAGCAGGACTAAGATGAAGCTCTACCTTCTCTACAGATGCTGAGCAGTGTTTCCGTAGTCGGAGCTGGAGCCTGACTATGAGAGAATTTAACTACGTTCAAGTAGAATATTCAACATGGCTTGACCTGTTAAATCGGTCTCTAAAACGGACTTGCCAATTCGCATTTTGGGATACTCTACCATCGAGAAAGGAGAATATCCTTCAACCTCCACCACCAATGCCCTTATTGTGAAGCTCTAATCTCTGAGAGAAAGTGTCTCGATTATGATGCTTCGTGCACTCAATCATAGCCTCTCCACATCCGTTTTCAATTTTCCACGCCAGAATACTAAATTGTCTGAGGCTCCTGCTGTCAGTGTACGTCGACCAGATCACTTGCGAGAATTTTCATCTATCTCGAACATTCACGCCTGTCTTCTCGCAGCTTGTTAGTATAATTGTTAGGACTATTTCCATACTTTTAGGTTCCTCTGCGCGCAAAAGCGGAGGCAGTTTTCGATTATCCCAACCCATATATTGTACTGAAAGCCTCATTTCACAGCCCTCCGAAAATTAGCAGAAGCGTATATATTTGGCCATATATCAACATGGTGAGGGTTGAAGAGATTCTCCTAATGCAAGAGAAAAGGAGTAGCATCATAAACTAAGCTCATAAGGGACATGTAAGGAAATTCGACACGTAGCTGCCATGTAGTCACTCGGTAGGTAACTATAGATCCAGTGGACGGAGTTCATATACGGTATAGATATCACTGGACTTTATTATATGATATAACCTCCACGACTAAGAATATTTTGGGTAACAGTCATGTAGTCAACCTACTAGTGTTGAGATGTGTTGTAATAATTGTACATTGCAGTATGATAGTATATTCTGATCAGCTCACATACGACATTCGGTAGTGAAGACACAGACGAAGACGTGAAATCCTGATGCTAAACTATCTTCCTAATTGCGATTCACATATATCCTTTGCTCTAAAGAAGAATTCTTATCAATGAAAATAGCCGACGACGCAATTGGTATCAGAGTTGTCCACTTCAAGATCTTCTAATTCGGAAGCTTGACTTTCATAATTCGATTCACTCCAAACCCGCCTCAATCCTACCACCACCTTTTCCCATCAAGTCTTTCTCTTTTCAATAGCTTTCTGATCATCCCATGGATACATACACTGTAACTACCACCCTCTGCTCTCAGGGGGTTTTAACTTCATACATTCTCATCATTTCACTCAATCTCCGCATAGCATCTGCTCGGACCAGAACGACTTTGATTCTCACAACTGAACACCATTTCATCAGATCGTCGGATCACCAACCTAAACCACGTTGTCGTTCTCTACCGGAAAGATGCTACATAAAATGAATGGGGAGCTTAATCCTTCCAAATCTTAACAGTGGACTCCCTCCACATCTCCCAGCCTTCCAGTACATCATGCAAAATCCATTTCATTCATCAAAGCATCACACAAGTCATACTCTATTATTCTTGACTCAATACTTGCTTCGATTATATCCCTCATAAATCAGCACCACCAAAATTAGTGCGTTTCTACTGTATCTACGATATTGAAGCTATTCCCAGATCTCCACCTCATTCCGTTAAAGGTGCCATTAACCACAACACCCAGTATCACAAACGAAGCTCAACGCAACCACGAACCATTATTGCTAAGCCGGTCTACTACCCATCTCACCCCCCAGCACCCCTCTAATCTTTCCTCAGCATCTCCCCAGCATCTCAAGCATACCCCCACACAAATATATATCGAGCCCCTGCTCCACACATAAGCTTCCAACCCACCAGTAAAACCACTCACCAACTCACCAACCCATCCCCAAGCCCCCTCCTAATTCCCAAACTCTCCAACTCTCGATCCGATCCACCATCAGCGCCTCAAATCCACCCACTACACAAATACAACTCCGTCTCTAAAATTCCCTCTCCCAACCCTCGCCAATCATCCGCTCTGATCAGACAACTATCAGGTCCACCTCGCACCTGACATACACCACACACATATGTGCTCATCTACTACCGCACCTGCCGCATCCACGATACCCATATCAGCAGCACAGCACATTGACATCTTGGGAGTCCGCAAACACATACATACACACACGCCAGATTTCAATTTCTTCAATTTCTCCAAATATTCCACACTCACTCACTCACTCACTCACTCACCCAGACCAAGAGCCAACATATATCCCGTCTCCATTCCAATCCAAGCTAAGCTAAGCTAAGCTGAGCTAATCCAATCCAATCCAATCCATCTCCTTTCACAATCCCACAATCCCACAGAACCCCAATCCACCCCTCCAAACCCACACAAATAAGCAAAGCCAATCTATCAAAGTATGTCCCTCTCTCTCTCTCTCTACATATCTCACATCACACAACATCACACAGCATCAAATAATACCACATCTCCATGCAAACAAACAGATAGCAGCTACACACACGTATTTGCACGAGCGCGCCACCTCTCAGATGCATCATCTCCTCAGTCTGACTCTCACCTATATCATTCCCCAAAGCAAAGGTTGAACGCACAATCAATTAGCATCATGTCACACACGTGAGGAGGTATAACTCGCACGATATCACAAGAAAATCAAGAGACATTTGCTCAAGAGGCATTTCATGTACTTTGCTTTACTTGACCTGTGGCCGTGGAAATACCACCGTTAAAATGGCTCTCACCAAACTAATGTGGCTGTAAAGTGTGAAGCCCTAATGACAAAAGATAAAGATGAAATGCAGCTGCTGACCATTCAGTAGTTGGATAAATATTAATTCATAATTTACATAAAACATACCCCATCCTGAAGCCAGAACACCATGCTCCTATGTTTTGAAATCCTTCCGTTGAGACATATGCATACAATTTGAGAAAAGGATCTATCTCCACGAGTCAATCGACTTCATCCTTGCGTGGAGTTCCTCCTCATGCTCAGTTCAAACCATTAACCTATTTTTTATCCCCAAATTTCTGGTGAATCGCCCGAATTTGCTCCTCCACATTTACATTCTGCATCATTTCATATCGTGCTCTGTCTGCCTTATCCACCGGAGTACCATCATAACCATTCGCCGCCTTCTTTCTTCGAGCGGCTTCTTCTTCTGTTATGTGTTGCCCTGTAGCCCCATCAAAAATATCACTTCTTTGACTCGCTAAGCGTTTGAGATTGTTAGCCACATCTTGCGTGGAAAGATTAGTTGTTGCATAGCGGCTCTCTGCCTTCGCTTTCTGTTCCTTCCACCTAGGATCAAGCAATTCAACTATAAAAGTGTTAGTTGGTTGAGTTCATCAAAATATTTAGAGTGTTATCTTACTTCTCATGTGAGCATCGAGCTCATCATAAGGAATTTGTTGATTGCAATTGGGGCAAAGGGCCATTTGTTGCTTGTTAGCAGCTCTTGCGGCAGCTCTAGGAACGTAGTTCTCCTTGATTCTCATAGGGGCAGCGCCACCCTTAGCTTCAGCCTGTGCTTGTTGAGCACGAGCTCTAGCCTCGGTTCGCTCTCGTATCCTCTGTTCTTCTTCGTCCTCATCTTCGTTATTCTTCTGGCGTGGGTCTTGGTATTGTGGCTGATATGATGGTTGCGGCACTGGTGGTGGAGCCATGTTATATTGTGGTTGGGCATATGATCCATCAAATATTCCATCGTCTCCAGGCATAGCTTCTTCAATGCGCATATGTGTCGATTTGATTGACATTTGCGCCTTTTGGTCCAGAGAGGCAAATTGAAGTTCGTTCAGTGACGTTGGTGGAGGCAAGTTCGTCTGATCATCAGCCTCTGTGAAGATAACAGTCTCTACCACAACAAAGTCGTGCCAATCGATTTGTGCATATGTAAGCTTCTCCTTCTCAACCGCCTCCTCCTTCTTCTGCTTTTGTTCGTCTTGGAATTTGAACCACTCTGCCCTTTGCTTGGCTCTACCCAAGACGTGAAATTTATCGTCTACGTTGGCCTGCAACTCTTTGATTCTCTCCTGCTGCATCTTCCCGCCTTCTCCATCCATACCACTAGCTCGCAACAACATAGTATATTGATCAATCAATCGCTGGAAGAAGTTGTGTAAACTGTGATTGGGTCTCAAGAAGTCGAACTGATAATTCCCCGTTTCCCTCTGAGATAGTGTCGTCATAAACTGCCTACCATTCTTCGCAACGAACAATGCGGTTAACCGGACTACCTCGAGATCCTGTGCACTGATATTGGGCATGCGCGCCGAGAAATGAAACTCTGGTGGTTCAGGCGGTCCTTTAGGTTTCTCTGCTTCCGCCGGCGCCTCTCCAGCCCTTCCTGCCGCAACTGCGGTTCCCCTGCCTTCTTTAATCTCGCTGAGTCGCCATAAGTAGTATGCATTGTATGCATCATTGGTGCTAAGGAAGGAGAATTTGGGGTTGGTTCTTTCTTTTTCTCTGATACGATCTAAGATTATTAGCTTGATGCTGGTACAATGTATTGAGCTCAAGAATGCCTCACCTTCGAAATTGATTCCATTTCGCGCAACATAGCCTGCTGTCTTCTCGAGAATAGCTATTATGATGTTAGATGATACTCTCTCGTTGATTTGATCGCGTACCTTTGATTTCTTTTGGTGGTAATACAACGCCTTGGGGTGGTTTTATTTCATCAAGAGCTGCAACAGCATCTGCAACTGAAGGGGCCATGTTGAGTACTGTGACTAGTTGTAGTTGAATTGGCCTTTCTTTCTGTTGTTGTTGTTGTTATTTCAATTGGTGGTTGACTTCTGCATCTACAAGAAATGCGACCAGCAGCAGCCTTACACCAGAAATCTAGCCCTGCAACAGCCCTGAGCAAAAGCTCGAGGCGGAACTTCGTTTGACCGATATCCGAGGTTTATCCTGGTGCCACATATTCTTACCCCACGATTGGCTGACCCCCTCAGATGAGATGGAAGACTTGGGATTATGAACAGTACTTCCTGATTCCTCCAAAGTGGATTAGAATGCGTGCATATTCTGGAGGATCTCGAAAATGTAGATTATCGAATTTTAATCTGTGAACTGACAACTAAATGAGAAGGCATTTCTTCGACCTCTATACCCAGTGCTTTTCCCTTCACCATTCATCTACAGTCTACTATCTCTGAGGTGGGTTTGTTGCAAATAGCCAGCGGACCTATTCCATGCTACTTACTCACTTCAATCCACAGTTGATCACAGTTGATCACCGATAATCACAATCAAAACAGAATTAGCCCAATATATATACACAAGAAGCATATCATATGTCTTCTATTATTTCATAGCATTAATCTTATCTTATTCCATAGCACCCATAGCAATTGTGGCATCATACACGCCAACAACCCAGCTATTGCTACTGTCCCCCTCGTAATCCATTATTATGTACAACAAGCAAGGTATAGTATGTACCGCCGATTAACCCATGCAAAATAACGCCGTTGCATTTCAACCGGCAATGAGCCATTAGAACCATGTAGAATTCCATCCCTCCTTTTGTCAAACTCCCCCAAAAGATTCAAACCCAACAATTATTAATCATAACATGATACTGAATGCCAGCTCGAATCGGGCTATTAAAAAGCTCCAGGTATGGAGATTGAAAGCTTTTCAGTGTCGTCACTGCTTTCGATAGACTCCTCGTTTTGTGCTGAGGACTCGGATTGTGGCGTTTCCTCAGTTACATTGTGAACTTCTTCCGTGTCCCCTTTTTGTTCTGGTTCAATATGTTCCACTTCATTTGCATCGTGAAAATCTTCTGCATTGCTGATCTGTTCCGTTTCTTGATCTTCGTCTTCCACTTCAGTTTCGGGAATTACAACACTAGAATTCTCTGCAAGTTCCAATTCCGATTGTTGTTTAGGTACCGTCGCCAGTGCTGTTTCTTTCTCTGCTTCCCGATTCTCCAACTCAGAATCGATGATTGGAACATCAGTCCTCTCTACTTCCTCCCGAAGGGGACTAGGGAGGATTTCTCCATCACCTGACCTTCTCCCAAAACCGGTTACGTTGACGGGTGAGAGTTCACTAGTTGGCGTAATGTCCCTAGGTATGATTTCGATAGACCTATCCGATTCTCCACTGATCTTGCGTCTTCTTTCATCATCACTTAAGCGAGGACTCCTAGATGACTCTTGATTCCAAGACTGTACGCATGGAATGACCCCGCCGCCAACACGACACCAGAACATCCGTTCTCTTAACCTAACACTCTCTTCCCAGGCAGCTTTATCAGACTCCTCATCTTCACCTCTCCAGTGACCTTCTTTAAGGACACGTAAAAAGCTCATAAATCCGCAAGTCGAACGGACGCGTCCTAGACAATATAGGCATAGGGGGTACCTTTGCGCATTATCGCTCTCGCTCGTTCGGAATCTATGGCTTCTGATATGTTCTGGACCCTTTCGGGCTTCGCCACAAAGAGAGCAGGGGAATGCATATGGCTTTATAGAGGAAGGCATTGGTTCAACAACAAGCGACCCTTCACATACTGCATTTAGGACTGTCCTTCGAGCGAGCCAAGAAAGTCCTGGGGCATTATCGAGACGCAGCGTGGGCTCGATGTCCTCGGCGAGAGCTCGTTTATAAAATTTCGTTTCTTTTAATGGGGTCAAAGAGTTGGGGCCATCTCTTGAGCTTGAGCTCACATTGGAGGCTGGTGTAGTCGGCGTTGCGGGGGAAGATCCAAATGTGCCCAATGTGGAGATAGAAGATGTTGACCCGTTGTTTGGCGCATGTGTTGACCCAGTGTATGCTCCTAGTCCTAACCCTAAACCGATTCCTCCATAAGATCCACTGGAAACGCGACTCCCAACAACATTCCTTGACATACGTAGTAGAGAGATAAAATCATCGTAAGCTCCAAGATCAGTTCGAAGGACTGGTTGGATCAGGTGCAAGAAACTCGTAGGATATGAAGGCGAGACGGGTTCCGGGATTGACGAAGATTGTATTGAGTCCGAGTTGTGCATATTCTCGTCTTTGCGATCGGTTTGATGTAAAGCTGGAGTTGACGGTGCGGTACCATTTGTTTGGTTTGTTTGATCATCCTGTTCCTCGGTCATGTGTTCCATAACTTGCTTCAATTCTGCCAACTGTTCTTGTTGCGACTTTAGTAAATTCTCTGCCTCCTGAAGTTGTGCTTTCAGTTGATCGTTCTTTTTGTTTACGATATCATATTCCTTCTGTGCTTGCTCTCGAGCCGTGATAACCATCTGTCAATGTCAGCTTTTATTACATTGAAAGACTGTACTCAGACCAACCTTGTTCGCCTCCTCGAATAAAGCCGTGGTAAGATTCTCCAATTCTAGCTCGATACTCTTCTTTTCTTTCTCAACTTCCCTTCTTTTATTCCTCTCTTCTGTCAAGGTCGCATTGAGTTTGGCCTTCTCGGCTTCCGCTATTGAGCTCCGTATCAGTACTCCATTCGATACTAGCGCTTTGTGCTCTCGGTTTTCTCGTTCAAGCTGCTTGTTTCGTTCTCTTGAAGCCTCAAGTTCATGTCGAGTGGCGCTTAAACTATCGTCGAGAGTCGTCTGTTGATTTATGGCGTTTATCAGCTTTTTGCTCAGGGTTGTAACCTCCTCGCTCAAATGTGCATTGCTCAGCTCTTGATACTGTTCTTGGTTTGAGACGGGGCTGTCGATTGTAGGTGACGAGACTCTACTCCGAGGGTCCGGAAGAGTACTTAAATTCTCCTCATGATCCATATAGGGAGCGAAAGCCCTTGGCGTAGGTATTCCAGGGGCGTTTGATACTGTAGCCATCGTAGGCAGGGTAGTGGTCGATATTGATTTCGTTATCGTCTTTGTAGAAGAACCCGAGAGAGAGCGGATATGTTGTAAGGACCGACGATGATTATATTGAGTCCATCCAGCAATGTGGATGAAGCTGTATGATTGGTTGCATTGTTAGTTGTTGTTGTTGTTGTTGTTGAACATGATTTAATTATTTTTTTCTTCTGACCACATGAAGGAATGAGATTGATCACATCATTATGATAAAGTCGAGTCGAGTATAATATAATATAACATAACAAACTTACTCGGACATTTGATTCTTTGAAGAGGCTTAGAGCCTCGTTCCCGATTAGAAAGCCACCAAAGAAATGCGAGTTGACGATTATTACGTAGTAGATTAGCGGCAGTAAATGTGCCTAACGACCTAAACCAGGAAGGTACTTTGAGATCTCGGAATCTTTACTGATGCGTTTACGTATTGAATCGGTGAAAGGTGGGAAAGACACAGCAAGGAAGGGATTGAAGTTTGATAAAGTACAAGAGGAATAAAAATTGGAAGAAATGGATGTAAGGAGAAAAAGAAAGAAGAACAGTCGGAAGAATAAGAGAGAGAGAAAAAAGAAAAGGAAAAAAGTAAGTACTTAGTTTGAATAAATTATGATTGCTCCTTTGAAGGGTTAGGAGAGGGAGAGAGGAGGAAGAGGGAGAGGGAGAGGGAGAGGGAGAGAGAGTTGAGAGAAAATCAAAAGTTGGGAGAAAGTGTAGCTAGTGCTCGTAACTCGTACAGTGTTATCGAGGTACGTTTGATCGGGGTATGAATTTCCGATACTCCAGATAATAATAAATCTCTAAGATTTGCCAGGAAAGGAAAACGGAAAACGACGCGGCGTCATACGTCTAAACGCTGGATGATACTACCCAATCAAAATCCCACTCGGATGGGGGATACAAGAAAAGGGAAAAGTCAAAAAATAAAAGGGAAAAGCAAGGAAAAGGGAAAAGAAGAAGAGAGGAACAGAGGAACAGAGGAACAGAGAATGAATTACTCCCTAGAAGAAAAAAAAAAGACCATTTGTAGCATCTTGTAAAATATAATAATGCCATGTAATGATCCAAGTATACGATTATGCGAGTTGTAGTATATATGTAGATGCAGATGTAGATGCAGAGGTTTGAACTGTCATTTAATTACCTAGTATTGTTAGGGGGTTACGAAGAGAAGCACCATCCATCTCCTCACATTCGATTTAAAAGGGTCTGTCTTGGTATCCATCCATCCATCCATCCATCTATCTATCATTCTATCTATCTGTCTAGGTTCTCCAACGGATTGTATGCATATTTGACTTATTCAGACTTACTTCATGCATGCAAGTGGTTGGTGTACATCGTACATCGTACATCTTACATCGTACTCCGCACTTCTTATTAGGGGTTATTGAGTGATGGAAGAGGGGGAAAGTTGATACTAGGTAGATGATGGTACAGTAGGCACAATACTACTATCCTATTCGAGCCTATCTAATGAATCAATAGAATAAACACAGTTAATTTGGTGATATCAATAGATACCTGTCAATATCAATATCTCTCACTACCTAGTATCTCAACAATTATAATCAATCAATCAATCAATCAATCAATCAATCAATCAACCAATCAATAAACCACATCCTTGACACTCCCAAGACTTTGATTTAACTTTCATGAATCACATTTCCATTCGATATGTTGACTTGTGTCAGCTCATCACTCATCACTCTCATCACTCTCATCACTCTCATCACTCTCATCACTCTCATCACTCTCATCACTCTCATCACTCTCATCACTCTCATCACTCATCAGATGAACAAGGGAACGCTCGGAAGGTACGAGGTCCCTAGTATCCGGTATCTACCATCTCAGGGATTAGCTTTATGAGGAAGGTCTGAACTCACAAGTCCCGAATAGTTTTGTCTCGCATTTCTTCTTTTGCCGGCTTTTCCTCAGACGACTCCGTAAGTCATAGCACCACCATCTTACTTTCTGATATCCTTCCATTCAAGAGTCAAGACTGAAATGGGCAAGTCGAGATTCTCGAGGACGTAATCTTACGGCTCGATCCTCATTACCACTATCTTTGCTAGAGCCCATCCAAACCTCGAGTAGCTACCTAGTAACTCTTCCCTATCTATTATGTGATAGTACATACAAATACGCGCCTCCCTTCAGATTCTGACCGTGGCTATGCTGCACCCCCCCCGCAAATTCGTGCACCAAGAGGGTTAAGTTGTACGCGGCTGGATCTCTCGCCTCCTCGGCCAGTACCGATCTTTTCTGGTGCATTGTCATGACAGGTGCCAGATGTAGATCATACACCACCAATGTGTGGAGTACAGGTTTGATAGATCATACGCAAATCCAAGGAATTATATTGTTAGTTGATTTCTACTGCCGCTATGCTTTCGGCATTACTTTTCTCACTTAAATCACATTCATTTGACGTCCAAGGAACATGGAAGTTGGTTGTATAATTTTCATTCTCTCAACACCCACACCAGGGTAAGAAACATCATGTAAACAGCACCGATCTAGACTCAACACTGTGAGACAAGTGTAGGAAATCATCGTAGATCTGCTTGGTAGCATGCATCATAGAAGGAAAAAAAAATGTGGTAGGGGGATTGTAATGTATTCAAATGAGGCTGCATCCAGAACATAGGAGACTCTGGATGATCAAACGCCAAACTCGACTGGGGTTGTTCTTGGAACACTTGTGAGGGCTTCGGAGAAGTGGAAAATCTTCTACCTAAGCGTGACAAATACGGCTCCGAAGGGATAGAGAGATGGGGAAGAAGAAGAAATAAATGAAATCGTTGTTCACTGAAATTTGCTGCAAACACATGGCCATGCGTGTCATCGGATGCTGTTGGAAACCTATCAGATTCTTGAAGGTATTGCACATATTTAATTTTTATCATGCAACGCTAGAAGCCTCTGACCCTCATTGTATCATATCCCGCAAAGAAACCCAAACAAACCCCAGCCCAGAGCTTAGATAGTCGTCTCGTATGCGATTGGTACAATTGTCTCTGGTACGTTATCCTTCATCGAAATGGTTCTGGCCTCTCTTGGCATGGCTGGCTGTCTCTTCAAGTGAACGTGGGTACCGTCGGCCTTCGATTGCTTCTTCAACTCGGCGTTCTTCTTGACTCTGCGGACGAACTCCTCTCTTGAGCGGGAGAGGGAGACGTGCTCGATTCTGAGGTTGACACGCTTCTCGATGTATCTGTGCTTAACCTTCTTGTAGATGATAACACCAACGGCGCTCTTGGTGACGTTGTAGACGACACCAGTCTTTCCGTGGTAAACCTTGTGGGGCATACTGAACAGAAGTCAGTACACGAATTCGTCCTCCCAAATTCCACCGTCTTCTCGCAAATCTCCATGTCGATTCTGCCTGGGAAATTTATATATGATTGATGTTTTTGACTGACCCCTTTTGAACGGCACCGTTTGCCTTGATATCAACAATGTCACCGACCCTGAAAATTAATTAGCATTTTGCGATTTTTCGAAATTGCGTAGAAATGGACTTCTACATACTTGTATTGTCTCAAGTAGGTCGACAACTTGATCATACCATGATCCTTGAAGTTTCTGCTGAATGCATACTGGAAATGTGTTAGTTACTGCTCTCGATTTCAAAATTGCCGTCGTCGCATCGAGTTCACAGCTGTGGCCGTAGCAATCCTCTTCAAATGGTGCAATTAAATGGAAAATAATGAACTCACCCGAGTACCGGCGCGGAGACCTGCTGGGTGACCCATTTTGTCGATGTAGGATGGGTATTCGGAGGGAGGTCGAAGTTATTCAGAAATTGTCGATAATCTTTCTATTGCAAATTGACGCTGGTATCGGCAACTCCAACTTTCAAAAATCTTCGCTTAATTTTGCGCCTTCCCACTTTGGTGGTAGCTCGGGTCAAATGCCCTAATTGAAATTCCGGAACATCGAAAAATTACAGGAACAAAATTTACAGCCAGCGATCAACAACCTCACGACGACAATCGACTCGACGTATCAGCAAAAATGGCCCCGTACGTATTGTCCATATTCTGAAGCTTCAGATTTACTTCGATTGATCTCGAAATTATCTGGAGTTTTTTTGGCTTTGAATCGAATTGCTTTGGGAATATCACCTCGATCGCAACAAGGCCAATTTGAGTTCGTTTGCTAATATTTTTGAACAGACGTTCATACTCCAAGACCTACAAGGTCCCACGTCGTCCGTAAGTACCTCATCAATTACCTGTTTGCGCTTTGTAATTTATGCTGACAACTTTATAGCTTCGAGAGTGCTCGTTTGTAAGTGGACCACTGTTCTAGAGCTTGCTCTGTTCAAGTCACTGATTATTCCCTAGGGACTCCGAATTGAAGATTGTCGGAGAGTATGGTCTCCGCAACAAGCGTGAGGTCTGGCGTGTCCAGTTGACTCTCTCCAAGATTCGTCGTGCTGCCCGGTATGTAAAGTGTTTCAACTCAAGAGGGTTTCAATGTGCTAACGTATTCGATTTAGTCAATTGCTCACCCTTGACGAGAAGGACCCAAAGAGACTTTTCGAAGGTAACGCCCTCATTCGTCGTCTTGTCCGTGTCGGTGTCCTCGACGAGTCCCGCATGAAGCTCGATTACGTTTTGGCCTTGAAGATCGAGGATTTCATGGAGCGTCGTCTTCAAACCTGTGTCTACAAGCTCGGTCTTGCCAAGTCCATCCATCACGCTCGTGTCCTCATCCGTCAAAGACACATCCGTGTTGGTAAGCAAATTGTCAACGTTCCATCCTTCGTTGTCCGTCTCGACTCCCAAAAGCACATCGACTTCGCATTGAGCTCGCCATTCGGAGGTGGACGCCCAGGTCGTGTCCGCAGAAAGAAGGCCAAGGCTTCCGAGAAGAAGGACGATGATGCCGAGGAAGAGGATGAGGAATAGAGGAACATTTTGATACCAAAATATTTCCTATCTACATCATGAGGGTTACACTTTAGCAGGGGTTAGGGCCGGTTACGCATGTAAAGCAGACATCTCAGCGTCGAGCTACAAAATAAAAGCCGTATTCCATGATGAATTATTAATGATCACTTTTTTAATGACTTTGTTGTTCCCAGAATATGTCATTAAAAGAATAATCTGTGACTTGATCGAAGAATCAATATCGGTATGCGTTCAACAACATTACACACAGCTTATCGAAGTACCAAAACTTGTCTTTCGATTTCTGGGATTATCCCTCTGAACTGTTTTGGGAAATTAAAAGCGGCTTGAGATTAAATATTCAGTGATGAGTTCAATGTTCGAAAAAAATGTCTAATTATTTATTGAATCTGCAGGTCACACTAATTCGTCTTTCCCTATGAAAGCATTCATGGGATCGTCGGCTGCTATACGCTTCTTCTTCCATGCATCCATATCCTCCTCAGAAACACCGGAGTGCATCTCTTCCGCAGTGCGTTTCTTCGTCTGTTGTGTGATAACGGAAGGTTTTTCCACCTCGTTCTTTGCTGTTTCGGCCTCTTCTGCGTCCTCATCCATCAAGATACCTCCTATTCGAGCACGCTCTGCATCTTGAAAGGCACTTTTACCTGCTTCTCCAACACAGTAACTGTTCTTGACCAGCGAATGACAACAAGAATAGCCCCATTTGAAGTTAGACCACCAACTTCCCCATACAGATGTGTGATTGTTGGGGAAAATGTCTTCAGGATATTTAGACTTCGCAGAGGCCTTCGGTGCTCCTTTGATTCCACCCGTCTCATCATATTCCACATATTTTTCAGACTCCATGACAGCTGCATCCCTAAGCTTTGCAGCCATAGGATTGCTGTCTCCACCATATTTCTCCAAAAGCATTTTTTTATGCGCCTGTCGTTTGGTCTCGGCCTCTTCCTTCTCCTTTCTTCTATAGTACTCGCCAGAAGTAGGGTTGGCTTGTAAATGTTGTTTTGTGTCACCAGCCTTTTCCTGAGACTCCCAGGCATACTTCTGTGCCTTTTCGAATTCGGCGGCATCCCCAGAAGCTTTCAAAAATCCTTCTTCCGCAACCAGCGCCGCAGCCGTATCAGCAGTCGCTCCACTGTCCACCATAGATCTAGTCTTTGGGTCGTACTTCGCCGAGTCCAGGTCCAAATTCAATAGATATTTTGCCGTGTCCTCGCGTATTCTCAGCTGCCTCGTCGATGTACTTTGATGTCTTCCCATATCTGATTCCTCAGCGTATTTTGCGCCATCATCATCGCCATCCTCATCAGCTTCTTCTCCATCTTTGCTATGACCACTCTGTAGTTGCTTCTTCAGTTCTTCTAGCTGCGCATATTCATCTGTGACGCTTTTGTACTCTTTCGCATCGTATCCATTCCATCGATCTCTCTTCGCATCCCATCCCAAATCAACGTCCTGTATAACTTCATCTGCCTGTATATCCTTTCCAGTCCATTTGGCACCTTTCGCTCTGGGTCTGTTCAAACAATCCTTCGCCTTGTGTGTCATTGCTCCGCAATTTTCGCATGCGCCTTTTCGAAACTTGGTGGCTGCAGGACCCAGTTTCTTTCCACGATCATACCATTTTGACTGATCTAATTGGGCTTTTTGAAGACGCTGATGCTCGAGGTAATCATTATTATCATCGTCGCCGATATAAAATGGCTTCTTTGCAATAAAAGCTGGAATATACTCGTTCTGGTCCTTATTTGCTGCAGATTGTTCAGGCTTTCGAGGTTGTGTACCTGCGGGAGGCATTTTAAAGGTTTTGCTATATCAAAACAAAAAACGATTGCATCAGTTCTTGGTGTTTCAGTAACACTACGTATAAAAGTCGATGATATGGTCGAAATTGTATATCAAGGCGGTCAAGTATCAAATAATAATTTGGCTAAAGAGAATAGGTAAATGGATGTAGGAAAGAGAGGTGGATTTAGGAAAGACAGGATGTGGATCGATTGATAAACTCCATTGGGTAGCGGCGATAAGGTATGCTCTGTCAGCACTTCTAGATCCAAGTCTCTAATCCCGTGACTTGGCGTAGCTTACTGTTCGCGTTCGTGTTTGCGCCACTCAGATGTGGTGTGGGAAAGAGAATGAAGATAAAACAGGAACGGCACTTCCTACGGTTTTTCCCTTTTGTATTTGAAGGTATGGTGAGAAATGTGAAGTCATGAAAACTGACAACATCGACTCTCGCTGGGTGCCTCCATCCTAACACGTCCAATTGCCATGGACCTCTTTCGAGTACGTCTCGATTGCATTGATCATTATCAAGCTACACCTTCTCAATTTGATCCTCAATTAAAACGAAACATCAAACCTTCCGATATTCACAAAGGGCCAAAAGTACCTGTCATTAGAATTTTTGGCTCGACGGAGACAGGTCAGAAGGTCTGCGCACATATCCATGGAGCATTTCCTTATTTGTATATTGAGTATGAAGGCTCCCTCGATCCCGATGAAGGTTTGTCTTTGCTAAGTTTCGATTGTTGTTTTGATGACTGATAAATTTGTAGTTGGAAGTTATATCCACAGACTTCATCTTTCAATTGACTATGCCCTGGCTGTAAGCTATCGTCGCAATGCATATGATGGAAATGCCAAATTTGTCGCACGTATTACCTTGGTAAAGGCGGTTCCATTCTATGGCTTCCATGTTGGATACCGCTTCTATCTCAAGATTTACATGTTGAATCCCATGGTAATGACGCGTCTCGCGGATATTTTGCGTCAGGGTACTGTTATGAAGCGAGTATTTCAACCATATGAAGCCCATCTTCAATTTCTTCTTCAGTGGATGGCGGACTACAATCTGTATGGGTGTGGATATGTCGATTCTAGTAAGGCTACATTTCGAGGTCCAGTGCCTCTATATAATGAAATCTCCTCATCAATGCACCTTTGGCATGACCGCTCAATACCTGATCATCTCATTACGAATGATGTGTATCTCCCTAGGGTTAGTCATTGTTCATTGGAAGTTGATATCTGTGTCCAAAATATTCTCAATAGAAGGGATGTCAAGCCACGCCTGCTCCACCATGACTTCGCTCAAAACCTTGGTCCTTTTGCCCCCGACGAGAAGTTAGTACAAAGTATGGCAGGTCTTTGGAAAGATGAAACCCGTCGTCGAAAGTCTAAAATTCCAAATGCAACGGCTGGTAGTAGCCCATTCCCAGCTGAGGTAATGTTTTCTATGTCAGCTGACCCTCGACATTCCCCGAATGGTGGGTGGATGCACGAAGGCGAGCACAGGGAAATGGTCAAAAGGCTCATCCAAGAAGAACGGAATAGAGGCGATCCTTCAAAACCAACTTTCAACACTTTCGTCAAACCAAAGCCCTTCGAAACTTCCGTGAAAACTAGCCTTGAGTCGGTGGAAGACTTGTACCCGGATAATCTTCGCCTCGCTTTCCAATCAGTCTATGAGGAACAGGGCCATCACAATTTGCATGGTCACCGCGGAGAAAGAGAGGTAGACGAAACCCTTATTGTTGAACTTGCAAACGGCCAAGAAGAAGATGAAGACGATTACGATTCTGATGAGGATATCATGAGAGAGATTGAGCTTTCCCAGAAACGGAAAGGGGATTATATTGATGAAGCCCTACCGAAATCTGAAACAGATACGATGTTTGGTGACGAAGCTTATTCCAATGCTGCTTCATCAGATGAATTGCAAGCAGTTCAGCTTAAAGAAGGCAAAGTTCATCACAATTTTGTACACTCTCAAACAGCCTCTGTCGTAGCAGATGCTTTGGCCTCAAAATCTGCACAAATCAGTCACTTGGCTAGTCAGATTGATTCTGATCATGATAGCGTTCACAACCACAGGGGCCAAGACATTAACCCCGAATGGAAGAGGTCACAATTAGAACAAGAATATCCGGACGCGAAACGGCGGAAGACCAGTACAATGGCTCAGCCCTCACTACAATTATCTCCTACGTCACTTCTAGGACCAAGGAATGAACACATTGAGCAACGAACCAGCTTGGAACTTAGGCCGCCTGGTGCTAAGCTTTCCTCTCAAGACTCGCTCAATTTCCCTGTGACGAAAGATTCGCACGATTCGAGCACAATGCTGAAGCTCAGTCAGCGCTTTGGGGATATAGATACTCCTAAAGCGAAGAGGCACGTTTCTTTTCTTCCCAATCCAGCATCGACTACCAACAACTTGGTTAAGACTGTAAGCATGTCAAACTCCACAACGATATCAAGCCCGATTCAAAAGCTAGGTTCCTCTGTTCAGGATAGACTCCTCAAAGGAATCAAAGACAGCTTTGGATCCAGTAACGATTTATTACTGCTGGCACATCATCAATCTCCCCTATCAGCCTATTTTGTTTCTACAACGATGTCAAGTTTCAATCTACCCTTAATTCTCCATCAAGATGCCTTTTACAGCAGGGAAGAAGATGTTCCCGAGCGCCCTAGGGAATGGGCGGGTAGAGAATTCAAACTTGGAAGCACGAGTGTGCCATTCCTTCCCGATTTTGATCCGTCTGCAACCTCAGACGCAACTTTTGGGCTTGGACCTGTTGTTCTCCCCGATAGAATTAAAGACGAAGAAGTCTATCATCATCGGCGCCGCGAGTGCAGTCTTCGGGCTTGGACTTTTACAGAAACACCGCCTAGCTATGCTAAAGTACACATTTGGGCTCGCAATGAGGAGTCTAAGATGAATGATAAATCTAAAAAGCTGAAGAGGGGCGCACCTTCCAACACGATTAGCAAGCACCGAAAGGGGGCGAAGCTTTCACAAATCGATGGCCCAACCCAAAGGAACTCGTATGGCTTCAAATATACACAAAACGGAAAGACTATTAAAATTCAACGTGAGGCTCAATACATGAGTGTCATGAGTCTAGAGGTTCATGTTAACACGCGAGGGGGTTTGTGCCCAATCCCGAAGAGGATGAGATTCAGTGTATTTTCTTCTGCTTTCAAGCGGACAATAACGGCACTGAATCTAGCCCATCAAAGTCGGGGATCGCGGTCTTGTCCGTTGATGAAGAAAACATTGCCGAGAGGATATCCAACCAAGTTCCCTTCGAGGTGCATGTAGAGACTTCTGAACTCGATCTGCTCGTCCGTATGGTCGAGATTGTGCGGGAGTACGATCCAGACATCCTGACTGGCTTCGAGGTCCACGGTGGATCTTGGGGGTATCTTATTGAACGGGCAAGAACTAAATACGACTATGACCTTTGTGATGAGTTCTCACGTATGAAAAATCAATCCCATGGCCGTTTTGGCAAGGATAACGACAAATGGGGATTCGATAATACATCCACAATTCGTGTTACAGGCCGACATATGATCAATATCTGGAGAGCCATGAGAGCCGAGCTAAGCCTTCTGCAATATACGTTGGAAAATGTGGTTTTCCATCTACTTCACCGGCGGATTCCGCACTATTCATGGGCCGATTTAAGAAACTGGTATACCAACGGGAAGGCCCGGGATTTGTCTAAAGTACTCGCGTACTATATGTCCCATGTAGAACTCGATCTAGAAATACTTGAGCAGAACGAATTGATCTCGCGTACAAGCGAACAAGCACGACTTTTGGGTGTTGATTTCTTCTCGGTTTTCTCCCGTGGTTCACAATTTAAGGTAGAATCTCTGATGTTTCGAATTGCAAAACCAGAGAATTTCATCTTAATATCCCCTAGCCGAAAACAAGTGGGTGGCCAAAATGCTTTGGAGTGTCTCCCCCTTGTCATGGAGCCTCAAAGTGCTTTTTACAGTAGTCCATTACTGGTTCTTGATTTTCAAAGTTTGTATCCGAGTGTTATGATTGCTTATAACTATTGTTATTCGACGTACCTGGGGCGAGTCGTAAACTGGCGAGGTACCAATAAAATGGGTTTCACTGAATATACAAGGGAAGACAGGTTGTTGGAGCTACTAAAAGACCATATCAACGTTGCTCCCAATGGAATAATGTATGCAAAACCAAACATTCGGAAGAGTCTCCTAGCTAAAATGTTGGGGGAAATCCTTGAAACTCGTGTCATGGTGAAGAGTGGGATGAAGATTGACAAGGAGGATAAAGCTCTACAACGATTATTGAATAACAGGCAGCTTGCTCTGAAACTTATTGCCAACGTCACATACGGATATACATCTGCATCATTTTCTGGTCGCATGCCGTGCTCAGAGATTGCTGACAGTATTGTTCAAACCGGGCGAGAAACACTTGAAAAAGCCATTGCACTTATTCACTCAGTCAAACGATGGGGCGCAGAGGTGGTCTATGGAGACACCGACAGCTTATTTGTCTACCTGAAAGGTCGCAGCAAAGATGAAGCGTTCGATATTGGGAATGAGATTGCGAAAACGGTCACCAACATGAATCCACGTCCCGTCAAGCTCAAATTCGAGAAGGTTTATCATCCCTGCGTGCTTCTAGCTAAGAAGCGATATGTGGGCTTTAAGTACGAGAGCAAGTCACAAATCGACCCTGAGTTCGATGCGAAAGGCATTGAGACCGTGCGACGTGATGGCACTCCAGCTGAGCAAAAAATCGAAGAAAAAGCTCTCAAGATACTCTTTCGCACAGCTGATCTTAGTCAAGTGAAATCCTATTTTCAAGAACAATGCGACAGAATCATGAAAGGCTCTGTATCTATTCAAGACTTTTGCTTTGCGAAAGAAGTCAAGCTTGGAACGTATAGTAACAAAGGACCACCACCTGCAGGAGCTCTTATTAGCACCAAAAAAATGTTGGAAGATGCACGAACAGAGCCGCAGTATGGTGAGCGAGTTCCATATGTGGTTATCACGGGCGCTCCAGGAGCTCGGTTAATCGATCGCTGTGTCGCGCCTGAAGAACTTCTCAACAGCGATCACAGCGAGCTAGATGCGGAATACTACATCTCTAAAAACTTGATTCCACCGTTAGAACGAATCTTCAACCTTATGGGTGCCAATGTCAGAAGTTGGTATGATGAGACGCCCAAAGTTCAGCGCGTTCGCCGGCTCGAGGTTAATTTGGATCAAGGACAACTTAGAGAGCTGGCAATAAATAAGAAAACACTCGAGTCATACATGAAATCATCATCATGTCTTGTTTGCAAAGACAAACTTGAGACCGAAGGATTCCTCTGCCCTGAGTGTCAGTCCAATTCTCCTGAGTCGATGCTTTCTCTACAGACTAGACTCAACATTGAGGAAAAGAAGTTTCTAGACATACAGAGCATTTGCCAGGGCTGTTCTGGTTTGTCTCCACTAGAGGAAGTGAAATGCGATAGTAAGGATTGCCCTGTATTTTACACAAGGACGAGACAGAGGGCGAGATTAAAAACGGAAAGGGCCTTCATGGTGCCAGCTATGCAGGCTCTATCAGCAACTATTGAAACGGAGGTGGATTTTACAAATCTTGAGTGGTAGTTAGCAGTTTTCTTTGTTTGTTTCTGCAATTTTAAGACTTTCAAGGATCTTGTGATATCATTCCAGAGGCATAATCTTAGAAATACAATATTTTAAAGCTACCAAAGTAAAGAAATTCTATGAATGATGGATATCGGTGCTGTAACTTGTAAGGTTGACCGACCCACTTTTACTCATCTCCTTTCTTGCTCTTGGATATACATAGAAAGAGTTAGTGTACGATGGGACAAGATCTAGAATGAAAATTTTACAGTATAAAAACCGAATGTAAGTGAACTGCAATCATGGAAGTTTAATCGACCTGTATAACAGTGATATCTTGTTGGATAAGAATGACTCCATACATACCGGTACTACCACAGGTATCTAGATAACGTACGATCAAATATAAATGTCACCACAGATAACTCACTATCATCAGTGAGTGTCATATCGTGTAGGCACTTTTAGATCCTACGACTATCAGACAATAGTCATAGTTAGCGTTCTGGTGAGGTGTATGGAAATACAATCCCCGGTGAGCACTGGTAGTGGATTCAATCAAGGTTTTTATCCAAGCTCTACAATATTCCCCTCCTTCAATTATGATTGTTAGCTTACTACCAATTTAGTACTCTCAAACCTACTCAATAAGTTATTCTTCAATTTGCATGCCGGACGTGAGACATTACATGAACGAGAGAAACAGCCTTTATTAACACTAGGAAAATCACAACTTTCCAATTATTTCTTTTTACAATCAAATTCACCGTCCACAATTCTCTGGAAAGGTATCCCAAGGATTGCCCGGCGTTTACAGGTCTGACGTCGCCACATGTTTTAGATGCCTTGCTTTCATTGAATTGTTAAACATCAACAACTTCCCAAATGCTGTTTTCTCCCACACCTCACCAGAATTTACTATTTGATTTCATGGAGATGGTCCGTTAATTATAACCTTTTCGTCTCTATACATGAAGGCGATATCATAATGGGAGGTTTAATATGGTTTCTTTTCATCTATTGCTTAGGTGGTCTCACATTTCTTCCCCTCGTCGTAATAGCCATATTACTTCACACACACTTTACCTTTCCAGTTCGCGACGACACCGATTCACGAAAAGATTACGATCCAATATCTCGACCTGGTGATGATGTCGATGCTATCAAATCCGCACAGAAATCCCTGGGTGAGAAGTTTCAACTTCACAACAACCATGAAGCGGATGTAGCTGCTGGATATTTCGCAATTTGCAGGGAATACTCACCAGGCGGAGTGAATGGAAAGCCTCCAGAACGAACGACCCCCACTGGATCAACTACAGTCTCTGCGCCCAGTCCCAGCGTTTATCAGAGCATGTACAGAAGCTTGTTTGAGAGGAAGACAAACAATGGCCCATTAGACAATAAGACGGTGGGGAAACCACAGAAAAAGGGCGGCAATGTGTTTTACGTGGTCTTGAGGTAATTCCCGCGGAAAAGATCGATTCCTCCGTTATATTCAGGGTATACTGACGATTATGCTAGGCATGGACATTTAATGCTGTTTGATGATGATGAGCAGCTCGAAGTTCGCTACGTAGTGTCTTTGGCACATCACGATGTTAGCATATACTCAGGATTGAATGATATTACACCAGAAGGAGAACTGTTCATTAAAAGAAATGCCATTTGCTTGTCAAGGAAGCAGGGCGTTGGAGAGATGACTGCCGATGGGAAGCCATCTCAACCCTTCTATTTGTTTTCCGAGAATTGTTCTGATAAGGAAGATTTCTATTTCGCACTTCTGCGAAATCAAGAGTCGGACTCGACCCCAAAACCACCGGTTCCGTTGCAGTATGACGTGAAAGATATCATCACTCTTGTCCAGAGGCTGCATTCGTCCGAAGAACACCTTCAGACAAGATGGATTAATGCTTTAGTTGGCCGGATATTTCTTGCGCTTTACAAGACACCAGAAGTTGAGGATTTCGTTCGCGCAAAGATCACCAAGAAGATATCAAGAGTCAAAACTCCCAACTTTTTAAGGCAAATTACTCTTCGCAACGTGGACATGGGAGAGGCAGCACCAGTGATCACGAACCCACGTTTGAAGGATTTAACCGTAGATGGGCAGCTTATCGTAGAGGCTGATGTTCGCTATACAGGTAACTTTCGTCTCGAAGTCGCCGCCATAGCTCGCCTTGAGCTTGGCGCCCGCTTTAAAGCTCGAGAAGTGGATTTACTGCTAGCCGTTGTCTTGAAGAAGATTGAGGGGCACATTCTTCTCCGAATTAAGCCGCCTCCCTCAAATAGACTATGGATTACATTTGAGACCATGCCAAAGATAGATATGACAATAGAGCCCATTGTGAGCTCGCGGCAGATTACATACACATTGATTCTTCGCCAGATCGAGAATAGGATAAAGGAAGTTATCGCTGAAAGTTTAGTCTTCCCCAATTGGGATGATTCGCCATTTGCCAGTACTGTAGATAAGCTATGGAGAGGTGGCATCTGGGCAGATGACCGACGCGCCGAACGTTCTCATGATGCTGAAACTCTTGCCGCTGAGGATGGAGACGTAGAAGAGGTAGAGATTCTAGAAGCCGAGAACGACGACTCTGCACCACCCGCGCCACAGATAGAAAAGAGCTATAGCGCTCCTGTGCTTGATACCAACCTTTCGACTACGATGCATTCACGCAAAGGCATAAAATCTACTTCGAATCTCGTCAGCCCATTGTCTGGTAGCTCTTCCACAGGGGTTGATGTGCGACCTTCGACGGGCGACAAACCACGAGCCCTTCGTTCGGCATCCTTCGCTAACGCCTCTTCTCCAGTGGTCACTACTGACATAACTAACGCGGACGCATTCAAGCCTTCGAGCCCTCCCAATGGAGATCACGCGGCAATCTCTATGGCTAAATTGTCCGCAAAGACAGAACTCCCTACACAAATTCTTACTGAGTCTCCCAGTCGACCAAAAACTGTTAAACTGAGTAGCAGCCAATCCTCATCATCTTCGAGAGGCTCCTCACATTCGGAGAAAGCTTCTATGAGCAATTCAATACCACAAGCTTCTTTGGAGCCATCATTGCTCACTGATAAATCCAGCATAAATTCTTACCCCTCCAGTCCTGCGAGTTTGAGTACTGCATCAATAAAGTCAGAATTTTCGACTCCTACAGGTTTGGCTCCTCCGAAGCGTGAGAATACCACATCTTCAGCAAAATCGTCAACGTCGGAAACCAAACGTTTGTCTCTTGCCGCCGTTACCAACGCAGCGGCAACAGCCAAAACCTGGGGTGTAAGTTTATCATGAATTCCCCTTTGACCGATGCTTAGCTAGTGCATCTACTTTATGACACTACTAATCGTCCATCCTGAGTATGCTTATGTTCTTTGAATGCAGACTAACATTGGCTTTATAGTGGAACGCTCTCCAACGACGTAATGAGCATAGGGGAGGCAGCTCATCAGAGTCAACGGAACCAACCCAGCCGCGCGTCATGGGCCGTGGACAACCGCTACCTCCTCCTGGAGTTCCCTTACCTTTACCAGACAAAAAGACAAAAACAGCCCCTATACCCGTGCCTAAGCGGAAGCCAATGCCTCCGCCTGTTTTGCAACAAAGGCACCAAACAGAATCACCTACCAGACGGCAGCATCACACAGCTCCACCACCTCCTTTACCCAGGCGTAATTCTCGGGAAAATGTTGATACTGGAGATGATGGTCTCCTAGTTGTGTCGGCACCATCAGAACCAACAACGCCGCTAACCGAAGATTCACCTCAATATATGCAGCCATGGGTAGATGATGTGGACGAGACGCTGGAAGAACATCAACAACCTAAGACAGATGTTCCTTCGCCCACTAATTCCGTTGCTCGTGAGCCACCGCAACTTCCAAAGAGGCGATACCCACGTCGAGTCGCCTCAACTAGCCCTGAGGAAGATGGCCATAAGTTACCGTCGTGGATGGCAGCACAGGAGCGAGAAGCTCGGACTAAAAGCACTTTTGTTGATGAAGACGCAGGTCTTTGAGTTATGATATTGGGTGTCTGGCTTTCAGCTTGATCTTTCGAATAAGTCTGATGCGTAAGTGGCGCAGTATAAATACAAATTTGTTGGGTTCATATAGGAAATGAGGACTTGGTTATCCTACATTTGGCAGGGCGTTGTATGGTTCATAGCAATGGTAGGTAGGAACAGGACGGACATATGCAATGAATGATGAAATACAAATAACAAAGTAATCTCATAAATACAAGCATAAATAAAATATTACATTACGACGCCTCAATTCTAGTAATAATACCCTTTATTGTCATGAGATGAGATTGCATTAATATGAAATCATTGACTTTGCAAGAAGATTAGGGTGTTTCCTGGGCGTGCATCATTCATTCGTATGCAACACTGCACAGCCACAGACAGCTCCATGGCATGAAATTGACCGCCCCATTACGCATCTCCACTAAAACTTACCCCCGTACAGGCAAGCTACCGGCCAGTACCAGTATACATTATCAATATCTCGGTACAGCACCTTCATCTCATTAATCTTTTGGTGTTTCCGACACTTCAACCTAGATAATTCTCCTCATATTTACCCTCTCTACTCTTGAACATTTTGCGCTCTAGACGCTCCCAACCATGTCGTATGCGACATCTGCCAGAAACGTGGATCATACCAAGTAAGTTCGCGGGAATTTCGGGCTTCTCAAGCTTTCTATCCCCTATTATTGGCAAACTATGAACTGTACTGACATTGTTGCATTCGATCAGATCCGAGGCAGAACTTGCGATTAACATTCGGAAAGCTACAAGCATCGAGGAAACCGCGCCGAAACGCAAACATGTTCGCAGTTGTATTGTTTATACATGGGACCACAACAGCTCGGGTGCCTTCTGGGCTGGTATGAAAGTGTCAGTCTAAACCCTTTTGTACATGTATTCCAAAGACATCATGCCGGACATTAGAACTTCACGGGACTCCAATGATATAAAGAACTAGAAAAAGATGGAAATGACTAACTTCAAGCCGTTTTCACAGACAGCCCATTCTTGCAGATGAGGTCCAAACATTCAAGGCGTTGATCACCGTTCACAAGGTTTTGCAAGAGGGTCATCCATCGACTTTGCGTGAAGCTATGGCGAATCGAAGTTGGCTCGACAGTTTGAACAGAGGCATGTCTGGCGAAGGTATGCGGGGTTATGGACCTCTGATAAAAGAATATGTCAACTTTTTGATGTCCAAATTGAACTTCCACCAACAGCATCCTGATTTTAATGGAACATTTGAATATGAGGAGTACATCAGCTTAAAGGGGATCAATGACCCAAATGAAGGTTACGAAACCATTTCAGATCTCATGACTTTGCAGGATAAGATCGAAAGGTTCCAGAAACTAATATTTGCGCATTTTCGAAATGGAGGCCACAACGAATGCAGAATATCGGCCTTGGTTCCATTAGTCCAGGAGAGTTATGGAATCTATAAGTTCATCACGAGCATGTTACGGGCTATGCACACAAGTATGTTAGGAAGCTCACATCTAACTGCCGTATTCTGACGTGACCTGCAGCAACCGGTGATGAAGATGCTCTTGCGCCCCTGAGAGAAAAGTACGATTCCCAACATCACCGCCTTGTAAAGTTCTATTACGAATGCTCTAACCTCCGATACCTCACGAGCTTGATTACTGTGCCAAAGCTACCGCAAGATCCACCCAATCTCCTTTCCGAAGACGATTCGGCTCCCAAATTACCTCAGCGACCGAAGCAAGAGATTGAGAGGCAGATTACACCCCCGAAACCCCCTAAGACAGAGGAGCCAGATGAAATCGGCGAGTTCTGGAAGAGTGAACAGGATCGACAAAACAGGGAGTATGAGGAACAACAGAGAGTGCTAGCAGAGCAGCAGAGACAACAAATCTTAGCACAACAGCAAGCACAAGAACAGGCGAGACTAATCTATGAGGAACAGCAGCGTCAACTGGCTGAGCAACAAAGACGAGATCAAGAACAACTGATGCTGCAACAATCTCAACAACAAACTTATGGTCGTATGGCGGAACTCGAACGGGAAAACTTCGAGGCTCGAGCACAGTACGCAAGCAATCAACTTCTGCTACAACAATATGATCAGAAGCTAAAGGCACTAGAGAATGAGCTTTTACAGCTGCAGAACAGCTACGGGCAACAGATTGGAAGTAAAGAGGATCAAGTCAAAGCACTACAAGAGCAAGTTAACACATGGAGGACTAAATATGAAGCACTTGCGAAGCTATACTCACAATTGCGACACGAACATCTCGATCTACTTCAAAGATTTAAGAGTGTTCAGCTAAAGGCAGCTTCAGCTCAGGAAGCAATCGACAAGCGGGAAAAGTTGGAGCGAGAGATCAAGACCAAGAATCTTGAGCTTGCTGATATGATCAGAGAAAGAGATAGAGCTTTACATGAGAAAGACCGTCTAACCGGTGGTAATCGGGAGGAAGTCGAAAAGCTTAAGCGTGAGCTTCGTATGGCTCTCGATCGTGCGGATAATTTGGAGCGAAGCAAGGGCAACGAATTGTCCACGATGCTTTCCAAGTACAATCGTGAAATGGCAGATCTCGAGGAGGCTCTTCGCAACAAGACTCGAGCATTACAGGATGTCCATGCCAAATACAGTGAAGGTGGCTCAGACGCCGAAAGACTGCTCAAGGATAAGGAGGACGAATTGGAGGTTTACAAGCAAAGTTTGGACGATGCGCTGATCAGACTCAATGAGCTCGAGATGTCGAAAGGCGACACTGATCAGGCTTTAGACGGAGAGATTGACGCTATGCTCCTCTCAAATATTGACAAAATCAACGACATCATCGATTCAGTCCTTCAGAGTGGAGTTCAACGTGTCGATGACGCTCTTTACGAGCTTGATTCCACTATGCAAGCTGGTAATCAGAATGCAACCCCATCCTATGTCCTTTCGCAAATCGAAAAAGCTTCAGCAAGTGCTACTGAATTCGCCACAGCATTCAACAATTTCATAGCGGATGGTCCAAACAGTACTCATGCTGAAATCATTCGAACCATCAACGTCTTTGCCAGCTCCATTTCCGACGTACTTAGCAACACCAAGGGTCTCACAAGGCTTGCGACAGACGACAAGAAAGCCGACCAGCTTACCAATGGTGCGCGCCAATCAGCGCAGTCTACCGTTACATTTTTCCGTGCCCTGCAAAGTTTCCGACTTGATGGCATGGATCCAATGCAGCGAACTGAGGTTGTCATCAATAGCAACAATGAGGTACAGATCCATCTGCAACGCTTGAACAAACTTGCAGACACATTTGCGCCTAATAGCGGTAAACTTACAAACAATAAAGGCGACTTGGGAGATTTGGTTGACAACGAGCTTACCAAGGCCGCTGATGCAATCGCTGCTGCCGCTGCACGTTTAGCAAAGCTCAAGTCCAAACCCAAGGATCAATACTCAACATACAAACTTGAGATACACGATTCAATACTCGATGCTGCTATTGCCGTTACAAATGCTATTGCCAGATTGATCAAAGCGGCTACTGTTACTCAACAAGAAATCGTTCAGGCTGGTCGTGGCTCGTCATCCAAGACAGCTTTCTACAAGAAAAACAACCGATGGACTGAGGGTCTCATCTCTGCCGCCAAAGCAGTGGCAACATCAACCAATACATTGATTGAGACTGCAGATGGAGTTCTTTCTGGGCGCAACAGTCCGGAACAACTTATCGTTGCTTCCAATGATGTTGCAGCCTCCACAGCTCAGCTGGTAGCTGCTAGCAGAGTCAAAGCCGGTTTTATGAGCAAAAGCCAAGAGAGCTTGGAGCAAGCTAGTAAAGCTGTTGGCGCAGCCTGCAGGACTCTTGTCAGACAAGTGCAGAGCATGATCAAAGATCGAGATCAAGATATTGAAGGGGAAGATTACGCCAAGCTTGGGGCGCATGAGTTCAAAGTCAGAGAAATGGAGCAGCAGGCAAGTTCCCTTGTAAAAAAAAAAGTTTCTTTGGATTATTACTAACGTTTTTGCTCACAGGTTGAAATCTTACAACTCGAAAACAATTTGTCGGCAGCGAGGAAGAGATTGGGTGAGATGCGAAAGATATCTTATTTGGAAGACTAGATCTTATGGCAGTGGTCGACGATGGCTCCCTGTAGGCCGGCTGAGCATATACGCTTTGGCGGGAGGAAGCAAAAGTGCTGCACGGTTATTCTTTTAATAAGCGTGTGATATCCAGATTTCGTAGCAGTCCATTCATGGAATATGGCACTTGTAGGGAAGAAAGACATTCGTGAAAACACTCTTGATACAGAAGCAAAATGAATCCTCTAAGTTTTGTACATCACCCTTTTCACCTAATTATCTTTTCTAGAGGTATCAGAATCTGAAGAGACTTAATCAACTATCAATTATCTAGTGCATAATCAGGAAATCTTGAAATGAGAATATTGAAATGGTAAGTTCAGCAATTATAATAAAATGCATATATTTTTAATTTCCAAGACGATATCATCATACCAGCAGGTAGTTTGCAAGGATCTGATTGGCTTATAATGTGTGTTGCTTGTTAGACACCATCTCCACCAATTCAGCTTGAAATACCCCTGACTCAGCGCCAGGGCTTCGGGATAATAGCAGAGGAGTGTTCGAGCTCGGGTTCAAAGTTTGGCATTGCAGACTTAAGTCTATAACAAGTGAAGTTTAGAATATCTTAGATTAGATGAGAATTGACACACAGACCTTCTACATGTTAAGATGAGAATTCCCACGACACTATAAGATTACCAAGCATTGAGAAGTCAATCTGGACGACATCAGACGTTAGTAACTAATCAATACTATCGTGACATGAAGTGGTTGATCATCTCTGACCATCTCGGTTCCCAATATATACCCCTATCATTAACAAAAAACTCAAGCGATTGCAATTCAGTTCATCTCAAACCTCATCTCAAATCACGTACTCGTATTTTATCCTTGTCGTTACCAAGTTAACTCCCCACAACTTGAGAGAGACTAATGTAATGTCTACAAAAGGTAAGCACAAGGTTACGTACTCGCATTAGTGGTACGCTGATTAGTAATTGGTGCTTGTGTCTCCACATGCTTATTCTTACGACATGTAATTCTCGGATGTGGTAAGAAATAAAAGGGAGGGAGAATACACCAGCCTGACATCACCAACTATTAAGACTCATCATATATCTCATTGCATATGTTTCATAGAGAAGGAGAGAATGTGTTTAATCAGAAGAGGTATTCTATTCCTTCTCCAAGTTCTTTCAAAGTTCTAACAAAAGATAACTCTTTGTAAAGTTCAAACAAGCCTATAGAGAAAGAAACCCCAAATTTGATGCGATGTTAATGGACCAACCGAAACCTTTAACCCTTTTAGAAATATACAAGACCAGCGAGCTTGATGCTTAGCAGGTCATTTTGGAGTATATACCATTTCCAACTTATAAACAAATTGAAATGAAAACGATGTACTGAGACTGAAAACTATATACTGAGAATAAAAACTATATACTCGGAATGAAAACGAAGAGGCTTGAAGCGTAATGACAGCTCCAACTTCTGATATTGGAAGAACCCGGGGGGAATGCACCGAGTATTTCATCTAAAGACATGCTGTGCCGGCGAGTATAAACATCCATCCAACTCCTTAATGTTTGGGTAGCTCCATGCTGGAGTGTGTTGATCGTGGAGCCGAGATAATTAACGTCGGCACCACGAAAGTTCGAACGGATATATAAAGAGAACTAGAAGTCTGCAAAGACTAAAACAGTCAGTATGGTAAGTTAAAGTGCCTGACCGAATTAACTCACGTGGTGGTGAAGGAGCATCGTCAGGCATGTAGAGACCGCCTGCATCAGCGAGAGAGGTAGGATTAAATTGGTCGAACTGAGTGTCCAGTGCACTGAGGTCGATAGTACCACTGTCGTGACCCCAGTATCCAGCCATCATACCAGTAGACCAAGGAGGAGGTGGTGGTATTGCACCAGTTAATGACGCTGTTGCACCTGGTATTAGAGCATGTGGATTGTAAGCAAGAGGCTGATCGAAAGCTGGCTTCGGAGGTGGAGCAACTATGACACCTGAAGGCATTTCCCAGGCACCATATGCATTCTGAGTGGAAGCAATGTGCTGTGTAACAGGGAGGGTGCCTTGAATAGCCATGTTGGCCATTGGATGCACACGGTTCCAACCTTGAACAATGCTGGCAGCAGTCGCAACTGGCAAGTAGCCTTGAGCACCACAAAAAGTGATAATATCCAAATCTGTTAAGAGAGTTCTGGCAATGTGTGCTGGAAATGAGCCGATCTCTGGTGGAGAATTTTGGCGAAGACAGACAGTCCCTTCTTCATTGGTTTCGAATGTCCAGTTGAGGTCGGAAAGGTAATCATCGACAGTTAGGATACCAATGTGGGGACACACGAGAGCAAGGAACTCGGATACGGATCTTTTCACACCAGCATCTCTCATAAGAGTATAAGCGCGAGCAATGATGGACCATTTGGCGTGAAAAGGATCGCGACTCCACAAGACACTAAGGATAGCAGACTTGTACTTCTGCGGAATATTCCCAAGCACTGTCAAAATCATGTAGAAAGCTAAGCAGATATTAGACTTTTGTAAATCAGTTATTGGTCGGGAGACTTACTACGAAACAATATATATGAATTGACCGAGCGCCGAGGAGCCTCAACCCATGCGGTTTGTCTCTCATTCATTGCAACATGTTGTATGCCACCCTCAGTCTCAGAAATGAACGGAGCTGAATGATATGTCAGTGACTGCATGGCATCGTTGGCTCTTCTGCATTTAGTCGCTGGTTTTGAAACGCGGTATTGAGTAGTCGTTAACTTTCTTTGCTGTCGCTTGTGGGTGAGCTTCATCGTGGTCTTGAAGGGAGCCGTCATGATGTGTGTGTGGTGGCCCTCAATTGAAGGACAGTATGTGCAAAGAAATATAATTAAAGGGTCATCGAAACTTTGTTCGAGAATTGATAAAAATTTGTTGTAAAGTTGTAGAAAGATTCCTAGGATATTGCTACAGGAGATATCCTACTTATGTGGTCTCCGTGTGGCTGGAATCGGCTAACAGATCTGTCTCAAAAAAAAAGCTGGTGTTAGTGAAAAGTGAAGAAACAAAGAATCTCTCATTCCTTTCACATTACGAACGCCGATTATGTATCACGTGTTCGCATAGTTCAAGACATGCGGAAGTGAAGTGTTTTGTTTTAGAAATGTTGGAAGCATTGATTTTCATCGAACTAGCTGAGGAGCTTCCTCACTTAGTGTTTCTATTTTATAGCCCATCATGAATCGATGGTAGGGTATATTTGCATTCCCGGTAATTACCGGGTTTTCCTGCCATCTAAAACTTCGTTGAACGGCTTCTGCTAGCTTTTCAATCCTCAACATCCCATTTTTGTCTGTCTCCGGCCTGTCTCCAGTCTTATACTGCACGTAGTTCACAGCCAGAGTTGAGAATCTCGAGTAGTTCATGTGCTCGAACGCGTCTCCAGGGGCAGGAAAATCATGCAAGGTGTCCTAGATGAAGTTTTAGTGTCACTCCTGGACATCGAGGAGCATCTCACTATTGGACTTACGTTCACTTTGCTGTCAATCAGTTTCTCCTGTGAAATGTTCATTAGCGTTTCCATCTCCTTGATGAACACAGGACATATTTGATATACTCACAACTCTAAATTGCCTTTCGTAAAGTTCATACATGGTCGTGATTCTTCGAATTATATTGTCGCCAATGTGTGGAATTTTCTGCTGAATTCCAACCCAGCCCGGTGGCATCACAGGTGAAGAATTCTCTAGCCATCTAGTCCAAGGGTTTTTTCCATCTGCCCGTCCTGGATAAAAGAATGGTAGATCTTTGGCAAGTTCTTTCTCCTTCTCTCGCATTTTGTTCTGGGCGAGTTTACCGTCATTTTTCAAGATGATAACATCCCGCAGATGATCTACAATTTCTGCTATACGACTCATCTTTGCGATGAATTGACGCTCTTGTGCCAAAGTTGAGAAGAGTTCGGGCGACTTTTTCAGTCTTCGACATTGGCCAAATACGGTGTTAAGATCATAGAAAATGTCGGCATACTTGGTAGGTAATGGATCGTGCATTGAGTTAAAGTCTGTATGTCTGTAAAGGCTGCGAAATTCCCAAATCAAAACGCAACAGTCTTTGACAAGGGCATCTAGAAATGCAGGGTCGCACGGCGTTCCAGGAGCATTAGCAGCTGCCACGATTAGAAAATTTCATACATTTGGTTTCTCATATTGACATACTTGCTTCAACTCCTGGATTGTAACGACTATAAGTTAGAGATACAGAACTACCACCCATTTCCATACCAGCCAGCAGTTCGCATTTTCGTAGTGTCGCAGCTAGCTCCACAAATGTTGCGTCCGAAAAAGCTGATGGATCCTGCGTGTTGATCTTATCACGTTTCCAAGTTCTGATAGCGTTGAGAGGAGCTTCATGAGCAGATCGATGTTTATTGCGCCGTAAACTCCGTTTTCTCCTGTAGGCTCCTTGTCGAATTTGTAGACGAGTTCTGGCTTTCATATTGGAGCTGCTGTAGTTATCGTGAGGTATCTAAATGTTGCGTTTCTGTGTTTCAATGAGTCGAAATTGTTGTTACAAGATTCTCGCCGAATTACCTTATTGATCGCAAGGCGGCCAGATCTATCACGTGTCCAACAGCATCTACTGTCCAAGAGAAGAAGTTCGAGGAAACTCCACCGCCGAGTAATTAATCTGCATCCTCCATCAACTATCCACTCTTAAATCGCGACTCTACTGATGATACTAGTATGGGTACAATGGGCACGTTTGGGCTCAATATCCACATGGATCACACCAACGTGCTAGATCAACAGCTTCAGCCTGAGCACTGCAGACTTTTATATGGTGACGAACCAATGGGTATGAACTTCGCACCAACAGAAGCTTGGCAAACGGTTCAGCAACAGGATCTCTACACCTTCTTTTCCCCCCAACAACAATACTAAATATTCTCTTCTCTAACATCACGTACTCGTCAACTCTTCATGACGTGACCTGTGTTTCACGACTTACGACTTATGGAAAGGAGTTGGAATTTGGACTTTGATGTCCTATCGTTACTGCACTCATCACATGTATATATTCTTCTTCTTTTTTTTCTTTCATGTTTATATAGTTTCTCAAGTCTACAAACTGCTTTATCGGTTTGTTCATCTGAGATTGTGCCTGTGGAATGGAAGGAAATGGAATCCAATTCATTGGATGGATTGTGAATACGGATTTGGTGAATGGTTGGAACTAAAAGCTGTACTTAGATTTCGCATACGGTTTACATGGTCTATATTATATATACAGAAAAGACTTTTCAAACTTCATGATACCCTTTGATTACTTCCTACTCTGCGACAATGAATCGTGCTTTTTTTCTATGTGCCTTCCATGACACCATTCATCATTACGAAAATCTCAACATTTTCTCCTTCATCTTCATTCTAATAATTACAATTCACTTTGTTTTTCCGTATTCAATTTGTGCGATTGTGTGAGAATTTGGGGGGGGTGAATATTCTTCGCTTGCTCTAATCCCAGCTCTCGCAACTAAGGGGGCTGGTAGTTGTGAAGCATGAATATCAAAGTGAATGCTTATCCAAGCGAATTGTTCTCAAAGTGAATTAGTATCAAGTAAATTGGCATGATGGTGAATTGTGGACTCAGTGAATTTGAGAAGCGAGAATCTTTCTCTTTTAAGGAGTGAAGACTCATCTGGGGAACCTCGGGTATATGCTGAAGGCCTCACTCTTAGACAAGGCTAAGATATTAAATTTATGAAAGCAGATAATGGTGAGTTGAAACTGATACGAGAATATACAAAGATTTATGTGAAATGGGTGTTCTTTGATATGTATCACTGTCATCTTACAATGTCTGCTTCTTGTTTCCCTTTTGTGACTAATTATAAATCTTATATACCATAGTAGAGCGGCATGTGTGTGTACATAGATATTCTGGAATTATGTTATTATACTATTGGTATGACAGGCAAGGTAAACACATCTTTCTTCCCGCCACTTGTTCATTCTTACTTCCTGCCTTCTGTGCTGGTTCTAGTCTTAAGTTTCCAGTCTCAAGTTTCCTTCCCAGTCCACTCACTACTCCAAATAAATGTACTACAGCGCCACTCTGTGTTCTTTTCTTGCTGACCTGATGGTCCCAGAGGTCGAGGACACATGTAGAAAGATCTACCACGGTTGATGCCTTGCTTCTTCGTTATATGGCTGATACATGGCTCCTTGTGTTCGCATTTGGGTGGAATGCGTTTAGTTAATAGCTTGGACCAGGATTCTTTCGCTACTATGGGGTCGTGTACTTCTTTTTCCTGTCGTGATTGATGTGACTTCTCGATTTCCTCGTCGTTATTTGTGTTTCCTTCGGCCTTGAGGGGCGAGTCGTTTTCTGTACTGCAGCCAGCAAGACACTCTTGAGCCACCGATTCTGCAGGTGTTGCTGTTGAAGAATCACTCGTAGACAGGGAAGGAGAATCTGCTTTATGTGCTGTTTGTACTACTTGCGGCGTCTTAGATTTAAAGAACCCCATCAAACTACTTTGGCCTTTTCCCAATTGTCCCTTATTCCCCTTCCCACTAGAAGGTCCTTTGTTTGTTTTGGCTTCCACCTTACTGCGCTTTGATGGTTGTGACACTAGTTGCAATGCATCGGTGGACCTCTTGACTGGTGTAGACGAGGATGATGATATGAAAGACTTTTTCGGAGAAGTTATTTTAGTAGGAGATGCTCTGGGTGGGTTGCCATCATTCGATATGCTGAATGGCCCATCCGTTTGTGCTGACTCTAGTCCATTTCCAGCATTGGACAAATTCGAGGGCAAAGCAGCAGTCGTCAAGCTGGTAGGCTTTCTGGTGAACATATCACGAATACTCTGCCGTCGATCAAATTCTGGAATTAGTTTGGCAGAGGTTGGCAGTAGATCCTTCATCGACCAGTCCCGCACTCTCACTCCGTTCTTAAACATATCCTTACTCATGACATCGCGGACATCAATCTCGACACCATCTAATTCCACTCTAGGCTTCAAGGTAGCGAAAACGGGACAGTGGTCCGAGCCCATGAGCCCCTCCTGGATGTTTGAATCTTGGAACCAATCTTTCCTATCCTCGCTACATAGAACGTAATCAATCCTTGAGCCAAAGTTTCCAGGTCTGGCGTTCATTTTTTGATCCCAGCAGGTGAACATTCCCTTCCGTGTGGGATGAAAGCCACGGCATATATCCCACATGACTTGTGGCTCTTTTCCTTCATCTCTGTCTCCGATTACCTTTCCTCCGATGAGCAGATGATTGAACAGTCGGCGAGCAGGTGTTGATATGTATTCTTCCACTGTTAGCCCTTCTTTCTTCAATTTCTCTTCTGCATTGGCTGTATCAATTTCCTCTCTAATAACGTTAAGGTCCCCAGTCAAAAACACACTCTTTCCTAGAGCCACAAGATTGCGTACTCGCGTATCGAGAGCATTCAAGAAGCCAATGCGGAACTCATCACGAGCTTCGTCGCGGTTTGCGGGACAATATACACCAATGAGAATAAATGCAGGGAATTCTAGGATAACGCATCTTCCCTCCGAATCCAAAGTTGCGGCATCGAGGAAGTAGTCCTGGAGTTGAGCGCCTGTGGGATATCCTCCGATCTGCTGATCCTTGGGGAGGTCACGGAAGCTGGTTGCAGAATTTGGAGGAGTTAAAACTCCGGTGATACCCTCCTCGGCACGTATTGGAGCGCACACTGAATTTCTTGTATAGATGGCAACTCCGGAATATCCTTATGTCATAATGTGAGTACAAATCCAGAAAGTAAAAAAATCAGCATACCTTTCTTGTACTTTGGAAGACTAAAGTAGACATCCCAGCCTGGCACTAATACCATATCATCTCTGAGATCTTTCCGCTGAATTTTGGTTTCTTGCATTACTAGGATATCAGTTTCGAGGATATCGAACATTGCCTTACACATAAATTAGAGTGCATTTCCACAATGGATATCATTTGGGCCTGCTCACAGAAAAGGTTCTCTTCTCGCGCCATGGTTGATAACCAAAAGGATTCCTGCTCAGTTTTCAACGTCAGTTTACAACACATAGTCAAGCGTTTTTGTAAATCAGCTATCTTTCGACGCTGCAAATCACCAACCTGATACCATTAACTGTGCGTTTGTTAGTGATGCATAATCGTGAATCCTATCACACGCGCTTACCATTCCAAGTTGTAATTCTCAGCCCATGATTACTATCATTGACTTGGTCCATAATTGCTATCTGTCGTTTGCATTAATCGTTTGTTTCCGTGGCGATATGATGGAGCTGAAGAAGCAGTCTCCAAGGTCCAGATAGAGAATCTCGATACGGGATTCGCAAATGCATCTCCCAAGAATTGAAACAAATATGACGATTCCCTGGGAACGATGCACAGTAAAGAGAGACACAGTGACTACTTAGCAATTTATTTAAACTACTTCATCCTCACTGATTCAAGACTTCGCCCAACAATAAGTCGCACCTGCACCTGCACAACGTTCACGTCTCCACGTGACAGTAGCCCAAAGCTATCTACCGAATCGGGCGATTCCCGATGACCAAGTATATGCCTTAGGCATTCACGGTAAGTTCTCGTTTCCAAGGTGGAGATACTCAAATTGGCAGCAACATACGATAATTCTACAGCGTCGCGGCGCATAACTACACTACAACCTAGACACAATCGCAACCACCAAACAATAAACATGTTCTCTGCACGAGCAACCCGAGCAGCCGCCCAGCGCGTTGCCCGCCCTCAATCTATCCGAACCCCATTCCAAAGACGCTTTGCCAGCAGCGAGAGTACCTTCACCGGCGCCGAGAACAACGCTTTCAACCGTGAGCGTCAGGCTGTTAAGGACCATGCTGCCGCTACCAGTGGTACGTAAACACTGTCTTCCAAGATTTTGCGGAATTCAATGGCGGCAATACTAACGAAAACCGCAGATCTCTGGAGAAAGTTGTCAATCTAGTAAGCTATACACCATATGGACATGTGCGGGCGTTGGGAGACTGGTTGGGAGTGATATGGCAGGAAGGAAATTGAGGCTGATTTTTGGGGCAGTGCTACGATTCCTTGCTTGATCATCGCAAGTGTCAATGCTAAGATCTTGTGGGATGAGCATTGGGCTCATTGGGATCACATGGAGCCTTTGGAGGAGAGAACTGAATACCCATATCAAAACATGAGAACTAAGAACTTCTACTGGGGTGACGGAGACAAGGTAAGTTGACTCCCCCTCGTATTTTTGCGAGATTTAATACTAATTGTATTCGTAGACACTTTTGTAAGTTTTTACTGAATCTGTTCCGAGAAGGCGAGCTCTAGTGGACCGCATGATCAAATTGTACGAGATGAATACTAATAATGCATGACAGCTGGAACGAGAAGGTCAACTACCACAAGAAGGAGTAGATTTAATGACCAGTATGGAATTGGTGCTTGCTCTGTTACTTCACTGGACAATGGAGGGGGTCTTCGGGAAGACGGGAGGTTGAACATAGAATGGCATTCATTAGATGTAGTCTTGTTTTTTGATCGTAACAATACTTCCCATTACCATTTGCATCATGAATTTTCCACCTCAAGCTCCTCACCTATCCACGCCTGACTTGGTGGTGTATGAACTCAAATGTACGTTAGATATGCACCGCAGTTCTCCGCTGCTCGAGGTCCAAAAACGATGAAGCATAATCATTTGCCAATGTTTTGTCTCCCATAGCCATCATAACCATTGCCTTCTTAGCCCGTGACTCACATTGCCCATTGATATCCCCAATAGCACAGAATTCCTTGAAAGCTCTATCAAGAAATTCCAAGGATTTTGTTAAATTCTCGGTTCTTCTTGGATCACCTGCTGCTGCCTGTCCTGCCAATCCCATGAATGACTCTGCAAGACAAGAATAGAGCTGCGCGCTAAGTGAACAATTATCGCATTCCAATGCTCGAGGAATGATGGCGATGACGATTTGACAGGCGGCTTGAAACTCAGAAAGTGCGACCAAAATATTGGCCACAGCTCCCATTGCGGCCCAAAGCGCTGGCATCAAGCGTGCTCGCCATGCTATACTTGCTGCACGAACCGCAACAGAAAATCCTTTTTCTGGGCGACCTGTCCTGCTTTGTAAAAGAGCTTTCATTGTCAGTATCTTAACTCGCAGATTGATATCATCTCCGTGTTCCTTTAGCGAAGAGGCTAGTTGCTCCAATTTTGACAACGCGGCAGCAAAGTCTGCTCGACGGACAAGGTAGTCAATGTGAAGGGTGCTGATCTCAAAGGAGAGATCAGAGTCCGCTTCAAGACCGTCGCATTGAAGTAGCTGGGACAGAATGTGATCAGCTCCCTCTAGATTGTTGGTATGTAGGTCATTCCTAAGACGCAAAATTCCACGATACCTCAGCCAGTACTGATTGGCCTTCCATGAACGCAAAGAGTTGGAATCTAAACTCTCTAGCCGTTCTGCTGCTTGGTCATAAGAACCTCGCTCCATTAGATAATGTGCTATCCGGCAGGTAAACCTCAATGTATCATCAAACAGGCCGTACTTGGCATGACATCGGATAAATATCTCACTATACTGCTTGGACAGACAAACCAGTCCTAGGCGACCCCACAAGGAAGACTGCATAGCTGTTTGTGGTCCCATCATACTCTTCATACCTTTCTCCGTTACCAAATGAGAACTCTTAAGTATACCCTCAAAAGCGCTCGCCACACTCTCGCCATTCGACAGTGTCAACTTTGCCTCACTGAGAAGCGAGGAGCTCCAGAGTGTCCACATACCAGTCTCTTTAGCCTTAATCCGTAGGAACGCAAGCCCCTCTTTCTCAACACCTAGCATACTGGTTGAGCCAGAGCTTTGAATGATGTTTGGATGTGCCTTCCCAAAATGATATAACCAGTTTAAGGCGAAATTCAGACATGCCATGTCCTTGTTCTCTCTTGCGGTAGAGACAGTCTCCAGCATTGCGGCTACTGCCTCATCGTAACATTCGAAATCGGCTTGAAGAACTGCAAGGTTCATGAGAGCATATTGGTAGAACAATCGGTCTCGATTTTGCATCGTGTAGTCAAAATAGCGATGAAGACTATCGAAGGACGAAGGGTAGTCGCCAGATCTCCATGCATCTAGAAAGCTAACAGACCATCAGCTTACAGTAAAAATTGGGGTTGTGTTGTACTAACGTCAGGTAGTGAGATAAACTGGGCGTGATTATACTATCATCCAGGAGGGATTTAAGCTTAGATTTTACTTCTATTGGCATTCTTGTACCCAGTTCTGAAAATGATTAGAAATACTCAGATAATGAATCCAAAAAACTTACTCTGCATCTGCTCCACGTGGAATTCGAGAAGCTTTTCCACATCATCAGTACTGACCGACCCAGCGGCGTTCTCCTCCTCCAGACCACCATAAGCTATGTGAGCCAAGGTTTCGGTCTCCTCAAGCCCCCAATCTTCCTCTCCTTCTGTGAGCACTCTGTCGCCAGCCCAGATCCCAACCACACGCCCTCTCCTAGCCCAGTATGCCTTTGACGGCTGCCTCCATCTCATGAAAGTCGTCCATAACTGTAACACATCGCCGAACTTTAATCGTTCAAACTCAATTTTAGCTTTTCGTAAGAAGCTACCAAACGGCGATATACGAGACAATAATATCATATCCCCTGCAGGTGGAGGAATCCCCATTTCACCATCCTTCTTAATCTCCTCCCGGGATTTGGCCAAGAGATTGTTCAGCCTCGCGAAAAATTCATGCAAAGCATCTAGACTGTCGACTTTCCAAAGCTTTGCAAGAAAGTGATCCCACAACGACCTTCCTGGATGCCCGGAAGCTGCGCTGTGTTGCTTGAGTAAAGACTCGAAGGCTTCTAGATCGAGGACTGGGTATAGTGGGGTAGAGGCTCTTCCTGCTTGCTTCACAGAGCTTGATGGTAGCAACTGTGCAAGAACGAAAGAAAGTATAGATACTGTGGAAGATGTTGAGACAATGCCATCTGTATATAGCTCTATGAGTATGAGCAAACCGATTTTGGAGGGTGTCAAATAGCGTGTCATGGTCAAAATAATCCGACGGTTTCTTTGCACATTGAAAGGTCAATATTTGATAGTTACATCCCACTTGAAGTAAATAATTGTTTTAAGTAAAGATCAAGAGAACGGAAACCTGAATTTGGGGATATATTTATTGTTACGGTTTGAGGAAGGAGGGAAGACGCGTCGAACGCGGTTGTCGCAAGATCTTGCTGGGTGGGCTGGCTGGAGTAAATACTCTAAATGATTTACAAATAGCACAACTATTGTACGGTTCGTTACTATGTGAAAATCATGTTCATGGGTGAATAATTTGGAAGATCATTGAGAGTTTTAATTATTGGATAATTGAGTATATTCAATTCATGACCTAGTAGTACACGCGCAAAGCAAAGAGATTTGGTAGGGACGTCATTGCGTAGATGCAGCAGAAACTCCAGCTCCGGTGGGTATGATGAGCCAGATCAATCTGAAATCCATTGAATCCTTTAAATTTATTATGAAATTTTTCATGAAGGAGTCTTGTCGAGTTTGTCTTCACCCCATCTGATTTTCTCGCCATGTTTGCTCTTCAGTTGACCTTCTTCCTTTCTGCCATCCTCTTCGAGATCGGCTTCACTCAATCCATTGGTGGCCCAAATCCTTTCCACACAAAGCTGGAAATCACCAGGAACTCTATCAATTAATCCTATCCCTACCGTCCGTACCTTTTGTCTCAACATTTCACCTTGTGGTTCTACGACAACACCATGGTTCGTCCGTACAAACTCATTCCACTTAATTATAACTGTTTCCCACTCTCCGGGGCTTCGCGCATAGAGTCTATGTTGATGTATATCCGTAGGCACAATTGATTCCGTTTGTATGTTCACAAAATACTTCCTCCCGTCACTTTTTATGCGTAGGGCAAGCAATCCATACGCATCTATGTTCCATAGTGATTTCCCAAATATCGTCGATGGCTGATCGAGAGTTCTCCAAGCCGCATAGCCACTGCGCTGGATTTGGGGTCTGTTCGGGGGTAGGTCTATCGAAATATTTCCATGGAACTTAACATGTCCATTCTTGTTTTCGGAAGAGCTAGGGTTTGGGTTCTCGGAGGGGGTACCCAGTCGAAATGCACCTTTGAAAAGCCTCCCATATCAGCATCAGAGAAGACTTTACAGCGCTTTAGGGATTCGGGATTGTGGAAATTTGCGAGATGCAATGGAGATGTAGCTCTTCTTGTGCCTTCTGCGGTGAGTGCTAGAAAAAGTAAGTTGAGTAAGTTTGCCTATATTCGAGAGTTGAGCTGTCTGGAAGATTTACCACTTATTGATAAACGTTTAAACTCATCTACACTTCGGCCAAAGAAGCCCTTGGAAAGAGGAGAAGTGACCCTCATGATGAAGGGTTTTGATATTGTTTGTGTATGATCAATGAAGAATAGGATGGACAATTGTGCTTGAAGAACCCTATGTGTACCCAGTAGTAGTGATATACTGGATGCTTGCAGTTGAAGTAAGTAGTTGAGTAGTTGTATTGCTGTGAATATGGTCTACATATGGCAACTACCTACTCGAAGGTAGTATAATAAAGCTTTGATATTTGCTCCCAAGCTCCCCTCCCGATGATCGGCCGCCTTTGATTATCTCTCATGGTTATTTTGGGTTGTTGCTTCCAAGTGCACGTGCTGGCTGTTTGTCCTGCTGCTGCACTCGGAGTAACCTCGGAGTAGGAGGGGCATTTCAATAAAATTTATAAATATGAATCGAGTCAGAACACTAGAAATACTTAAACTTTACATAACACAACTACATCATAACAAATCCAACAATATCCGACAATACACAATATTACTCAAGATCACCCAACAATGACAGATTCAGCTCTTACCACATTGACCCTTGATGGTCTCGCAAAGATCGCGGAAGGGAAAGTTCGAAATCTCTATGAGATTGATGAGAAGACCCTCCTGTTCGTTGCATCAGATCGCATTTCCGCTTATGACGTGATTATGGAAAATGTATACCTTCCGTCTTGTACTCGAGGACTAGAGCTAATGATATATGTAGGGAATTCCCTCTAAAGGCACACTTCTCACTCTCCTTTCCGCGCATTGGTTTGAGGTCCTCACAGGTCTAATCCCTAATCTCAAAACTCACTTCCTGACTCTCTCCCTTCCCTCCTCCATCTCCTCATCCCAACACTCACTTCTCCGAAACCGATCTATGCAAGTACGTAAGCTGAAGATCTTTCCTATCGAGGCCATCGTACGCGGTTACATCACTGGTTCCGCCTGGAAAGAATATCAAAAGTCATCTACTGTCCACGGCATCCAAATACCCGCAGGCTTGCAAAATTCCCAAGCTTTCCCTCAAGGAGCTATTTATACACCTTCTACCAAAGCCGAAGCTGGCCAAAATGATGAGAACATCCATCCTTCAGAGGCAGCCAAGATTGTAGGTGAGAAGTATGCGCAGCGCATCGAAGATTTGGCAATTAAGCTATACACTACTGCTCGGGATTATGCTGCAGAGCGAGGCATTATTATTGCGGATACCAAATTTGAGTTTGGATTGGACGAGGAAACCGACGAAGTCGTTCTTGTAGACGAGGTTTTGACACCCGACTCGAGTAGATTCTGGCCTGCATCCAAATACGAAGTTGGAAAGGAACAAGAGAGCTATGATAAACAATTTTTGAGGAATTGGTTGACGGCAGAGGGCCTCAAGGGCAAACAGGGAGTTGCAATGCCAGATGATATCAAGTCGCAAACAGCTGAGAAGTACCGCGAAGCATTTGAGAAATTGACCGGCAGAAAATGGGCAGATGCTCTCAAGGAAGACGAGTCTAAATGAACGTACCACATATGAATACATAGACAGCAATGAGGTATACCCCCCGGAGATGCTTTTAGATACCATGACTCTTTTAACAATACCATGCTGATCGGAATACAAGTCTCGAATTACCTATACTTTGTTGTGATTTCTTGAAAGAGGAAATGACAACTGTAGGAAGTCTACTGTAGTCAAGTATTCCAAAGGCACATGTACATGAAGAAATCAATATCTACCAAGTAAGTGCTAGGTACTTTGTAGATGACAACTTCAATATAATGCTAGGTAGATACCAATCAAGAATGTTCAAGGCATCATTCTTTTACTGAGAAGAAGAAAAGGTCAAAACTCGCGTTATTTTTTTGCCTTCATTACATTAAATGCAATTCCCACGGTATCTAGAGACGCAAAGTATTTTGATGCAATTGAGTTGAATTGCTTTTTGGAGGGAGTGGTCATAATTGACATGGCATGATCATAAAATTTGTAGTCAGAGATTCAATGGCTTCATACATGCCAGGTACTACTAGGTACCTAGTATCCAACCGAAACCGTAGAGTTGTTGGCGGGGATCAATGAATCAATGAGGAGTTCAATGCTATCGATGCCAATCTCGATTTCGATCTTGATCCCTTTTCCCGCGGAATTGAGCCCCGCATTCAGACGGAACGGAACCACTTCCCCATGAAGATGAAGAGCCTCAAGATTCCATGGTATATATGAATTTACTACCTGCAAGTCGATATTTATGAATTCCATATCAAAATACATTGGTTGAATTATTGTTCAATCTACCTAGGTAGGTAAGGAATTGAGCTTCCGACTGTTTTACCCATATCACCATGGGGGATCAATGACATGTCCAGATGTCAACAGGTATTGATTCATTCATTCATTCATTCATTCATTCATCCACCAGTCTCTGAGAGGAAAGCACGCCTAGGAATTCCTTCCCCATGAGCAGTTTTGAATTGCCATTAATGAATGGTATTCGATGTTCCCTGCCTACTAGGTACTACTCGGTAGCCATCAATCAAAGTTATTACGAGTTCAACTTCAACAATCATCAAACTCTCGCTTTAATTCATGATCAGTTTGAGTTGGAGGCCATTGGACTGTCCTCCCTCGTAGAGCTTCGAGCTGCTTTCTCGTGGGTAGCAGTATTCTCTATTGTTACATACTACTTTGTATCAAGTCTAGGCGTCTGGGTGTCTGGGTGTCTGTCTATGCGTTTATGTGCTTGTGTGTTTGTGTCTTTCTTTATGTGCCTGCTTAGATATATGAATGTAGGTAGTAGGTAGTAGGTAGTAGGTAGTAGGTAGTAGGTAGTAGGTAGTAGGTAGTAGGTAGTAGGTAGTAGGTAGTAGGTAGTAGGTAGTAGGTAGTAGGTAGTAGGTAGTAGGTAGTAGGTAGTAGGTAGTAAGTAGTAAGTAGGTAGGCAAAGACTGAGTAGGTAAGCACTCACGCACTCCTCACTCCTCACTCCTCACTCCTCACTCATATTTATTGCCGGCTGATCGCTCCTTCCCCTTTCAAGGATTCCCCGGGGTTTATATTTCCGTGTCATTCCCGTTTCGCTCTTTTCGCCCTCCTCACTCTTTCCCTCCATACGAACTCGGGCCGTTATATCCATGAGGGATCTATCCAGGTACTTATATCCGCTTAATTGTACACCATCGCTCTTTCTGGAAATCCAATATAAATAAAGCTTCAATTGTGAATCTGTTGATACTTTCCTCTTCCCAAAAACAACACACTTTCTCACGTATACCATTGTTTCCCCCCTTTTCTCTTGTTTCCTCCTTCATCTCGACTCTTTCCATACAATCTCTCCATCTTTTCTTCTTCCCGACAATCTTCTTTCGTCCTTTACTCTTTTCTCCTTCCTCTTTCGCCGATTCCTGTACACTTACTACCCGTCCTGTTGACCGTAACAGAGCACAATTGTTAAGCTACATCTGCACAACGCTTGTCATACTTGTACTATTCAATTCATAATTCCTACACTTTCTTCTCCTCGGTATTCAAGCTCCATTTAATCATGTCGCCTGCTACTCCCTCCTCGACTGGTGGTGGTGGTCATACCTTTGGTATGCACTCAGCCTCATCCACCTCCGGTTCAAGTTACGATACTTCTGGTTCGCATTCTGCACTTTCTACTCAGATTGAGCCATCGCCTGCTAGCACATATGGTAGTTCTGCTGCCAGTGATTCTGGTATTCCTCTGACTCCCGACAATGAAGGTATGTATCTCTGCTCTCCTCTCGCCTCCTTTCCTGCTCTCTTCCCCTCCACCAAATATGTTCCTTCCATGTCGCACCATGCATTTTTTCACTTTTGCAAGACACCATCCTCCCCTTCATGTTTTTATACCACAATTCGCACCATCATGTGTACATCCAATATGTCTTTGCTCAAAAAGGTTGCCGAATTATATGAATCATGTATACGCTATATTTGTATACTCTGTTTTCATTTATATCTGCCATCCTGCCATCATTCTTCATCGTCGTCAAAATCATCTCTTCTTGGTTTAATCATTTATATACTCTTGCTAACATCTTCTCAAAGGAGCACTTCTTACCAACGTTGCTCATCTTAGCATTGATGATCATAGTGATGTTGGAGACAATGTTGGATCTTCTGGTCACCATTCTACCAGTAGTTCCAGAAACGCCAATCTGTAAGTCCCCAAACTCACATGCCTTCTAATCCTTCATCTACTAACACTTCCAGTTACTCGCCACCATTTGTTCGTAATGGCGCTCAGAGTAATGCTGATGATCCATTTCAATCACCAAGCAAGAATGGCTCAAAGTACCGCAACCATGATCAGCATACTCCCAAGGCTCCAAGACATTCTCAGAGAGATATTCATGGTCCTTGGCGTTCAAGAAGCTCAAGCAACAGTTCCGAGTTGTCTTCATCAAAGCCCAAGTCAAACCACGCTGGTACTGTTGACACCAACTACGGTGAAACCAAGCGCAAGCTCTCATTTCACGTCCAAGAGCATGTCTCTGAGGAGACTGATGCTGCAGGCAATAGACTCAGCGGATACACTGTTGTCAAGGCTGAGGATGCACAGGCTGTCTACCCTCCTTCTTGTTGTGTTTTCGTTGCAAAGTAAGTTTTCTACGTTCTCTTTGGTGTTTTCTTTTGTCTTCGCACTTCTCCTAGGTGACTGATACTAACCTTTCGCAGTCTTCTTCAATCCGAGAACGAAGACTCTCTTCAGATGGCTGTCACTCAAGTTTTCCGCGAATATGGTCCTGTCTACGTCAAGATTCGCCGTGATGGCAAGCATATGCCTTTCGCATTTTGCCAATACACTGTAAGTCGTTATCATGCTGTGCTTCTTCTATTTGTATCTGACTTTTACTAGAAGCAAGAACATGCTGAGAGAGCCATCAAGGAAGGCAGAGGTCGTTTGATTAAAGGCCGTCCATGTCGCTGCGAAAAGGCCAAGGCACATCGTAAGTTGGTCGTTCTCTACAACTTTGTTTGTACTGACGCTTCTCAGGTCTCTTTTTCATTGAACGCAAGTATGGCCCAGTCGTCACTCCGAGTGAAGCCAGAGACCTTCTTCAGCGCTTTGGCAAGATTGAACTTTGTTACACCGCTTCTCACGTCGAGCGTACTGCACTCAACCTTAACGAAGGCGTCATCGTTCAGTTCGAAATGTACGATGAAGGTCAAGATGCTCAATCTGTAAGTCCAAGTTTTATGCTTCACACTCTTGGTGTTCATGCTAACTTGGTCCTAGGCTTTCCGCAACCATGATCTTTACAAGCTTCAACCCATTGCAGGCCTTGCAGCACCTGCTCAGCAGTCACCACCTGCCGCAGAAGTTGATGCTACCAAGGCATACTTAGCAAGATATGATGTTGATCGTCGCTCAATTTTCGTTGGCAACCTTCCATTGGGTACTTCGGAGCAACAAATTCGAGGCCTCTTCGAGCACTATGGTGATATTCAAGACATCAATCTACGAGAGAACGCATCTAAGTTTGAACGTGAGTTGCCCCCTTCTTTGCTGAAAATCCACAAACTGACCTACCGCGTTTTTAGCAGAAGAGAAGTTTGCTTTCGCCTTTGTCGAGTTCAAGTCACCAATTGCAGTTGTCAATGCTGTTAATGCAAAGGTAAGCAAGACATGTCTTTTGCCTTTTTTTGACTCTCAACTAACATTGCCATAGAACGGATTTACTTTCGGTGGAAAGTCTCTACGAGTTGCTCAAAAGGACTCTGAGAATGGTGGTAGCAGAGGCAGATCCTCCAGATCGCAGCCTTTGTCTTCCACCCGATCATTCCAGTCTCCTCGTGTTGATCGACATGTAGAGCAACAAGTCTCCCCATCTGCTCAGATGTCTCCAATGGCTTATGCTTCACCTTATGGTTACACTGCTTATAGTCCGTACTATGGTTATGCTGCTCCCTCAACTGTCTTCACTGATGGCCAAGGCCATTACTACAGTAGTGCTACATCGTACTCGCCAGCACCAGCATACTACCCAGGCTATCCTGCCAGTCCTGGATATGGCATGCGAAACCCAGCAGTGGCAACTGACTTGACCGGCAGCCCTGCTGCTCCGTCTCCATACTGCAGTTATGCTCCATATCAACAGTATCCACCAGCTCCATACTGGGGTATGCAAAGCCCACCAGCTGATCAGTTGGCTTCGTCTCAACAAGCATACTACCCGTATCCACCTGTTAATGTTGGAAACAAGGCTCACGATGATCGTTCAGCAACTCCCACTCCAAGTGGACATGCCACGGTTGTTGAGTAATCTTCCCACTATTAACAAAACCCCTCTTTCAGAACTCTCATTCGCAATTACTGCCACGGTGGTACTCGTTCTTCTTCATGATATCTGGGCAGCATATTTCTTCTAACTTTCTCGGTTTTATGGCATTATCTCTGGTGGCAACCAGGTTGTGTCTTGATGTTTACGACTACTAATTTCACGGAGTTTTACGGTATTTCTTCACCTTTGCAGGGATTTGGCTTCATCTACTGTTGTGCAGGATTCTTGTCTACTAGTCAATCATGAAAGAGCATTGTGGCTCCTGGTCTGCCATTTATATGGTGACCATCTCCCTATTGATTCTCTTGCTCCTTTGGACAAGATAGACATAGGATAGAGTCTTTTCTATTTGAACAAACCATGTACCATCAATCAGCTACATCTTAGCTTAGGTAGAGTGAAATAAAAGTATTACCATTGTGAACGTAGCTCGATATTGTAGTGACGATATGCATGCAATAGTGATCAGTGATAAATACATTGAAATGAACAATAATTTACATTCCATGGCATCGCGCTTAAAGCGCTTGTCTAATATTGCATCACCAAGTCTTGAGTTTGAATATAGATGATGGCAGTATAATTACATCTTGTTGTTGTGTAACTTCCAGCACAGTCTGCGCGAGTTGATCTCTGGACAGACGGCTAGACTATGTACTCCTCATCTGTGCCCCGTATCGAAAGGCAATTAGGGCAAATGTAGGCAGGATCATACAGAAAGCTATACAATTTTCGAGGCCATAAGCGTTTGACGAACTATCAGCAAACCCAAGTGCCGAACAGAACAGTCACTTTTAGCATGTTGTAGTATTAGACTAGAGATGTGGCAATCTTGGGCTGCGAAATAGAAAAGAAGCGTGTCACTAGCGGAGAGAGAGGCGGAGAAATGATGAAGCGTATATTCTGGGAGATAGGAACCACTGGATCAATCTCTGCCATTACCAAAGTAATTTCGCATCCGTCTCGCATTCACGGCTGTCTGCGCCTTATTTCCAGAGAGAACTGCTGTCTTGATTGTACTCGAGTTCCTCGTGACAGCTTCTTTTCCAAAAGCAATACGCTTAGCTCCAAGTAACTTTCACGTCCCTCAAACAGACCTCTGTGGCGAGCCATGATATGTCATACTCACTCACCCCGAGTGAGGCTTTAAGTATTCCAGTCGCTTGTGAGAACTCTGACAGGGGGGATTTATGTACAATACAAGTAGCTAACCCCCACCAATATTTTACACTGAGACAGATACATATTGTACAGCTCCAAATCGCCATCCATCACTCCTAGGCCATCTTCTCCCACTCATCTAGATCCTTCAACGTAGTCCCCCTCGTTGTACCCCAGACCTGCCATTCTGGATCTTGCCAATTTCTATAAATCTTCTGCACAACCAGATACTCTACGATATCCTTCTCACTGCTCCCCGGCAGCTCTTTTCCTCTATTATCCCTTAATGTCATCTTTTGTCTACTAGAAATTCGGACCACCGCTTGTCGTATCACATTGCCATCGCCTCCGGGTATCATGACAGCCTTGGTCGACATGATCTTAGGTCTTCGGTTCATCTTCACAAGGTTCCATGTAATCTTTTGCCCCCGAGGCCTCGAAGCTATGCGCTGCGCAAAACTCTCAAAAAGTCCATCGGCACACATTCTGCGCAAGCGTCCAATGTCACCAGCAGCAAAATTTTGGTACATCTCCCTGTACAGAGCTTCGGCTGCGGGGACTATCGAACCGCGCTTCAGTTGCACCTTTCTTCGTACACGCCCGGTTTTGGGAGACATCCACTTAAATGCAACGGTGGCGACGGTATCCCAAAATCGGGTCTTGAATCTCTTCCATTGGAATTTCAAAAGTCCTTTGGGGTGTTTGAACAGAGAGGGGCTGCTAGCTGCTATGAAAGTATCTGGAACTTCATTAGCTCGGGAGTTCACGAGGTGCAGGAGTCAATTGAGACGGACGTACTAGGTAGAAGGCCAACGTCGGTTGCCATTCGCGTTCCACCCATAGCTTGCATGCGCATTCTACGATCGGGGTGCTGTGCAGGATTGGCGGGAGATGCTTGTCGGGGGGTTATGACGGAGAAATATCGAGGGTTGGAGAGGGAGAATGGACTCCGAGGGGTAGGGAAGACATGTCTGCGGAGAACTTGAGCCATCGAAGCCGTCTCAATTCGAAGGGGGAGAAACAAAAAGCAGAAAGCGGCGTGGGAGGTTTCTCGTAAAGATTGCACCCCTCATTCCGTCAAAACGCTGTAACTTTTTTGATAGCAAGAGAATATTCCCATAGCCTTGGTGGCTGAATGTGGCTGTGCGTCTTGGGAAGACAGATCGACAAGGCTGAACAAGACATGAAATTGGATGGCCTTGCTTGCTCGGAATACTTTCTTGGAAGAATCTACCTGGATATACCTCCAACTACCATTGATTTGGAAACGAATTTAGGCTATTCTGCTAATTGCTACTATTTGTCCCAATCGTCTTTGGAGTACGAAATTTTGATTTGTTTTGCCCAAACTAACTGCGCACACCTTGTCTCATCCACTGACATAATATTCCAGTAGGAAGCCCCTCACCCAAGTACATCTTGCATTCCCAGCTATTGCAAAGCGGCAGCATATGCCGTAAACACTCCTCCTTCTGGCTTCCACCCGGCGTCGTTCGCACCAAGCCCCTTTTCCTGCGCCCCCTCTGAAATCCCACCCACCACCATATCTACTCCTCCCTACAAACCGAACCTGCACCCCGCCGACCCAGAAGGCAAAACTTCCGTCCTACATCCTCGTGTTGCCGTACTTCTTGGCGTAGCTAGAGTTTGGCATTTCCCGCTCCTCTTTTGTCGACTGCTTAGTATCGCTCCGGCGATCTGGTGGGGGTTACGATGTGCGTTGACTTTTATGCGAGAGTTGCTGTGGGATGAAATGAATGCTGTAGAAGCAAAGTGGACTATCGAAAAAAGATTTAGGGTTGTTGAAGTCTTTTTGGCTGTTCTGGTGAGCAAATCTCCTATCTTACGGAAAGAAAGATCCGGTGCCGTTGTCCTTTCAGTGCTAACTTTTGATATCAGTGGGTATGGACAAATTTCTCAAGACAACTCGAACATCTCCCATTTTGTGACAAAAGATATCGTATGCCGAAGTAAAACAAATGCTAATTCGCTCGAAAGTGTTTCTCATCCGCTTATCTTGCCTTCTTCTTTACGGACTGCTTAATGTCTAGATGGTATGTAAAATCCCCCAACACAGCTCATTCCGTAAAGTCACGACCTGAAGCTAGAATACATCAAATAACTAAATACGTAACATATCAGGTTACTTAACTACACTCCTCAAGGTATGGGTATCTTCATGAACATGATGGGAAGCCTCGACTAACTGTCACCCAGCAACGATCGTCCGCCTGCTCACCATCAACTTGATAAATGCATACACCACATCGTGGATCCTATATCTATCAGGGGTTCAGGAGACCCACGCTTACTTCTTCCTGCTTGGATTTGTATAGCTAGTGTACGTGCCGTCACTTGATACTCTTCCGCGTTTTCTGACCATGATACAGACACTAACATTCCTCTACCACCTGACTCATCCACGACTTGCGATACGGAAGGAGACTTCCTTATCAATTTCCGTCTTTTCAATTGCAAGTTTCATAAGCATGGTCAGTTTATTATCTCAGTTGTACCTTTCAAGGACGGACCTTCCGCCACTACCCTTGATTCTGCATATGGAAGAGATCTGGGGTATGTCAAGATAGGGTTGAACTTGATAGTGTAGTATAAGACATTCAATAGACATAATAGTCACTATTCACAAGCAAGCAACTCAAATGAAGAACGGAGAATATAATGGGCCCAGATGCCTTTATGAATTGATATCTTTACTATGCCAGTTAGGCATATCGGATAAAATTTACAGTCAGGTGCGCTGAGCATTCTGATCTGAATAGCGTGAAAAGAAAGAGAATGAAGACCTCGCTATAATAAAAATAGCAAAGTTGGAACATTCGTGTGCAAAGCCGTCCCTTATTACCGCCCAGCGCTTTCTGTGTTGAATGCGGGGGATGATTGGGAATATCTCGCCGACATGTTTGTAGAGTCTTTCGCAGCGATGGTATGGATTGAACATGCAGGCAACCACATATGATGGTGGGAGCTTACAAAGCTGCGATGGCTCGTAACGTGTGACTGACGATTTTAGAAACCGTGGACCTAAAGTAGAATTTTATTAGAAGGGTTATGACAAGCCGTATGCGTTGTTATCTTACCTTGATGGTCTTGGCATCAAGCTCTAAGCCATCTTTACCAGTGAGGAAATCTTGCACATCTTTGCGCTGGTCTCCTTGAAGCTGGATCACGTCACCCATGATGACATCGTTGACAATGGTGCCATTGCAAGCTGTTACATGCGACATTAGTACCTGATACCTCGCCATTCATCTTGTGTGATGAGACTTACCGAACTTCTTTTTGATAACCTTAAGAATCTTCTTCTGGTCAAATTTCTTTGGAAGTCCTTGAACGGTGGTCAAAGTCTTACGTCCATTACGCTCTGTAATTATTATTGTCAGTGATTGATATGTAAGTCTCCCTTGATATTTTTGACCTGGTTTCAAGGGGTGTGAAATGAACTTGACATACGTTGGATACGAATATGGATATATTCTGCGGCCTTTTGGTCTCCGGGTTCTTCGTCGGCTTCGGCGAAAGGATCTAAATTCGCGCTATTGTTAGAACTTATGCTAAAAGAAGTCATGTAACGAGCAAACAAGCCAAGCTGAGGTGTGATTGATTCCATCGACACTCGACAATGAGAATGTGCCACGATAATATAGATTGATTTCCTCACCAAAGACTTTCAAGTTCTCAATTTGAGTTCCACCAGGAGCAGCCTTTGCGGACTTTGCTGGCTTAGATGTTGCGATAGGGGAGGAACCGTTCGCGTTCAACGACGACTTTGTCTCCCCTGAGCCTTGGTCTGGTCCTGGATCTCCGGCGGCATCGGCTTCAGCGAAGGAGTCTGTGAGAGATGGTTAGTGAAAGCACTAAGCGCGATCAAAGATGATTTTGGGAATCATCAGTTGTAGGTATGTGGATGAAGATATATGCGCGGGAGTCTTCTCGTGATGTCTACTTCCCAAAGCTGAGAGTTAAAGGGGGGGGGAAAGGAAGGGCGCATACCGATCGTCTTGAGATTTTCGATGGACATAAACTCGAGTGTGCCTGGTATCTGTGGGACTGAGATACTATTTGATAAAGTTGATGGAAAGGATATAGACTTTGTGAAGGGATGTAAACGGATTTGATTTCGAGTTCGAGTTCGAGGTGGGGTGATTTAGATATTGGTAGTTTTGGAAGGGTTATGTAGTGTTGTAATGTAGGAAAGGCGGTCGGTTTTGTTGTTTAAATTAAACGGGGGGGAGTTGTGTGATTTGTGGCAAGAGAGGCGGGGCGAAGCTCAATGATCAAATTGGGTAAGTGTTGTACAAATACGGTTAAAGTGGCAAGCTTAGTGTGAAAAAGAGTCATCCAAATGACACTTTTTCTCCAATGACTCTTTCCAAAATGGTAAATAATTGGTAAGTGACCACTGCCGCTTTTGAGTTTTATCAGGGGTCCAGTGATTAGTCAGCATTGCCGTACTCGGTATTGTCTTCTCAAGTTGGATGGAGTACATCCTCGAGCTATCGTAAAGACAGTAGATACAGTAGATAGAGAGAGATAAGCACCTGCAGTGGTTGAATACCTGATGCCGTATCACCATGTCAGCTCTATAGTGCGAGGTATTGCATCTGGACATTCTTACGTATTTCCCCATCAGATAACTCTCATCGAATTCCAAAATTGACACCGTATTGTCTCTATTGAACTACCACCTACCTACGTATCCGTTGAACATTGTAAGATCTTACAGTTTCCTCTACTCCCTCCTATACAATATACAATATACATCACGATTCAACTTCACAGCAGCTTTATGCAATTACTCTCCTACAACTACTCCTACACTTGCGGAAAGAAATTAGATTGGAATTAGCCCATGTCGATTATATGTACAAGCAAATGGTACACTTTGATTATTTACCACCCACCAATGCTTCAACTTTTGCTCCAATACCAATATGTTAATTAATACCTGAAGAAGTCACCATTGACTACAAACAATGTCAGGCTTCCTCTCAAGCCTATTCATGCTCATCTATCCTCGCCTGGTCCCCATTCATTATAGACATCACCGTTCCCTTTCTTGTCTCCGTTCTGCGAATGCGCACTATATGCCACAAGTTCTCGAAAAGAGCTCCACCCCATGAACGCTTCTATCCATGTAACCGGTTTTCGTCCATACATAAGTTGCTTCTGTAATTCATTCGTAATCTGCGACCACTATGCCGATTGGGCTACTGGAGCAGCGGGAGGTGGAGGGAGAAACATTGGAAGATAAGTCTGGGGAGCGTAGATTAGCCAATTGTTACCTCCATGATGAGTTTGTGAATGAACTTACAATAACAAGCGCCATCACTGCAGCACAAGTAGATTAGTATGGGTTGACAATGTGAAAGTGAGAGAGTAAAGTGTCTTACGTGACATTCCCACTGAGAAGTATGCCGGTTGGGAGGAGGTCTTTCTCGTCTCTGGAGATTCGCCTAACCAATTTTGAATAGCGAAAAGAACAGAAGCCCTTTTATAAATTAGCATATACCTCCCTACATCATCTTCGACATAGAGATGGATTGAATCTCATTCATTGGATTGACGTACCATCCGATGAGCTTGTTGCGAGTGAACATTGCTGCCATTGGCAGAGTGCTACCTAACGTGCCACCGAAATCGCTGGGAGATTCTTTTGCAGCTGGAACTTGGTAGGGAATAACTTGAGGTGAGAGACTGTCAGTACTTTAATGTAAGATAACATGTAGAAACATCAGATACATAGCAAGAACTGGCAATAAATCAATACATACTGAGATCACCTCTTCGCATGTCCTTTCTGGCCGCCATCTTTGTTGAACGGGATAATCGTATGGTTGATATGATTAACAATGCGTAATATATCCGGATGCTTACTTGCACAATGTAATTGATGAAGTCTAGCAGATTTTGAGTTCGAGATAGTATGAGAGACTGTGCTCTAAGTTTGTCATTTCATATGAAGCTAGAAGCTAGGTATGCACATGGGTAAGATCTTACCTGTCCTGGGTCGAATTGGCGCGACCAACCTGGGGTACCGAACTACGAACACGGGCCGTACACGATCACTTTTTGACTTTTTGGGTCTCTGTATCTATCTGTCTGTCTCTCTCTAAATTCCGCTCACACCCACCTCGCCTCATCTAAACACATTATTTCCGACCACCCTTTCTCAACTGTATATCTTCATTCATACAATACATTTGCTATTCCGGAGTGTACGACATAATCACACACAATACATTATAACACGAAAAGATACTTTTACATCCATCGTTGCTTTGACACGATAATAGCCTTAGCTTCTACCAAGAGAGAAACTGCGCCTGTGCGACGTACCAATACCCTATCACATCATCTAATCATCAAATCTCCTGCGGCAATTTCCAATCCAATTCAATCACTTTTGGGTCCCGAGAACTCAGATATAACTGTACAATCTCTCTGTACCTTTTGCACATCTCATACATCACTTGCGCAGTCTGTTTGTTATTGGATTCTGATTACATTAAAGTCGCAGTTGTCGGCCACGGAATGGCGCAATCATGACCACAAAACCCCTCGTTGGGTCACAGGCCCAACGACAGTCGCAAAGGTCATTGAATACAAATATTACCTCGAGGCCCTCTCCCCAGAGGAGCTTATCGTCTACTTCCCCAACTCGAAGACACAATGAAGCGCTCATAGACTTGACGCTTGATGTGCCGGATTCTACATCGGCCCGTTATGGGCAAGCCTCGAGAGCAGGAGGGTCGCGCTTGAAGCAGGAAATCTCAAATGAATCGAGGAGTTCTGTTCAGGCGGATGCATCAAGCTTGGTTCCTTCGAATTCAATATCAAATAAACAGTTTTTGCCTCCGCGCGGTCGGCCGCAACTCCATTCCGATGTACTTCGCATGAGAGCTTCAAAATCCATTTTACCATCCGATCAAAACCACAGCCAGACCCCTGCGAAACCGTTTGCTTTCCCTGTTAGGCCCGGGCAACATCCCCCCCCTTCGCTTGACAGGCCAAGCCCGTCGATTGGGCCGACTGGAAAGAGAGATGCTCGCCCAAAGCCTTTTGTTTTAGAGGTTCCTTTGGCCGCACCTTCTTATTCACCCAATGGTAAGTCCAGCCATGATTAGGCAATATCCCAATGCCATGGTGTCTCTTTTAACCTCTCAATAGGTCATGCAGATTTCTTTCCGTGGAATGGTAATCATGCAGAAGATCAATTTTCCGAACCGGTCATCCGCCAAGGCTTCTTCGACAAGTCGCAAATGTCACAGAACGAGACAGGTTCCGCAAAGGCCTCCATATACCCATCTTTAAAACACAAAAGTGGCCTGCAAACATTATCCTCGTTATTTGCAAGCGTGCTAGCGCAGCGAAGGGCCCATGGAAATATCACAGCTGACTCAACCTTCAAGCCTCCGCCGCGTGTAACGGTCACAGATACAAAGAGAGAGATATGGCTCAAAGATCTAGCTAACCCGACCATATCACTCCGTCGCCTTAGTCGATCGATTCCTCATGGAATTAGGGGTAAAGTGCTCTTGGAACACGCTCTCAATAAAAACATTCCCATCGAACGGGCTGTCTGGTTAGCCAAATGTGTTGGTGCAAATGAACTGCGGTCTTTCAAGAGAAAAGGTGCAGGTGGTGCCTTCGCTATGGGAGGAGAAGCGAAATGGGTGCGAGATTTCACAGTTTCTGTTGAGCAAGTATTGGAAAATATTATTGGGTCGTGCGGAGAAAAGGACTTTCGTCGCAAGATCTATTATGCGTAAGTATAGCTCTCTTCTGTCCTTGCGCATTCACTTACGAGCATGACAGGATTCGTTTGGCAGCTCACTTTCATGCCGAATGCCTTCTGGATCGCGAGCATTACATAGATTGGATATTATCTTCCCTAGAGACGACTTCTCAAGCAAAATTACCAATGTGGCTATTGATTGCCCAGATGTATTGGGAGGATATTTTGAAGTGTCGGAGGTTTGGGCGACGATTCACAGCTGTTTTGTTGAATCGATTTTCGGAGGTATGGCATCATCATTCATTTCTCCCTCACATAGCTGACAGTATTTCTCCCAAGACAATCAAACATCCAGATGCTGATATATTGGGACCTTTGATTGGTCGTTTGCGCATACTTATAACTAAATTGATGACTTCAAATCCGGACAACTTTGTCTCTCCTGAGATTTGGTCCAAGCACAGGGAAGTCCTTCAGGCTTACCTCAGCTACTCAGACGAGCTTCCTATGTCTATTTGGGATGAGATCAATCGCCGCAATATGCGACTCACTACTCTAGCTCCTGAAGCCCAGCATCCTCCTCAACAGCGCCTTTTCCATATACTAGACAAGTCACTTTTCACCCTGTTCACACCCGAGATCATAGATATCTGCTGGCAACTTGATGATGACAAGACAGCTCTTGTTCATGCAATTTTGGATTGGTCGACATCATGTTACAGACCCGGACATGCAAAAGTATTCATCGGTGCTCGCATTATACGAGCCTGGAGAAGACTGGGCGCCGACACGACTGCGGCCACTCTATCCTTCCTTGACTCCAGTGCTTGCGAGATTGGGCGTAATAAGTCTTCGTTTTATCACCTTGTTTCCGAGCTAGCGAGATCGAACGACTTTTGTATCCCGACATATCTTCAGTGGCTGATCAGCCGTGGTGGGATACACGATCATTCCGACCTGGCACCAGGCGGTCCTTGTGGAACGAGACTCCTTGCAGAACTTCCAATCCAAAATTTGAGCGAAGAAATGGTTGGGTTGCGCAGGTCTTTACTCCATCGTGCCGAGTACCCAATAGACACTGAGGACCGCAAGGTCGCGGCTAGCATTTCTAATATAAGCGACGCCTTCCGAATGATGCCAATAGCTTCAGAACGGCGATTTCCTCAAGTAAACCAGGGCTTCAAGGGCTTAGATGATATCCAATCGCTGAATCGCACGAGCAAATCCCACATTGGGTCTTGGCTTCTTCGCGAAGTTGAACTACAGATGCTACCGTCAAGCAAACCACTAAACCAATGGGGAAATCCATCACCTGCAGCTCATGATACTTGTGGACTCACGGCGGCTGCGTTTGGCATGGTGCGAGACTTCCTGGAATTTGTAGATGATTTCACTATGCTCGCCGAAGTGATAAAGATTGCCACAACCTCAGCTGATCCTCAAACTATCTCGTCATGCGCCGACACACTTAATATGCACGCCGAGGTATTTGCTGGGATCGGAGCAATTAAGGACCTGTTTGATCTCCTTATTAATCGCGCACGCTCGTTTGCAGATGATCGCGACATTATGCCACGAGTTATCCTAGGATCCTTGTTAGACCTTTCATTCAGAATGCCCGAGCATCAACCACTTACCGCGCAACTCGCTCGCCAACTTGCTCTGAGTGATAGAAAGTGTGTCGCCGACGTTTGTTCTCCGGTATCAGATCATATGGCAGGTGGATCACAAAACAACGAAGCCGAGTTCGTAGATGAAATCGAGAAGCTTCTTGCTAATGGTACAAGCATCGATCGAGGAACAATGGACCGGCTTTTCCAAAGAGTGACTTGTCATTTATCGATCTCATTGGATAAGTCCCCAGAGCAGCAGCGAAAGTGTGTATCATTGTTGACAACTTTAAGAGATTTCAATCCTCAGTCATTTGGTATATTGATGGCTAGCTGGCTGTCCTATATTCAGAAGTCAGAACATCGACCCAGCATGGTGAAAATCTGGGGCCCAATCATAGGACTGGGTTGCCTTTCCATGAAAGATCTGGTTAATGCCAGCTTAAAGAGTGAAAAGGACGATCCCAACTCAACACAAAATGTGAACACGATCGTATCTATGGAACTACTGGCCTTAATTGCGACCCCACTCAGCTTACCGGAGATCTTGACACCAGACGAAGCATATCGCTTCCGAATTGTGCAAAGTCGTATGCCAATTGACAACCCTGAACTAACATTAACTGTTATCCGATCAGCGATCGAGGCGTGCTCAGCAGCTGTCCACGACATGCAGTTTCATACTTTGGATATCTTGGGTAGCTCAGCTATGCATGACTTACTTCAGACTCTAGTCTTGGTTGGTGGTGATATGGTCGGCAAAATCATAGTGCACCCTTTGTCGTCAGGAACTGCCAGCCAAGAAGCTTCAAGAGTATTGGGTACCTCGATAAACAAGCTTCTTGTGCCTAGGTATCAAATAGAGGCTTCCAATATTTCAGTGGGCGATGCATTAAAATCTGCGAATTATCTTAATCTTCCATTTTGCCAACTAAAGGTAGCCTCCACCTTTCGCTCGGGAAAGGTTACCCAAGCCACTCCACGAAACATGGTCTCTCCTCAGCTCGACGACCTTGATCGTGCAGTCGAGTCTGCTATAATGGCGGGAAGCACGACATGGGCTTGCATTGTACCATCATTGGATTTGACTGCTGTGAATCATTTACGACGTGGTGCTGAAACCCAATTGCTTCGGCTATTCCATGCTGCCAAAGCATCGGGCTATTATGATATCTTAGAAGAAGAACACCAATTGTCGAAAGCAGAAAGCTTGATGGCCATACTCGATTTGACAATAGACAAGATATATACTGAGAAAGTCAACACGTCACATAGTTCGCAAAGTTGCTTTCCAGAAATTGTGACTTTACTGAACAACGCTTCACAATGTTTTGCCAGCGCACAGCCAAACGGTTGTAAGGTTACATACCTTACGAAGTGGCTACCATTGCTATTATCTTTCGCAACCTCTCAAACAGTAGCATTAGAACCATCGAAAGTCGGACATGAACATCGGGGAAGAGCAATCCTATTTTTGACAGCAATCTTTTTGGATTTATATCGTTTCAAAGCTAACACAAAAACCCAACATCTCCCACTACAGCAGTGTTTCGACCTTATTCTAAATATGGTAGATGTCCTCCCTGACGACATTCGTCAGCAATGCAGTCGAAACTTCCGAGACACGGCCTCGAACCCAATTACTAGCTATATTTATAGTATTATGGCGCCGCCATCTGACTGGTTGCACATCTATCAATCCGGCTCAAAAGCTACAGCTGCTGCAAGAAATAGCAATAATACAAACACAGATCACGCAAAGGAATCGTGCCGCCAGTCATTTCCTTTCACAATGAAACGCTGGGAGATGCTGGGAGAACCAAGTGCTAACATGGGAGAGAATGACACAAGTCTCAGTTTGACACTGTTTGCGAGTAGGAAAGGAGTCAACTGAGGGTCGGCTCTGTTTATAATTTTATAACAAATCACCCTCGATTATAGCACATGGTAGACACATGAGGAGCTTATTTTATATCAATAATGTATTCAATTAGGATTGCCCTACACTGCTGTCAAGACATGTCTTCAGTGACCTGAAAGATCACGCTCTGCATTATCTTTTCATAATCCAAAATCAGCGAGCATAGAGAACTTGATACCCTTTTGATTCAATCATTTTACCGATATTCGCATCAGAGCTGAGCACATGACGCTACGAAAATGATCGTGATGTAGACCACCCCCTGACGTAAACTCGCTTGATAGACCGTAAATACTCGTTGATGGGCCCGTGCCATACAATGATAGCATTTGAAATACAGTGGCATGTACTTTGTAGAATGTCTTGTCGACACATAGAGACTTGATACTAAGGGTTCTCTAATCTTGTTTCTGTTCCAAAGGTAGGTTCATAATATGTGAGGCTATGGGATCTCGTTAAAGACTCCTTAAATCAATCAACCATCGTCTTCTTCGCCTCAGTCGTCGTCAAATATCTGATAAGTATTTTTCAAAATGGTGTCAACGACACGAACCTGCCACCCAGCGTCTTGCATGTTCGGTCCTGAATTAGCACCCATGAGTGTAGGGCCAAAGACTATGGCCAAGTTGCTTGCAGTCATCCTGTTAGATGCCGAACTCTCCTGTACTCTATTTAAATGTAAAGTTAAGGCTCGAAGAGTAGCGTAATTAGGATCAGGAAGGCCATTGATGATGGCATGTAGAGAGTCGCGACGGACTATTTCATCATCATGCTCTGTGCCTATATTAGTAGGGAAACAGTTAAATGAGTAGATTTAAAAGATAACTTACTTGCAGCCTCGATAAATGCAGGGTATTGCTCGATGGTCAATAAAGGGTCTGGGAGTTCGCGAAAAAACTGCTTTAGAAGACCAGCCACACTATTCACATCGTGAAAGAAGCTTTCCGGGTTACGGAAGTCCACCTTGGATGCGTCTGCGAATTATTAGCAAGAATGCCTCAAACAACCAATCGAATAGCCCAACTTGCCGTTATCGAACATTGCCTTGATCTTCATTATATGAGACGCGGTACCAGACAACCGGTATATTCCTTCAACCTCGAGTCCAAAGAGGTCAACTGCTTGGATACACTGGTAGACAATCATTGGAACAGCAGAGCCATCTCTCTCAGAGAGCTCCTCGAGGCTGAGACCAAACACTGGTCTCAAAGGTGCTAGGTGAGTGTTGTTACCTGGAGTTGGAGCCGATCCTGGTCCGAATAATGGTGCCGAGGGTGGGCCGTGGGACACTGGTGCATGTGTTGTAGGATTTTGCGGTGTCTGTTGTATTGTTGTCTCATTTTGAGGTTGTGGCTGGAATGGCAAGGTTGATATCTGGGGGGGTCCATCTGCACGAGGTGACCAGGTAGTGAAGTCGGGAGAGGTAGATACTGGGTTAGTGGGCGATATAGTAGGTGCAACAATGTGTTGCGAAAGAGATGGGCCATGACTAAAGCTTCTTTCGCGCTGGTGAGCTGGGGGACTGCTTTGATTGAAAGGCTGGCTCATATGAACCTGGTGAGATGGCTGTGGTGGTATTACGGGCCCTTGTCGAGCTTGAAGAGCGTTGGGATCTGATTGTCGCTGAGCGATATTCGGTGCGGGTTGCAAAACCTGTATTAAAATTAGCTGGACCTAAATCAATGTAATTAGGAATCTTCATAGCTAACCGGATTACGCTCATATTTGATTTCCGTTATCCGGGATTGCATGTTACCAGCGAAGCTACTGATGTAGTTGCTCAGGTCTTTAACATTATCGATTGCATGAACAACTTCGCGGAGACTACGATTTGACGTCCCTTGCTCTTTTGCTTTGATGGGGCTTATGTTCAGGCCATTGCTTAAGAGTAGCTTTTCGTTAAAGGATGCTGTTCAATATAATTAGTCTTATGTGTAGTGTAGCTGAGCCCTCATGCCTTACCAAATTTCTGCATCTGCAATGTCAATGCAGAGTCGCATTCCTGAATGAGATCTTCTAGAGCTTTCACAGCCTCAGGTCTTGATTTCGACCAGAGCTCAGTTCGTTGGCTTTGCGCAGCCTGTACCTTGGATGCATAATCTGCATCGGCAGCCTGGACTTTACGGAGAAGGTCTTCTTCATGTTGCGCTGCCGATTTGGGGCCTTTGAGGCCAAATTTCTTTCCCGCTTGCCTGTCTCCAGTGCGGGCTCTGTCGTACTCGTCTGCCAGAAAGTCGTACTTCGCCTTCGACTTCTTCATGGCAGATTCGGTATCGGCAGCACGTTGTTCTGCTGCCAACCCAGTATTCTTCCAATGCTTTCTGCCCTTCTCTATATTCGAAGCCATTTCAATAAGATCATCATGCATCTGATGTAGAGACACGCCAAATTGAGCCCCATTCTCGGCCATTCGCTCGTGTATAATCAGGACCTCTTCGTATGACTGTAGAAACGATCCGTGTCGATGCTCTGGTCTGCGAATATTATCTCCAGTTGCCTTACACAGCTTTTTTAAACCGTTCGAATGTTCCTCTTCCATAATGGACCTCTTCTTGAGAAAAATTGCGAATTCCTGTTCCGCAGCGTCAGCTTTATATTCACACAGGCATTGAAAGTTGGGGAATTACCTTTGCGGAAGCGATACTTTGTTTCAGTCGAGTTAACAAAGTTGATATTCCAATCTGACGCCATGGACACGTTTAGCTTTCCTTTAACGAAGGGAAGAACCTTAGACAATTAACTCACCTCTGAGCTTGTAACATCGTGAACTGCTTTTACGGTTGCGTCTTGAGGGGTGGCAGGTCTTCCGATTGTCTCGCCCTGGTTGCCGCCATTGCCAGCAGCATTGGACGACGATGTTGTATCGAGTCCGATGTCCCCTCCAAACGACATTTTGTAGATGAAAAATGCGAGTCGCAATCAAATGGCTATGTGTGGCTGTTATATCTGGGTACCATACGGTATTTCCACTTGTAACTGTAACAACTCTGTTGTTAATCCTGTTGTTGGAGGGATTTAAAGTTCCTTGGGTATGCAAAGGCAATACTCGGGAATCTACGAAATACCCATACCCATGTGGTTGTTGTTATGAGTAACCGGGGCCAAATGCGACTGGATTCCCCGTGCAACCACGATAACAATAATGGTACAGATAATCAATCCTGATTGGGGAGATGAATATTCATTGAATTAATTTACTTTTGATAGAACAAACTTATTGTTCATATTTTTGTAAATATGTTCTCAATACTCGTTGATATCATAGGAATTTGACGCTCTTCTGATCGAGATACCCAGGTAGGTAGGTAAAGGTCGAGGCACTCTAGCTCTGGCTTCTATTGTTCGAGATTTCTGGTTGTTTTATCGAGGTAACTCGAGTAGGTAAATATTTGTTTATATATTAAATGCTTATTTATATATATATATATATGTAGATGTTTGTTTATACATACATTTACATGCTCATCACTCGAGTAGTCTATAATCCTTATTACCTCATGGAGTGCATCTTTGGAAATTAGTACGCCTATTAGTGTATTGACTACCTCCTTAGTACAGGTATTCTTATATTGACTACCGGTACCTAACTGCCGCTAGCAGTAATAGATTGCTCAACTACCTCGACAACCTACTAGCTGCCCTTCCGCCCTAGCTACTCTGCTACTCTTAGAACTAAGGAGAAGAGCATAACCCCGCCAAGATAAACGTCAAAGAGGACTCTTGGCGCTGTCGAAAGGATAAGCTGGGATCTGCTTTCAAGATCGCGTACTTGAGCATTAAAGAACCTCAACATAAATACGACCGTCAGCTCGCATTCATCAATGAGGGTTACGATCTGCTCTCTGGAAAGGCTGGAATGCGAATTATACCAAACGTCCGACTCTGACTTCTTATAGTCCATAAACGCACAACAGCACATTTCACAGGAAGCGCAGGATGTAGTTTGAATAAGTCGTGCTTCATAAATCTCAGCAGATGTTTCAATTTCATATTCTGGGGAATTGGCCGTTCGCTTCACCAAGCAGAGTAGTTTTTTTCTATCTTGAACAACAAATTTCAATTTGCACTCAGAGATCACTGAAGCTGGTTTGAGGGACACCTCCGTTGTCAACTATAACGTGGGACTGCGGGAGTATGGGCCGTCTGGATATCGTGGTCGCTTGAGGACACAGACAGAATCTTGCCTCTTCGGCGACGAGAACAGATCTGAATCTTCTCGCGAGTTCAATAATACGGCCCACTGCATTGTTTCAAAGACAGCTCATGTACTGGCACTTCAATCAAAATTCTACGGATAACGGAAAATAGAGTTCACAGAATTGCAGTTCAAAGTTAGAATTGTATTGGAATGGGTGCACACTTCAACTCGGGAATTTGTTGATTCTGGCTATTTTTCAGTGTAGGCACAATTTTTGCAATGTCTCTCACGGACCAAGGCATGACAGACGTAGTTCTGCTGTTGCATCGAGGATCGCTCTTCGCGAGCTACGTGAATATCACAAGGTTGATACCAGGAATCTGAGCAACCATCATCTAGAGGTGGTTGAGAGTTGCTACTGGTCTGGAGACACTCATTGAGTTCCGTAAGCGGTGCCATTTAGCTACTTGGACAGATATTCAAATACCATGAAGGAATACACGTGGCAGACAATTCTTGATCATCTCAGTTGTTCACTTATTGTTCATATATGTAAGATTCTAGATTTACGACTTTTGAATTATCTCCAATATCCAATCTCCGAAATGGCTATAAGCAGTACTAATGTCATTACTAGATATGCATGCATGTCAGCGATACGATACCCACCGCTGACGATTCTCTCCGAGGTGCTCCTCTTACTAGAAATCCCCCTCATAGATTCAAGGAAGAATCACTTCCATCGATAGTAGATGAAATATCATGTAAAGCAATGAAACCCTTCACAAGTATCGATTCAACGGATATCCATTTTTCTCATTGCTGGCCTCAGTAGGATGCAGGGTAATAATAATGTCCTAATTGCAGAAGTTACTAAAGCTGACAAGTCACTCTCCAGTGACTAGGTATGTTTCTCATAAACCTTACCCTTTTTTTTTTCTCTTCCTACAAGAGTCTTGTGGCTGATCGTGGACTTCTATGCACAGGGCTACCTTCCAAATAATACGTTGAAGTATATGTTCTAAACTGTCAATCAATATGAACAATATACCAGTTTTTGGTTCAACAAAAGTATTATTGAGTTTATTTTTCTTTGGTTGCTACATACTTTTTAAGGGTTAATATCAGACTGTATCAAAGTCCTGGTCCCTTTCCTGCTTCCTTCTCCAGCGCCCCCCGCATGCACTGGGTTTAGACTAAGAATGGACACGAGAAAAATATCGCCTTACATAAAAGTACAGATGGTTGGTACAATTCCGTCCAGATATTGTGTCTATTGGCGGTTCGGCAGAGATATCTCTTATATACAACTTTTATGACACCTTCTCCAGAGTGATCATTTGCAATAATATCACCATTGGGATATCATCCTTCTGAACATATTATAGTCCTACTTTTACAGCGTCATTTTACCTTATAATGACGGGAAGGTTATCCTAGGGTTGATACCTGCCAAGGAGAAAATTCCCCACCGCAATCTCAAGCGGCCCATTTGTAATATTTATTCAATGAGTAATTGGATTTCATTCGAAGATCTGTCGATTCAGGCATCGGAAAGACATCTTGTCACACCTTGAGAGAGTTTCTCTTGTTGGGCAGATGCCGTGGATAGATACCTTCCTTCGTATCAGTCCTCTCCTATCCAAACTCCGCCCAAATTCGGTGTCCACAATCGCAAAGTTTTCCATGGTTCGAATTCAAGAAATAAAGACCGGAGAAGGACAAGGCGCGAGTGCGGTTAAAAGTCGAGATCTCTTGTCAAGATTTCTCGCAACTCAAACTCAAAACCCAGAGACCCCTCCATTTGCACTTTTGGCATGGATTTCTAGAAACTTCACTACAAGCAGTGACACCACGGTCACAATTCTTCGTTCTCATTTTAATACTTGCTCAAAAATCCTGTCATTGTGCAAACCTTGAAATCAGAAATTGCAGCGGCTCATAGAGCAGGTCTCCCCTCAAAGCCTCCAACGTGGAAAGGGACTCAAAGCTTACACTGCCCCGATGCTTGCATCATTGAGGCACAAAGAAATCATGCCCTGGTCGGCTTGCACCTTGAACGATTCGTTCCAAAAGAGGGGGCTGCAATATGCGGGAAGTACGTGCAGGCCGTTACGATAGTAGGTGTCAACGCCCGGGTTATTCATACAGATACTGGAACATTTGGCGACGATTTCAATGCGTGGAGGCCTGAAATATGAATTGATTGTACTGAGGAGCAACACGGCAAGATTGATGAGGCTCTACTTACGTTTAGCTCAATCTCCTCTACAAATTACAAAGCGCCATTTCTAATACTCGTGACTGAATTGGTTTGGCGCTGGTAGCAGAGTCTACGTTGGGAGGAACTTTTCACTACTTATGATCTAAAAACTTTTGCCAGGCTTACTTCGGCGATTCGAGTTGCGAAATAAATCATTTCTTTGAGTTTTATGGGGCCACAATGGATGTAGTTCAATATACGAATTCTAGGTGACTTACTTGTTCGCGTGCTATAGTTCTCCCTCGCCGATCCTCATGCAACCTGGACCATTGAGAACAGATGATTTGTTGTTTAGACGGATCTCCTAGTGAATCTGAAGAAATCGGGTATTTGAGGGAATGATGAAATGTCCCAATTTATCAATGTGGGTCATTCTCGAGGATTCGTGAGAGATAAAATGGAATTAGTATCAATCGTATGCGGAAGATGTGCTGCATCTCTGGACTACATCACAAGGCTATAGTCGGAATATGGTCGATTTCTTTCATGTCGTGAGATGATGCTAATGATGAGCTCGTGGGTTTAATGAAATATAAAGTTTAGGAAGTATATATTAAATACATTGCAATTGGTATAATTTCAAATGATGCATTCTATAGAACAAATTTGGTGTCGTGAAAGGATAGCAGAAGAATATCGACCGATTTCTGCAAGGTTAAACTCGCCGAGCGATGGCATATATTGTTGATGATCAGACTATTGACCTGCTACGCTCTGGGTATTTTGTTATTTGTAGCTTTGACTGTGAGATATCACTGGCATACCACACAATTAAAATCACTCCTTGATAGATGGGAGTATCCCTCAAAAGCAAAGGATTAGTTATGTTAGTGACAATATGTTGTCTTATTTGGCGTGAGCGGATTTCGCCAAACTGACTAGATACTTAGAAGTGCAAAAGTCCCTTTTCGGCTTTAGGTCAAGTTCCTATACTTAGCCACCGAGCAATGAACTAGACAATGAGTATCACAAACTTTTGTGGATTATGTAATTTCAAACTACTTGTATGCTCGCTGGTTGTATGTAAGAAATTGGGATTAGCACCCGCATTTCAAACGACAGGCAATAGTCAGTTGGGGTAAGGCTTGCGTGTACTCAAAGATCGGAGGAGGGGGGTTTCTAGATGATGATAATTTCGCATTGGGTGTCCCAATGATACATACAGATGAGTGGTTCAAGAAATCCAGTAAACAACTCAACTTTTGGAGGTATTTCTGAATTTGATAGGGGGCAGATAGCGGTGATCACATCTAACATATACCTGCTGAGGAGCATGACCTCCCTTCACTGCTCGGCAAGGACAACAAATTCGTCATAGCTTCGACGGGTTATATGAGCTCGAGCAGTAGAATTCAATACCAAACAGGTCTGTAGCATTCTATATACACGATACGATTGCTACAAAAAATACTCATCTCAGCATTGCAAGTAGACACACAATTCTCACCAATATACAAAAAGTTCGAAATTTGATTTCAAACATAAATTCTAATCCTTTTAAGAGGCTCTGGATGGGCTTATCCATGAGTCATGAAGGATTATCTATATCACTGATTAGGAACAATTGTTTTTATCATTTTGACATTGATTAACACAGATCAATACTCGATATTCATCGAATAGATAAACATTATCCTAGTCGATCGAAAAGACACTGTCGATCTCTTGTCCCAATACAGATGTCCGGAGGAAGACAGTCCGAAATATAGTCTGAATTCTGACAGTTGCACACGATTATATGCATGCAGTATTCAGCTATTCCTTCGACAATACCGTTACCAATGCCAAGATACTCCTTCTCCTTCTCCTTTTGTACAAGATTTTGGAACCTATCAACATGGTGCATGGGTTCCTCAGCCAGAATATGGCATAGATGTTGCAACGGAAACTCGGTGTTGACGAAATGTGAGCATGTAAGGGTCTACATAAATACTGCCTAGGCAACTCTCAGTTCTCTGTCTTGTCGTCCCAACCGGCTTTCGATTTTATTCTCCTCAATATTGAAAAGTAACAAAGCTTCAAGAATGGCCATTCTCCCAGGCGCTTTCCCAGACAATGTCTCCTCGGAAGTTAAAGCATTCCTAGAAAAGTATTTCCAGCTCTCTAATGCAGCATCTTCGCACAATGATCATGAAGCAAGTATGTTATTCTTTATACATGTTGATCATTTACTAACCAGATTTCAAGATGAACAAGCATTCGCAGAGCTATTTTCGAACGATGGCATGTATGAATTTGCAGAAGAACAAAATGTGGGGCGCGACGGTATGTTCTTTGTCCAAAGTCATTTTGTTCATTGATTAACTTAGTTATGTAGCAATCATATCTTTTCGCAAGAAGCTTTTTGCTAGTGTTCCGCATCGTGAGCATCCAGTCGTGAGGATTTTCACCTTTGGATCAGATGATATGAACCTGATGTGTTATGGGACCGTTGGATATAGATTATCTGATGATACAGTGAATATGCAAGAGTGGGCAGCACGATACGAGATAGTAAAGACTGAACCCGGTGACTTGAAGTTCAAATATGTCCAAATCATAGTCGTAAGTGTCTCAAATCATGACGGCGTCTACAGGCTGAAATCGATCAATGACTGACAAGTTTTCACATAGAGCCCCGCCCGAGATTCTTGAGACTCTCGGAAAGAAATCAAGGAATCTGGAAGACCGTGAAAGTTACCAGCTCATTAAGATCTACTTTCAACGGAGGGAAGAACTTTTGTTATATAATCATTATCTTCGCCGCCCCGTACAGTGCGTGGAAGGACGAACGCTAAATCTGTGGATCTACTTGGTGAATAACCCCCGTGAAGTTCATTTGAGTCTCGTTCACTTATCTCGCCCTGCCAACAACAGGAAACCTTCTGTAAGAACCATGACCGATGAGCCGTAATAGCGAAAAGGTAAACCGAGGCCAAGCAAACGAACTCTCATATGCTTTGGGCTTTATTTCTTCGCTGTACCTTCTACTCATTTCTTGAACGTTGCTACTGTGACCACCAGCTAGATTGTTATATTTCTTGAAAATATCTTAGAGCTGTGATGGGAACTAGTGTATAAATCTTAATTGAAGGTTCATCTCTTACAGGCAGCTGTTGTCTTTACTTATAATGGAAATCGAAACACAACTAGAAGTGAGATCTCTTGAATGTTTCGAAAGGAACTGGAATTAAGTGAAGTGATCTTGATATAAAAACCTAACTAAATTTCTTTACATGAATTTTTACTAGAAATAAGATGAATATAACTCATCGGAAAGCTTGGTTCTTGAGAAAGTATAGTTCAATTGTAATTTTGATTTTAAAACGATTGTGAGTAGTTAACAATAATAATATAAGAAATATGAGAAATATTTCAATGATGTCATAGTAAAACCTCGGGCGTGGCAAAGATCGGCGGATTAAGGAATAGTCTATATTTCAATCTAGACTATTATTTTTGATATCTTAATTTCGAATTTTTTATCAAATAACATTATTTTAATCCTTTTTGAAAAAACGAAAGCTTTTCAGAATCTGAGATCAAAAAATGTTGATTTCTTACAGGAAGTCCACCTAAAAATCGAAAAGTTCGAAGAAGGGAAAAAAAACTATAAAAAAACTCGAATGAGAATATTATTATTTTACAGATTCTAGACAGAAATATCATTGATTTAGAAATTTGTATAAGAAAAAACTCTGAAATTCGAGAATTCAAACCTAATAGCTTTTTGTAAATTTTTATTTTGAAATTAGGTTAGTGTCATTAATATCGGAACTAGAATGATAATTGAAGATTTACCTGCTAAATATTCTTACTACTTATAAAGATTGTAATATGAGTTTTAAAGCTGAGGGTTATAAAAAAGTTAGAATGAATTCTAATGAAAATAATATCGATACTTTAAAGCTTATATAATTGATATAAATAAGAAAATATCGATTATAATAGGGAGCTTTAATGAAATTATTTTGAATATTAAAGCACGTAAAAATATAGTACTAGCCGTTGGGGAAAAGATTTTTTCAGACTGTGAAACCATAAGTTTTTTTATTCTTTTTAATTACTATAATAGATTTAATAGATTTAATAGAAGAATAGTTTTTCTTTTATACTTTTATTTTTATCTTATTAATAAATCTATGTATATTAATTCTAATCCAGATTTTGATTTTGATTTTGATTCAAATTCTAATCCAGATTTATATTTCATTTCGAATATTGAAAAACATTTCAAACAAATATACCTTAGATTACTATAATTCTATTTACAAATAAATTTTCAAATAAACTTCTCAATTAATTCTCTTAATTCAATTAATTAAACTTATTAATATAATAAAACTTACTTTAAAAATGATTACATTATTTGAAAGACTTCAATTGATCTACTTTATTTACTTCGTTGATTTATTTAAAACTATATATCAAATTGAAACAGTTTTGTAACATTTTTCTTATATATATATATAAACTTCCTCTCTTATTTAATCAGGAAAACTAAGCTGTAATCAACAAGAAGTTCTATATATTACTTATAACCAATTAGAAAAGATTTTTTAAACCTATGAATATAAAAAAAGCTTATTGTATATATGATTATATAATACATAAAGTACAGATTTACTATATTTACTTCTTCAATTCTATTAGAATTATTGAATTGATATAAAATATAGAAGTATATTTGATTATTTGATAAAATATTATCTTTAAAAAGATTAAAATTCAAATAATTCAAAATAGAAAATAGACTAGATTACAAAAATACATAAAAAGAATATACTAATTTAGCCTATAAGCTTTTTATAAAACCTCTTTTTAAATTTCTTTAGTAAAACTGAATATCATTATATAACACTTTCTTCAAAAGCAAGTGGCTGGGGGACTTGTAGGCCTCTGATATTTATAAGAATAGATTTTTAAACTAGTGTAAATTAAACCACAGATAGTATTCATGTCAGTAGACAATGTTAATACATAGATTATTGTTATATAAGATTATTAACATATATTATACTATTAGAATCAAGTGTTAGAAAAAGATAATTGAGAGATTACAAGCTCTAGAAATTCGGGAATATTTGTTTCTCTTTCCTCAACTACAAGTACTTGTTCATATGAAAATAATGAGAACTAAGATATAATTCCAACCTTCTTTCGAGCAGTTGAAAGTTTTATTATAGTTTTTGTTATAATACGACATACTTTGAACTACATAAATGTTGATATTCAAGATATCATTCATTATTGGACATAATATAGTAAACTCTTATTTGATCAGTAATTCAGAGATCTTTTATAGCAATACTTGTTTTTCAAAGTCATTCCATTCCGTGTTACATTTCTTTAAGAAAAAGGTTATTATACTACTATGGTTTTATATAAGAATCTTATATAATAGATATAGACTCTTGATTGATCGATTTCAATATAAAATATCATTTGTTGTATCAATTTGAATACATTAAAAAGTATTTTAATCTTTTAATTCAAATGAAGATTATTATTCATATATAAGAGATTGCAAACTAACAGTAATAAAGCAAATAAATATATCTGTTTCTATATGTGAGGATAATACTTTTCGATTTCTTGGATTACTGAAAGGTTCATACCATGAAGGTATAATTCTACAATTTCAAACTTGTAATTAAATTTAATTATTTTCAATCGAGATTGGATTCTTAATAATGAGCTGAACGTTAACTATCTATAACTAAAAAGAAAAACAGGCTTAATAATATTCTTTATAATTATTTTTAACATCATTTGAAATCCGAATTTACATTTATCTTCAATAGCTTATGGAATGCTAAGTTTCAGAAAGATTTCTATTACTTGTAGAAATTTGTGGAAACTGTTTAGAAATCTAAAGCTTTCCCATGGAGTAAATTTGATCTCAGCTTCCGAGAATCTCTTGAGAGTAACATTTAAATAATAATAAATGGAAAAATAATGTATCCTGGAATGATAATTTTTAAAGTAATGAATTTGGGAATAGTATAATAGTCTATGAATATTGCTTGTCTCTTTGCTTCTTGCTTGAAAAAAAAAGTCTTGAAGGTGTTATTAATAGATCTATTAGATCTATTAAAATTTGCTTGCCTCTGGCTTCTAGCTCGTATAGGGGTGCCAAGGGTACCGTTAAGCCCTAGAAATTATAATTATGATAAATATAATAAATACAATGATCATCATAGATCTACTCTCTAACAATATTCTTTTGAATCCTCTTTTTAATTCTCTCTCTAAATTTCTTTCTAAATTTATTGACTTATCTAAACTAAACATACAACTAAAATTTCGAAGTTTCTCATCGCTGTCTCCCACATTTCTAATTTAATTAGAATTTTTCATCTTAGTCTCCTAATCCTTACCTAAAACTTCAAAACTTCAATTCAACCCAATTCAATTTTTCAATCAACTAACTTCTATCGCAAATAATAGCCTATTAACATGGAAAATCTGTTATTAGAAAGCTTTTACTTTGCAAGCCAATTTTTTCTCTTCGTATAATATTTTGACAAATCGCCTTCTCTTGATTCGCTGATTAGTTTATCGATTTAATTGAACTCTACATTTTGATGTTCCTGTATAGACCTTACAGGCTTTCTAAACCAATCAGCTTGTAGTTATAAACAGTGTTTGAAATCTAACAACGATAAGTCTATTCAAGTATCTTCAAATAGAAATATTGAACTATTTTAGAATATAATTATTAGTAGCAAAAGATTATAAAATGAAAACTCTGTATAAGTAAGAAGAAATTGTTTCTTGAAAATATAAGAGAGATGAATAATAACTCTCCAGTACTTCTACATTATATAACAATCTATTATAATAGAGTATTTGAGTTATATTTCTAATAAAGTGTATATTATAAATACTTCTGATAATCCTTGAAGGAATAAATAAGAGAGGGGAACAATATCTCTATAGTATCCCTCTCTATATTATATAGTGTTCTAATCAGAATACAATATTCAAGTTATACTGCTAGTTGAGTATAATATACACACTTTTAATACAATAGAAATATTTATAAAAAACATTATTTATTAATCCATAGAACTATATTCAAAAACATATGGAATGCAATTTTATACGCCCTATAATTATAGACTTACGAAAAAGTTTCAAAATTATCTGATGGATTTCTAATATAGAGAGATTAATAATATTTTAAAACAAATTTAGTAAAAAAGAATATTATGTAAAAAGTGTAGAACTCTTAATCGAAAGTTATAATAAAACTTATTTATTCATTAAGCTCTATAAAATATTAGTATCGAATCTATAAAAGATTCGAATCAATCATGTTATAAAATACATACAATACTCTTTTAATTATTCTCAGTACAGTTACTCCGATCAACACAGTATCCCAAAATCAAGATATCTTTACACTTTCGATTTTCTTTTTATGAAAATAACTCTTGAATTTTATTAAAAAAGTATAAAAACTATATAAATGTTTATATAATCTCATATCTCGAAACTGATCATTATAATGAATATAACATAATAATAATTCGAATATGTTGAAAGTTATAGATAAGTCAATAGTCTATACATAATATCAAAAACAAATATATTATTATTAAATTTTCTATTATCTCATTGAATTCTTTTAATGTAGGATTTGTAAAGAA